TGTATGTATGTATGTATGTATGTATGTATGTATGTATGTATGTATGTATGTATGTATGTATGTATGTATGTATGTATGTATGTATGTATGTATGTTATATATACACACAAATAATCAATACATCCTACCAATATACATCTATTGACATTTATGATTTATGAAGGAAAAAAAAATAAAGTGTGAAACAATCTTAACATTCTTCATCCCATTCACTATCTATCTATACATATACATATCCTCCTCCTCTTCTTCTTCTTCCGTGTTCTTCTTCTTCTGTATTCCAGAATTAAAAGCAAAAGTAGGTAGGTAGGTAGGTAGGTAGGTAGGTAGGTAGGTAGGTAGGTAGGTAGATAAGACAGGGCAAGTCTAATCGAACAGCTCGACATATGAAGACAGCGGAAACTACTACATTAGTAAAAAAAAAAGGTAGGAAAGAAAAAAAAATGTAACCAAAAAAAAACCTTAATAAATAATATATATAAAAACCCCCCCTTTTACCCTTCGAGGGAACCGCATGCGCTAATATGCTATGTATATATATATAATGTATAATGTATAATGTATATGCAAACAAGACATACACACACACACACACACACACACACACACACACATACACACACCGAGACAGACGAAAACAACGATAAAGAAATCTACTCGTCCTTCTCCTTCTTCGACGTCTTCGGCATGCGCACCAGCCAATACAACGCAACAGCCCCAAAAATGTTAAACACAATATACACCCACATGATGCCGAAATTCCGCCACGCATCCGAGTAGTAGATGTCAATGCCCGCAAGGAACGTGTTTGTGCTGTCAATCGGGCAGTAGCTGCAGTTCGCCGTCGCGCTCAGGTCCTGGATGTAGCCGCCCGCGCCCGCAATGCCCTGCGTCCCGTTCACGTACAGGCTCATGTACTCGCCGCACTGCTGGCCCGCGGGCGGGTTGAAGTGCAGGTACTCGTTGTCGGCGCAGGTGACGGCCGAGTCCGCAACGGCGGTGCTCAGCATGCCCGAGATGAGGTATGTAAAGGGCGAGACGCGGTACATGAAGATCCAGAATCGCGGCAGGGCCTCGGCTGTCTGCAAGACACCGCAGAAGATCAAGGCCAGAGAGAACAACAGGTTGGCAGCGTTGCCACCCGTCTCTGCTGTATCGATACCGGCAATCATCATGTGTGCAAAGGTCGACGTAAATAACAAGAATACCCAGATGAACAAAAACATTTGCGCCCCGCGGAGGTGCACCGAATCGGTCGGCTCGGCGTTCCGATAGAGGCCGATGGGATAGTAAAAGGTAGCGAACAGCAGCACCGCCATCAACGTACTCCAGGGCATCTCAACAAGCAGATTGCTGAGCATAAACGCCTTCCACGAGTATGTCTTGGATGGACGCTCACGCACCTCGTACAGGGCACGCTGAGTGACAAAGTTGGGCATGATCTGCTGCGCGAGCTGGCCGAAGATGGTCATCAACATGAACAGAGCGAAGAGCTGATTCTGCAGACCCTGCTGGGTGTTGCGGACGTTGAAGAATGAGAAGCCGATGAAGAGACCGGAGCAGACACAGAGGGCTGTCTTGGAGAAGATGTACGAGGGAGTGCGCCAGTATTGCTCAAAGACACGCTTCGTGACGAGGTAGAACTGCTCGGGGAATGGAGCGGCAAACTCGCGGAAACTGGTCTTGTCGTTGGGATCCGTCGTCGGTTCAGCCTGCGCCGGTCGCTCTCTCTTGAGACGGTCAAGCTCCTTGTGGACCTCGGCGTATTCAGGGCTGTCGCGCCAGGTCTGGTGCCAGTCCACGTCAGTGCTCGAGCCAGGCGCGGCACCGATAACCTCAAGCATCCATTCTGCCGGATTGGCATCCTTTGGACAGGGGAAGCCGCCATTTCGCTCAAAGTACTTTGTCATCGTTTCAGAGTTCTCGCCAATCTCCCCAAAGTAGACAGTCTGGCCGCCGGATTTCAGGAACAGGAGTCGGTCGAAACGTTGGAACAGGACTGCCGAGGGCTGATGGATGGTGAAGAGAACGGCCTGTTGCGAGTCTCGAGCCAGCTTCTCCATCAGGTCGCAGATGGACCAGGATGTCTGACTGTCGAGGCCGGAAGTGGGCTCGTCGAGGAAGATCAACAACTGTGGACGCGCGGCAAGCTCGACACCGATGGTAAGACGCTTACGCTGCTCGACGTTGAGACCTTCACCAGGAACACCGACCACGGCGTCGGCATATTCTTCCATGTCTAGGAGAGCAATGACTTCATTGACGTAGGCCAGCTTTTCCTTTCGCGGGACATGGGCCGGCTGGCGGAGGAGGGCGCTAAAGTTGAGCGCTTCGCGAACAGTCGAGGTTGAGAGGTGCAGGTCCTGTTGCTGTACATATCCAGTCTTCCGTTGGAACGAAGTATCGCGGTGCCGGCCATCAACAAGCATCTCACCGCTGACAACACCCATCGTATAGCGAGTTGCGAGCACGTCGAGTAGCGTAGTCTTTCCAGCGCCCGAGACACCCATGAGTGCAGTCCTTGGGTATGAGTGTTAGCAGAGTAGTCGGTGCAAGGAGAACAGAAGAAATGATGGGATACTTACAGTGTGCCCGGCTTGACCCATCCATCGACGTGATCGAGAATGCGACGGGGCTTTCCTTTGATTTTGATGTCGTAGCAGACATCGCGCCAGTGAAAGATGGCAGTCTGCTTCTGGATCATGGCCTTGTGGTCGACCTTGGTTGACGACATGGCCACAATCCCACCGTCCTGTGCAGTCTCTTCGTCGACGGCCTTCTTCCTGGTGACGATAGCCGGGGCGTGACCGCGGCGGAAGACGAGAACCTCACCCTTTGACTTCTTTGCAGAGATGAACTCGGCAGCAGCAAGATAACAGAATCCGAGGCCGAAGATGAATACCCAGAGGATGCCAAAGTTACGCCACTTGTGACTGTGCTCATACTGGTAGGCTGACATGATGTAATCAGCGCCATCCACAACCGTTGCACCAGGACGAGACCCCACAGCGCTACAGACTCTGGCAGAGACATCGGTGTAAGGGCCTACTGGGTAGCCACCGTTGGACGGCACAAAGCGGCTGCAGTCGTAGGTGCGACCGTAAAACTCGTTGATCATGAGAGATTCAAAGCCATATGCGACCGGGTCAAGGTAGTTGATCCATCGTGACCAGCCAAGCATGTAGTTTACCGGAATGACAAAGCCGGTGTAGATGATGATGGCCAGGATCAAGATGGCTGCCGGTGCCAGAGCCTGTGCCAGCGTCCTCGAGACTGACGCAACGGTTCGGAAAACCATGGACATGGCAAGTGTGATGCAAAAGGAGATGAGCAGGAAGAAGAAGAACGGACCGGGTTCTCTCCTCAGATTCGTCATAAAGTAGATGACCAGATTAAAGATGATGGAATTCAGAATCTTATAAGGCATATCTGTCAGCATGGATGCAAAGGCCTCTGCTGATGGGTGATAGAGGGCATATCGACTGTGCTTTTCGACAATGGGGCGTTGAGCGTAGAGTGTAAGGATCTGTGTGTCTCAGTTAGCGCTGCTTGTTATTCATCGTGATGATAATGATGATGATTTATCTCTTCAGCACGCAACAACAAAACTTACCTCAAGAGCGCTACCAAAAGCATTCATGAGAATGGCAAAGAAGAGAAGAGCACCACGCGCAAAGAAGCTGGCAGTGTCTTGCTGGAGGTTGTAAAAGACGGAGCCGATGATGAGACCCATGATGAAGTTGCCAAAGAGTTGCGTAAAGGTCAGGCTAGGATCGCCCTTGAGTCGCTGGAAACCTCGCCAGAGGCAGAGGTTGACCTGTTGGGCGTAGGAGAGGGTGTAGGGTGACTTGACACGTTGTTGCTTGGCCTGCTGGGCTCTCCTGGATTGCTTAAATTTCTCGAGGTACTCGCCGCCGATGGTGTACTTCTGGTCGTATTCGTCGATCTGGGCAATCAACTTCTCTCGCTCCGGACTCTCCTTCCACGCTTTTGCAAAGTCGTCTGGTGTTCGGGGAACTCGGTTCTCGAAGCCTGGGCGCACGATACGTTCCAGTGGACTGGTCATGGAGGTACAAAAGTCGGCTGTGGTGGCGCGCTCGGCCGCCTGGAAGCCAAGGCGCTCAAAGTATTGTCTTGCTTGGTTTGCCGGTCCGAAGAAGATCTGGCGACCGTCGTAGAGGACGATGACTTTGTCGAAGATGTCGTAGGCACTCTGCGGAGCCTGGTAGATTGCTACAGCTGCCGTAGCGCCTTTGAGATCGGTGCTCATGCGGAGAGTCTTGCAGAATTCAATGGCATTGGCACTGTCCAGACCTCTGGTGCTGTTGTCCCAGCACTGCAGAGGCGCATCGCTGAGGGCAGCCTCCGCAATACTGACACGCTTCCGCTCACCACCACTGACACCACGCACAAAGTCATTGCCGACACGGGTGTTGATGGTGTGGCTGATGCCAAACATGGCCATGATGACGTCGCGCATATGTTCGGCGTATTTGGTAACGCTTACACCACCGGGAGTATGTCGGGGAGCGCGAGCGCGTGCGGCGAAGAAGAGGGTATCTCCGACCGACATCATGGGGAAATGTACATCGACTTCAGCAGTGTAGATGGCCTCACCACGGAAATGCGTGTGCATCTGCTTGGCACTGATACCTGGAGTCATGATTGATGGTTAGACGGGCCACACGAACGTACGTTGCAGGACTGGAGCATACCTTGGTAGTTGAGATAGGAGCCGTCCTCGACAACGAAGCCGTGTGTCTCACCGGCAATCGTCTTCAGAAGCGTGGAACAACCACTTCCAGGGGGACCCAAGACGACGAGCATCTCGCCCGATTCGACCAGACCCTCAAAGTCGCGCAGGATGTCGATGCGCTGCTGGCCAATCTTGAAGGCCTGCTTGAACATGCCAACAACCTGGAAAAAGACATTTCCAACACTCTTCTGGTAGTCCGACTCGGTACCGAAGCCATGCACGTTGAGATTCTTAAAGGCGATGCCGGCTGTTCTAGAAGGGTGGGCATCGGAGTCGTGAGCCTGCATCTTCAGCATGGCCTTGGCCCATGCGCGAGCACTAAAGTTTTCAGAATTCGGGTCGAGCACAGAACCAGGCTCAGCGTGGAAGGGATTCTTTTCGCCGACGGAGATATTTGACTGCGAGGTCATCCTCCGAGCCAATGCCAGAACCTCCTGCTCCCTCCGCGATTCCTCTTCGGAATCGGAATCAGACATGTTCTTCTCGGAGTTTTCGAGCGACTTGGAGGTGGGATCTGCAGGCGTCTGCGAGCTGGTAGCATCGTCGGCGGTAACAACAGGCCTCGGCTCATCCTCCTCCTCCTCCTTGGCGCGCATGTTTGACAGTTTCTTTGGCGAGGAGACGGATTGACTGCGCATGCCTTTGTGAGGATTGTCAGTAGTATCGAGGTGCTGCAGCTGGCTAGGTCTCTTGCCCCCAGCACCAGCTTGTTCAGTAGTACGGTCGTTGTTCCCAAAGGCAAAATTGCCGACAAGCGACATGATTCGTCGCCCACGATCGATGGAGCGAACCGATCAGGTAAGCGAGGCGACGGGAAGCTGAATGGTGGCCACCAGTAAGGGAAGATTAATTAGTAGTAGTAGTGGTGGTGGTGGTGGTAGTAGTAGTGGTAGTAGTGGTAGTAGGGAGGAAGAAAACGAGAGGATTAGAGAGCAGAAAGAAGTATAAATTAAAGTCGTAGTGGCGGCGGGAGGAAGAAGGAATAAGAATGGGAAGAGAGAGAGAGAGGTAATAGGTAGAGTAGGATTATTAGAAGACGGCGACGACGACGACAAGGACGGAAGCCGGATGTTATTAGTGGACAGGGAAGTAAGTGTGGAGTGAGTGTGGAGGAGGAGTCGGGCTTGTGAAAGCGAGAGAGAGAGAGAGAATGTATGTGTATGTGTATGTGGTATGTGAATGTGGGTAATAATATGGGTGTGAGAGTAATTATTGCCTACTATGAAGCGACTACTACCGACCATAACTTGCTATAACCTACTATTGCGTGTGATTACCTACTTATTTATCTACTATTACGGTCTATTACCATCTTCTGACCCCGGAACGAGAACGAAGTAGCGAGCCGAGACGCTGGGTCGATGGTGGTGGGAGTGAGTAGTAGTGGTAGTGGTGGTCGTCGTAAATTAGCAGTAGTAGGAGTAGTAGGAGTGAGTAGTGGGCTGACTGGTAGCTGCTGGCCTGCTGCGTGACGGCTGGGTTAGCTGGGTTAGCTGGGTTTGCTGGGTTTGCTGGGTTTGCTGGGGCTAGTTGGGCTACGGTTTAGCTGGGTGGGTAGCCCGTTGGTAGCGGGCGTGGGCGGGGGCATGGGCGGTAGTGAAGGGCGGCGGCGGTATTGTACTGCTGAGGGCGATGGACTGCTACCCTCCACCGCCGATGAATGGCCCCCAACACGCCCCCAAGACCCCCCAAGACATGGGCCAAACGCCCCAATTCTAGGCGGCCACAGATAACGAACCACCCTCACTCATCAACTGCCTCGGATCCAACTCGCTTCCGGCCCGTTTCGCCCACTCTCTCTCTCGTGTTGCTGCTTTACGCCCTCTCCCTGCATATCATCATTATCATGGCCACACGCCCAGACGGAATGCATTCGTCCATGGATGATGGATGGGCTGAGAAGAGGGCATATCACACACATTAATTATCACGGATGAGTTGCGCACCAACTTCATGATACATGTAGAATTACAACATGCACCACTATTACATCTGCCCATCCATCCCATCCTCACCATCTCGATCGGTCCACCTCTGCCTAGCTCCCTCCCCTAAGCAACAAACAAGCATCAGGCCAGCTCGGTCCCTCGGCCGTCAGTCCCTACTGCACACCTTTCTCCCTCTCGCTAATCTCGCTAATCTCGCTTACTGCTCCCTCCTCTCCTCTACACTCTCTCCTCATCAATTGTTGCCATGAAAGTGATTAATGAAGATATATATATGTACACAAGTATCAATCGAAAGATGTCAATCAATGTTGTTGAGTACAGCATCATCCCAGATGCATTTATTCTCCGTCTGTCTCTTCGCTACACCACCTTTCCCCGTCAGCATGGTTCGTGCCCTCGACCAGCGTAGCAGTAGCACACCCGCCGTCACCTTTTTAGCCCAGAGCCGTGTTTGACACGCGCACATACTCTCACACACACACACACACACACAAACACAAGTGCGTCCGTCACCAGGAAAGCTAGTTTGGACGTCGCTGCACCTCCGACTCTATCCTGATGCTCGAGATATGCATGCGACACTCTTTCAAGGAAGCGTGCGTGTCTGACGGCCATGTACGTAATTACCCATCGTTTTTGCTTTGAGGCTATTTCTATCCATCCATCATAACATATATATATTAAGGAACACACAATCCAAAACACGCTGACAAGGTGCCCACTGACAGCAAACGGCCACTACTCACCACACGATGCGTCGCGGAGCGGGTACGGATGTCGATCGCCTGTGCTTCCGTCCGAAAATGCCTCTCTTCCTTGCTTCCTGGCTATACAACTCTAGCAGCATCAGCCGCATCGGCAGGCAATGGAAGAGTCGAAATGGTTGGCTAGTCGATCAGGGAGTGCCGTAGCCTCGCAAAGATTACGGATTTGGCTGCCATCATCACGTCGTCGAACAACTCACAACTCGAAGTCGAAGCCAACAGCAACGAGTCAATCCCGCACGACCAACATCACTCCACTGATTCACCACAAAGCCGCGGCCGATGAACTCTCAAAGATGCCTTTCAAGCCCCAAAGGAGAAACACGGCCCGGCAAATATTACAAACCTTCCAGTGACATGACATACTATATTGTCCATCCAATCATCAAGCCCCTGCCTAGGCCTTACTCGGTCTCAGTCTCAGCCTCAGCCTTAGCCTCAAGCCGCCCTCTCGGCATTCCGCTCCGCCCACCACACACGCCCGGTACCCGCTTTCTCGTATTCGCTCCTCCTCTTCCTCCTCCACCCACGAACCACTCAACACACACCCCCGAACCTTTTCGTCCGCGGGCAAGTCGACGCGTGCACCCGCTTGTCCACACACGCACGCACGATCGCCATTCCCATTCCCTCTCTTTCCCATCCCATCGCCCTTTGCCGTGCTGACATGCATGACCGACTGACTGTCTGACTCTGACTGGACTGACTGACTGCTAATTATTAACTACCAATCCGTCACTCTTCCCGAGCCTATGCGAGCACGCCGGAACACCCTCGCTTCCGCCATCCGAGTCCTTTCTTTTCCAATTGATCTCGGCGGTCCAATTGATCTCGGGGGGCACCGCGTGTCGGGAAGCCGCCGTATCGTGTTCGTTTTCATTGAAATATACAATATACAATATACAATAAATACCCCGTGCCGCTGTCGTATAGTATACTAATGATCGTACGTCTTGATTAGTAAGTACCATGTAATTTATGTCATTTAGTAGTATGTGCATCATTCTTTTTGTTTGGATATTTAGGCATGAGTGATAATATATGCATGATGGTTCTAGCTAGGCAAGCACATCTACACACACACACAAACACACACTCACACGCACGCACGCACGCACAGATTCAATAAATACACATTAACCCACCCTTGCTATTCCATCCCATGCCATCCCAGCCCTATCGTCCCCCCAAACTCCCAACAACCTATCCATGCCACCCAATCCCACCCAGCCCTACATAGCCCCCCCAAAACACGCGTCCTCTCTCTCTCTCTAAATATCACTAACATCAACCACACCTCATACCACCATATTTGTTTCATCGATTTACTTACGCCGCCGTCGCCTAGCCTAGCCTAGCCTACGCCTAGGTATCATCTAAATACACCCTCACTTAATCACTTAATCACCTCACTACGCCTACCACTTAATCATGCCTATCACGCTATCACGCTATTATCACGCTGTCACCTCATCTACTAATTACTTCTAGTTTTTTAGTTTTCATACAGTAGCAGTTTCTGGGTTTGGAGACTAGTGCTTACATGGGAACTGTCATGGGAAGTATCGCTGACACTGTTATAAGTACTATTACAAGCACCCATCACTACCATAAGCACAAGCACTAACACAAGCACTACCACAAGCACAAGCACCAACACGAAGCACCAACCCATCCGATCCCCCGTTCTAATTACCCCAGACTCTTTCTTCATCCATGTCTTTGCCGTTTCTAGGACAATATCCATGTACCTAGCTAGCTAATTAGCTAGCTAGCTAGACCAATACTACACCAATACTACACCAACACCATACCAACCCTAACCCAACCCTAACACTAATTATCACTCACTCATTCATGCAAGCATAGTAAGTAGTAGCAGAAAAAGTCCTTGCTTGTATCACTCACAAGCACAACAACAACAAGCACATACGCACTAATTAACACTAATACAAAGTTATATATATCACAGGTCTAGTATGTCGAAAAGGCCGGGGATATACGAAGGTCGATGTACGATGTACGATATATAGATAGTACTTTACTAGCGTTATAGCGGGGTGTACTTGCATGCATGCATGCCTCTTTTGCGTGAGGTGTTTGTTTAGGGAGGAGGCTTGTCTTGGGTGTATATATATGGTACGTAGTGCATAGGTCTGCGATATGCATACACCACACACACACCCGCGGTCAAATCTCGTGATCAGCGTTGGTGTGTCGTTTGAGATGGCGTGGGATGTTTTAGTATATTTATAGTAGGATATAGGATGGTAGGATGGTAGGATGGTAGGATGGTAGGAGAGTATATATAAGGAGGAGGCTTAGGATGGAATATATATATATACTCTATCTACATTCACTCTACCTGTTAACCTCGCTTATCTATTCTCTATCCTCTATCCTCTACACCCTATTTGGTAGGTTTATTCTATACAACTTAAGTACCTTGACTTTTTCTTTTTTTGGCCTTGGTAATATGATAGGTACATCTTCTCAAGAAAAATATAAGTCTAGCTTTATATAGGATACATCTCTAATCATACTAGAATAGGGGCTATAGATGATAGCTAAGCGTAGGCGGTCGCTAAGGTAAATCTAGGGATATATCTAGGATTTCATGTGGTAGGAGCCGGGAGAACAGCTAGAAAAGGAATTTGCAGCGGTATCCACTCAGTGGATAACATCATATATGCGACCGTCCAGCATACATGATACATACCGAGCTCTTACCGTCCAGCCCTAGCCAGTACCATCGTCCATCGTCCATATCAAGAAAAGCCCCATCCACACCACAAAGTCCGCACACAACATTCGTAAAAATACAACACAAACTGCTACAGTGCATAGTCGCAAGCCCATCCATAAGCAAGGCACGCCCGTATTCCCCCAAATCATCCCATCCGTCTTAGTATCAAAACGTCCCCGTCACCCACACCGCGAAAAGGAAACCAGAACTACGACAGTATACAACGCTCTCAACGATAACAACGATGATAAACATACCCAGACCAACTAGCAAGGAGCCTCCTCCTTCTTCCCGTTATTAGTATACATATATACATACATACATACATACATACATACATACATACATACATACATACATACATACATACATACATACATACGTACATACGTACATACATACATACATACGTACATACATACACAGAAACTAGCTGTTGCACGTCGTGCCTAGTGTGCCTGGTGTGGGTGGTAGGTACGTCTAGATAGATCGGTGCTTCTAGATAGACACGTGGGTATGCATACGCGCGGGCGTGCCGACTGTGTTGATGGATGATGGATCTGCGTCTGAGGCGAGGACTGAGGGGCACTTGTAATCGTCAATTCCATGCTCGAATACATCCAACCCGCTCTTGATACCGCCGCCCATCTGCAATGCGATGTGCTGCCTTGGCAATCCTCCTGCCGGGTATACTAGAGTCCATATACTAGTGTAGATTCGTGCTGATTATTTATACTCACTACATGCATACCACATTCTGTGCACTGAAAGGGCTCCTATAAACTTCCCATGAACACCTTCGAATCGAAACATCTGCCTTCTGCTATCACCCGTGTACGCTTCTGCCAGCTCGATATCCCAGTCTGCGCCGGGCGAGGGTGGCTTTGATAGTCCCTGATGGGTATCCTGAAATCGAGTCTTCTGCGGTATGCTAGTAATCGTCTTATGAGCATCGTTTACTTGATATAGCCTTGAGGACATAGACGAAGCTTCTATAGATTGTTATGGACAATGATGGTGTCATCTCTCTTGGTAAAGGATTGATTGAACTAATTAACTACCTGACTGATTCTGGCTATCTATATGAGAGCCATTTGCTAGTAGTTCCTGGCCTCAGCAGTTCCTGCCATTAATGATAGTGTCACTTCCCGTGACATAGATTCTGGTAGATGTTCTTAAAGCGTGTCTTCTACGGGATGCTGAAACACAGTTCTGTGGAATAGTCTTACTAGTTATCGTGTGAAGAGGGTAAAGTGGATCCAGATGACATGTAATGCGTAATCACAAAGCGAGCGCTCTGGAGTATGCTGGTATGCTGTCGTGGGTCGGGGTACTTGATATATAGCATATAAGACCTGGGTAGGCTTCTGTAATGCCTGATGGATATGCCGGAATCGAGTTCTCTGCTTTAGGCTGGCGTCGTCATTCGTAATGTTCTGGAAGGACTGTCGCTGTATCAACCGGCCGTGGCGCGGCATTCGTTGCCGCTCCATTTCTTGTTTCGCTATCAAACGAAGGCGGGACCTGATGCTGGGCGTACAGCAAGGCAGTCGATTATGGCAGTCTCGACAAGCATCTGACTACATGTACAAGGGCTGGAGTCTCTCATGGCAGGTAGTCACCTCGGAGCGCGCCTCACATGCCATGTCAGACAGCTCGCTCACCACTCAGCAGGATCAGAACAGCATCACCATCACCATCACTTGGAAGCAGTTGCACAGGCAAGAGTAAAGAATCTCTGTATTGTTTGCCTCTGTCACCAGTCAGCCTCAACTGCCTGCCCTTGCAGGCAGACAGAAGAGTTTCCCGGGAGACGGCGCGTGGAGCCCGTGACAGTAGGACTTTGGTCTCCCTTCCTCCGCCTTGCACCTCAGAACTGCAGAGCCAACCGACCAGCGGGTTCTTAGAGTAGACCAGCTACAAACGACCAGCGTGAATCTTACAGGGTGCAGTCCTGAGAGCAAACCAATTCCCCGCCATGCCCGTTTGTTTCTGCAAGATTAGCTTCAGAAGCACCCAAACTTCCGAAGCCAGCGCTTGAGATTCCACCACCGTCCTTTGTAAGCTCGATCCTCACTTTGGATGCTATCGAGTCTTACACGCAGGTCCAATTCGGGAAGCCCGAATGGACCTGGCTGGTCCACGTGAATCCACGCGGTTTCCAGAGGACGTTTGGTACCAAAGATAGCCATTGGAAGCTTTATTGAAGTAGAAATCTTTGGATTTGAAAATTGAAGTGTGTTTGGGGCACGTAAGAGCAAAGAGTTAGGTTTGAGTTTCCTTTTCAATGCTGATGTAGGAGGAAAGAAGAGGGAGAGGGATTGGGCTGTAGATAAACGTGGGCTGTGCACAGTCCTGGGGCAGGATCAAAATCATGCCGGGCCAGAGTTCGATTGACTGATTGTGCGGCTCAATTTGGTGAGGTGGGTTGATTTTGACTCAGTACCGCGGAAAAGGGGGCCGTAGACATCCGCGCGGCAGCAGAATAGGGGAAGAGGTGGACCTCGGACCCGGTCGGAGTCCTGCGGAAGGTCACATTGCTGCAATGAATAGACGCGCGATAGCGTTTATGGCGATAGTTTCCATGGGCGTCCGCTCAACATGTCCGGAGTAGGGTTGTTCATTACTCATAGCAATTCCCGGCTCTTGAAGGAAGAGAGGTTACAAGACAAACGGGTGCCGCCGGATCCCTCGGTACCAAAGTCGAGTGATAGGAGATGGAATCGCCCAAGAACGACCAAAAGTATAAATCGTCAGTGGGTATAGGAGACCGATGCGGCGGCGATGTGAGCGCCGTTAGTCCTGGAACGGACTGTGCGAGATCGATGTGGCCGCATTAGGTGGGTGTTTCGATCTTCGATTTTCGATCTTGCGTTCTTGCAGACGGGCACAGTCGATAATCGATACCAGACACCCGCTGAAGAGCCGGAGGGGCATCTGGGAGTTGGGTCCACCTTTTCGAAGCCCCTCTGATTGTGCGTGTAAGACGTTAGCGAAATAAGCGATGTGGCATGATTGTTCGTGGGTAGCAATCGAGTGCAAGCAGTGTTTCGCAGCGTTAATTTATGAGTAGGTATATGTAGGGAGGTACCATCGCTGGGCTTTAGATGGGATATGGCATGGATATAACAGCTCAGGAGTGCAGTCTCACTAGTGGGTTCGGATAAGAATCGAGGTGTCCGACGGGTAGCAAGAGCTTATTAAGGATGAAGTATCAGCAACGAAGCGTAGGGTGAAGGGTACATCGACCGGATTTGAAGTGTTAGCTGACGTGGAGGCGTATAGACATCAGCATGACAAGTAGGAAGCTGACCTAACAAAGCTTTCCCAACGGGTATATGCCTCAACCATTTGATAGTCAATTACAATCAAGGAGTGATAACAAAATCTAGTTAAAGGATCCTAGTCGTAAGGATACAATGTGGAACTGTTTCTCTGCGGCAAATGAACACTCTGCGGGATCTTTAGATCTCTCCGCCATATACCCCATGTCTCTTATTATAAAAGGCGGGCGCGATCATCACAGTGTGAGGTCGTGGTGAGGCTTGTGCAGCGACTAGCAAGACAGTATTCGAGCATAGAAGAGGTCTGGTGTGTAGTCGGCGAGGAGAGAGTGGTAGTATTCCGCATGGGTATTCGGCGAGCGACGGATGTATCTGGTGACTGTGATGCGGGCTGCGGGCGGTAGGTCTAGGTATACGAGTGGTATGCTGTATGAACGACGCAGTAATAGCTGCAACGAAGAGCAAAGAACCTGGTCAGAGGCGTGAGCTCATTTTGACTATGTGCACCACAGGCGTCAGAAACAAATGACCGGATGCCGTTCATAATTCCAGTAGGAGGCGACCAGCCATGTTACGCGTGTGAAAAAACACACTCCATAAGTCGAAAATGCACATATATCTCCACGGCCACAAAGTCCACAATGTCATACGTGATAACCTCTTAGTAATGGCCAGCAGATATTCGAAAAGTCAACATCCGCGGTGAATGCGAGGCGGGAGAAATAGGATAGATACCTCAAGTAGGTATGATCAAAGCCCTGGGGGTCTTAAGGTTGTAGGGCTGTTAGAATGTCCAGTATCTGGTGGGATTTATAGGCAATGATCTAGCTAGAGAGGTGACTAGTCCTTTAGGTAGCTTGGTAGTTAGACTTCGTAGAGGGAGGAAGTCGCGTCCCAGGAGAAAGCGCAGGCTGATACGCGGGTATGGGAGGGAAATGACCGCAGGCAAAGGACTGTCCATTCGGTATCAGTCAAAATAAGAGTACGACCACTGGCTTAAGGTTTTCAAGACTCTAAGAGCTCTGGACATTTCAGATCTACAAGGAGTAAGATGTTCAATAATTATAGAGTTTCAGATTTAGAACCTTCCAGAATGATTAAATATAAGAATAAAGAACTTTAAGAATCATGACCTGTAAGCATTAAGATAGTTACTAATGATAGTACTTAATATAAGAACCTTTAAGAATTATACCTGACTAGCATTCAAACTCTTAAAAAGATTAAAAGTTAAGATGATAGCATCCGGCTATACATATACATTTACAGCCTCTAGAAGGAATAGATATGTAACATCTCCAAAAGACCTTCGAAACACCGCCCATGCAAATCACGGCGCAAGCAAGGAATCAAATCTCCATATACACTACGCACCATATTGTGACCGATACAACCATGAACATCCATCAACTCCAAACCTCCTTACAAGGCTGCAGCAACGCTTCATAAGATCATCTAATAACAGACAGTATTCTCCCTAGCAATCTTAAACTTAAAATCCCCCCGAGGCCGCGAGGCAGCGAAAGCTTCATTATCTAATTAAGTCTGTCCTAGACGCTCCACTAACTTCGAGATATACTATATCCGCGTTCCTAATTACGTACTGACTGAGCGCGGCTAAGAAAAGCGAAGTGCAATCCGGACTTCTAGTGCCTGTGATCAGTACTAAAAAACAGGATATATTAGGAATGCATGTCTTCTAGAATATAGTCGAGTAGAGGTATAGAAGAAGCATGTCTATTCAATACTACTAACATTATACATATATTATAAAGATTACATGAGGAAATACATACATAGACAAGAAACACGAATGTGACTGTTTGGATATGAGAGGTGTCTGGTTGTGAGGACAGTTTGTCCTTCTGTAGCGCCCCCGCCTGTCAGACGACGCCACAGAATGCTCAAGCTCATGCATCTAGCGTCGTAGGACGGATGAATCGAGAGGGCATGGCATGTAACCGCATCCTATCGCGGTCAACTATGAATAGATAAGGAAGGTATGTCCTAATACAACCTAAGAAGTCTCCAGCTACCTCAGCTAGTCAAGGATCTACATGACATAACAAGTCTACTCACGTCCTCTCAACGGAGATGCCATTACCTTCTAGACCACAGGAACGTGCAGGTACCCAACCATCCACCCATATGCCCACAATCGCAAAGGAGCAATGCATCCCATCTGCGGAGAGTCAATGAGCTCAAAGGGTTCATTCTCCCTGGTATCACCACTAGCTTGGGACTATGAATCAATCATATTATCCACAATCTTATCTCCTCATGGTGTGATACGTCCCTACCTAAGTCGGCTCCCAAGACGAGACTTTCGACGAGGCTAGAATTGCTAGACCTTCCTGCTTGCTGCTAGAGAACGCATGACATTGGAGTCTGACTAATGTAAGTGGGTAAGTGGATACCGAGCACTGCCCACAAGTCAAACGGGAGAGTGACGAATTCTTCCTTTCTCAGGAGAGGACATGTTGATTTAGTTAGATAACATCCTTCTCCTCTTCCTCTTTCTCTTCCTCCTACGACAACGATGACGATAACGACGAAGACGATGACAACGAATGCACCTGGTGCAATAAACGTGGCTCCACATTCAGAAGGCCACAAATACCAAGATTGTCAGAAGCCTACCCATCAAACAAGCAAACCCCCCCGGTCCCCTTCCAAACACGAAACGAAAGAAATACAAAGTCAGAGCATAGTTTGGTGACGCTGTAGCAAGGCCGCTCGCCCTAGGATGGCCCAAGACTTTGTGACACGGAAGACTCTAGATCAATTTGAAGACTGTTCAATAAGGCTATGAACCAGCCTATTCATCACGAAAGCAAAAGAGCACAATATAATCGAAGTTTTGCCATGCTTCGTAGCAGGCACAGTCTGATGTCTACAGAACTATCCCATACTACACATCTGGCGCCATGTCAGCATACCTTTCCACTGTTTCTGACTAGCCGCATCTCTATTGGGGAGCCTCTAGCTTTACAGCAACAGTGCCTAGATACTTGGCCATGGCTTGGAAACACCCCAATAACATGAACGTGACGTCATTGTGGGTATCGTTATCTATGCTGTGATGGAGTCTATGAAGTAGAATTGTTAGTGATCAGGGGCGCTCGGAGATGTTGGTTCAATGTTCCGATCGTAGAGCACTCAAACGATCATCCGTGGCTAGGACCGGCTGATGAAGCAAGTCTATGAGGAAGCGAGCGCAAGCGAGCGAAACTTTGAAAATGTCGAACCTGTGGCACAATTTCGATGCTACACGATACTAGTTAGCGCAGAAACAATGTCTGAAGCATCATGTAGCTCACCATTTTGGACAATTGCCCCATCCTCCCAATCCATGTCTTAGACTATTTATCCTTTGACAACCTTCTTTCCTGCCTGCATACACGCATGACAATAGTTGTGACGAAAGCCGCAACACCGACAGTGCCTACATGCGGACTCAAGTGAGGAGATCAGCCACTGTTTGAAAATTAGTGCTCTACAACTTGTGGTTTTGACCTGTCTTACCGTTCATAGGCATTTCATCGATCTGAGTGGAGTAGTATACTAAGTCTGATTAGCCCTTGTACAATATCCGTGTTTGTATTCGACTTACGTTCAATGTCTCGAAGTATCCTGACGTCTTCGCTGGTGACGAAGTTGATCGCAACGCCCTTGCGGCCAAATCTGCCACTGCGGCCAATCCTGTGAATGTAATTCTCACGGTTGCTTGGCAGATCGTAATTGATTACAAGGGATACTTGTTGGACGTCAATCCCTCTAGCCCAGACATCCGTGGAGATCAAGACGCGAGAGTTTCCCTGGCGAAAGTCCTGCATGATACTATCTCGCTCTTTCTGAGGCATATCGCCGTGCATCGAAGAAACCGTGAAATTTGCCGCGCGCATCTTGTCGGTCAACCAGTCAACCTTTCTGCGAGTATTGCAGAAAATGACAGCTTGTGTAATAGTTAGCGTGTCATAAAGGTCGCATAGAGTGTCGAATTTCCACTCTTCTTTTTCGATTGCAATGAAATACTGCTTCAACCCCTCTAGTGTCAATTCATCACGCTTGACCAGGATTCGGACAGGATCCGTCATGAATTTTGTCGTCATATCGAGAACATCGTATGGAAGGGTAGCAGACACGACAACGACTTGCGTGGCAGGAGGTAGGTATCGGTATACGTCGTATATTTGTTCACGGAATCCGCGATTTAGGAGCTCGTCGGCCTCATCGAGCACCAGCATTTTGATCTGGCGAGTGCGCAGGTTTCGACGGCGGATCATATCGGCGACACGACCGGGGGTCCCAGAAACAACATGCTGACCGTAGTCAAGTTTGCGGATATCCTCGCCGACGTTTGTACCTCCAATACATGCGTGGCACTGGACATTCATGTAATCTCCAAGTGCCATGACAACGGACTGAATCTGAGTTGCCAACTCGCGGGTAGGGGAGAGAACAAGGGCTATGAGACAGTCAATTTTGGTTGTAACCTTCGTATGTATTGTCGAGCTTACCCTGTGTTTCTCTCACAGCGGTATCAATGACTTGGAGGATACTGATGGAAAACGTAGCAGTTTTACCGGTACCAGACTGTGCTTGAGCGATGGTGTCGCGACCTTTGCAAACTTGGACAATAGCGCGAGATTGAACAGCCGAGGGCGATTCATAGCCATATGCGTAAATACCACGAAGTAGGTTCTCTTTTAGGTGCATAGCCTCGAAGGTGGGCGCAACAGTGACCTCCTTCGAGGTCGAGAACTCCATGCGTTCATCTGCTTTTCTGTCGATACCGTCCGTCATGATTGTTGCTATTGTAGAAGAAATTCGGGTGGTAGATGGTATAAGGCGCGATGCAAAGGGGCCCACGATTGAGTCGCGGTCAAAATTTCAGTGCGGTCTTGCAGAGGAACAATCCATAGCAGAACGGACGAGATGCACTGGATGACTAAGCGCGAAGATACCTTAGGGTAGTAGCCTGTAGGTGCCTTACTGGTACCCACTAAGGCACTGGACACTGAAAGTCTTGGCAACGAAGCTGCACAATACGATCTTCCACATAGGACGTCAGCATTAGGCGGTAGCAACGTTCACTATGTACTATAGAGTCGCATTGATAATTCTTCCTAGTCGCTGCCTAGCTGCTTCTTTCACTGTACAAGAACGCCTGTTGATATGCATAGAGTCGCTCGCCGTCTGCGGAGCTAACTTCTCCAATCCAATCCTCCAAGCACGCTAGGCAGACCACAGCAGCTCTAATATATAAATGTATATATCAAAGGTCTGTATAGTCTAGCGAATGAAAATTGAGTCTGCCTTTCCCCAGAGACTCCGCTGCTTGTTCACGTGGTCCAAGCCTAGTGCTACATCGTCACGATCACCGATAAGGTTTGTGATTACATCTTCTGGAATGCTGTTAGCGAATGCACATGCGCGAGACATTAACTACATGCCATCATTCAAAAGTTGAGGTTTTGAGTATGCAGGTCTTTGAATCAAGGAAAACTTGATCTTATCCAAGTTCTTTCCCTTGATACCTGTCCGTTTCGACAGCCGCTCTTTGGTGTCTTTGAAGACTTCGCCCTGCATCGCTTGTTAAATACTGGGTCAACGAATTTGAGATACATGCACGCACCTCTTTGAGAACAAATGTGAACGGTATGCTATGCGGCTTCGCAGGATCCTTATCGAAATGGAACGCACTCATGAGTCGGGGGTTCTCATCGGCGAGTTCTTCGTCTGGTATTCTTTCGGCATATAGTACGAAGAATTCGTTAATCCCAGCTATGTCTTGGTCAAGAGGCATTGGCTTGATTAGCTTGTTACTCTGTGTTTGGAAGATCCGACACTTTCTTATCGAGTCATCGGGAAGGTTGATCTTTTTCTGTAAACCCTCTAATAGGTCACTGATTGTGCCGTTCTTGGGAACCAGAACTTCATAATCATCCACCTTCGAGATACCATCTGATAACCAAGAAATCTTCAATAATTTCCGGGATTCCAGCTCTGCGAGACTTAATTCGAGTACCTCGTAGAACAACTGATCATTCTTTGGTGCCGTAGATGACGCATAGCCTCCGTATGCAGTCGGGAAGAGGATGCCTCCCAAGGTCATATTTGGAGTCCGTTTGATTTGTACCTTCGGCCGATTCGTCGTAGGGTTAATAGTTGTGAAGCGAATATGGGTCGGGTCGACTCCTAGATGGATACCAACCTTCGCTGCAAATTGGTCGTAATTCATCTTCTTGCTTAAAGTGAGCATGAAAGACGAAGATTCGTCATCAGTAGGGGGCTTCGGTGTGAACGTGACATCACACCGATTGAGCAAATAATCGTAGAATTCTCGAACCTCCACGAACTTCCCGCTCGCTGTAAGCTCTGTAATATCCTTCTCTGGCAGTGTTTTCTGGATGGTAATAATATCGCCATCCTGGATCTCTGATGCATGAAGAGTGGCCTTTGGTTTGATGGGTTCAATCATGCTCTGTTTGATCTCTTCAAATAATTTAAAAGTGGTGCCAGCTGGCCAATTCATCATTTCGAGTATTTGAGGGGACAAATCCTGGACTTTTGTGTGTTGACCTGCGTAGAAGGTTCCCACCCCAAAAAGCGTTTGCTCTTCTGCGTCAAAATGCTTGAGAAAGAGCATAATCGGCTTGTTTCCGGGCTGTTGTTGAATAACGTCCGATTGAACTTCGCCAAAAATGGGATTTCCTTCTGAATCTAACTCTTTAGTACTCTCTACCCAGATTCGGAAATGCGGAGTCTTGGAGCCAAATTTGTTCGCTGCCTCCTCGACGGTGAAACTTGAGATTGTTATCGGCTGATCTGGACGAACTGTTCCATTTTGTCGATTTACCATCGCCCATGGTCTGAGCAGATTCGGGTCAGCTTCGATGTCTTCAGCAACCAGTTTGAGAAATTCTGTCAGTAATGTCGAACGAAGAACCCGGTAGTGTTTCGGGAACGCCGGGGTGCCGCTTTCCTTAGTCCACGGAACAATGTCGAAGCCTTGGTATGCAGTAAAATTCTTCTTTGTGGCAACATGGAGGTCCATGTATAGATGTGCTTCTTCTCGCTCCTTTTTCCGCCTTTCGGCTGCAATTCTTTCCTCCGCGATTCGCTGGGCTTGAAATTGTCAGCACATACGCTTTTGACCTTGTCAATTTCGAACTCACCTAGATGCGGGGGCACAGTAACTTCCTGATTAGGGAGTAAGATATCATCCAATCTGCTCTCACGGATATAAACGAGCATGTAAGCACTCATCGAGCGTTTCGATGACCACGTTCGGGTGTATGGATTCCGTTGTTGATTGTTGGCCGTGTTAGTAGGGTAATCGCCACCAAAGTTTTCTTCCATAGCTTCACGCTTGGTGGCGCGAGTGACTCGATCGTCGTCGAATTTGTAGAATTCGCCATTCTTGTCAGGCTTTAAAAAGGCGTAGTAGTGTCCAGCGTTAAGATCACCACTGTGTACTAGTACTCCGTGCAGGTGGTAGATATAAGGCTCGGAGCGGTCCGCAGTTTCAGAAAGATAGGGTGAGGCGTCCCAGAATTCAGGGAACTCGTATCGGTCGTTGACCTTCATCATGGCATCACGGTTGATGTCGTACTCGAATCGCTTGAGCTGGAGATGCAGAACTTGCGGGAAGCTTTCGAATATGACGCCTTTCTTGGCGTCCTGGAGACCGTGACCTTCAGCAAAGTATTTGTTCTCGCCATCCATAGTTTCAACCTGGACATAGTCTTTGAAGCTGTCATCCAGATTCTTGTTCCCACTAACGTTGAGCTGCACGTCCCAAAAGTCTTCAGTGCGCGAAGATTCGTAAGGAACGTTGATGCAAGATATGTAGGTTTTCATTTTGCCCAGGAACATCTTCGAAAGGGCATCCTGAGCTTCAGTTCCTTTCATCTTCTCTTCCATTCTTTCCATCAGGATACGGGACAACTCTTGTACATCCTGTTGTTCGAAGATCTGTTTGGAGTCCCATCCGAAGGATTGGGTTAGCTCATTGGTCGGAACTGGTTGCGCGCTACTTTGAAGTTGATAGAAAAGCCTTTGTAGCGCGTAGGCGCTGTTTGATCGATCTGCTTCCTGCTCAGTCGGTATCTGATAAATTGCCTAATCAACAAGTTAGCATCCTAGAAATCGATATTTGCAGCGCGTGTGGTATACTTTGCGGAAGGCATTCGTGAAATATAGCGACTGTAGCAGCGAGTTTAGATAGCATGTTGCACCCTGATTTTTTAGTCCCACCAGTCCAGTCTCTTTTTTTGAATCGTAACTACATTGATCAGCTCACGCACTGTTGCAACCAGTCAGAACATACTTCAAGAAATTGTGCCATAAAACACCTGTGGGATCTTTCAACACTCTGACATATGCCGTCACCTTGGCACTGTCATTTTCAACCATAGGCCGAGGTTTATCTTCCCATGACGAGGCGAAGAGCTTTCGAAGCTCAGCAAACCGTGTAAATCCCCAGTCACCCTCATCTACAGTGAACCTATGCGTCGCGGTATGTGTGACGTGCATTGTAGGGTCGTTGGGATTCCATAATACTAGGAGAAATTGCACACAAGCATACCAGTCCTCTGGAGGCTTATCTTCAAATCCTTGTTCAAGATAAAATGAAGCACTGTCCACATTGTTGCCGCTTGGAAAGAAGAGAATCCTCCAAGGAGAGCCTGCGCATTGGAAGACTGGTCCATGTTCTTTGCGACCCATCTGTCTCCAATTTGTGATATCCCAAGTGTGTATGGCTTCGTCCTCTGCTTCCTGATCTGGTAGGTCTGGTAGATATCTCTCTTTCATGGCATCAAAGTCATCCGCTCTCAGTATGGGTTCAGCTTCGATATCTTCCATTGCGTCGGGGTCATCCTGCGATATGATGGCAACATCATGTTTCTCCTCGAACTCTGAATCGATCAGCATATCGCTTCCGAGCTTGCAAGATATCAGTCAGTCTCTTTGTTCACTATGCGCCTGGAGCTCGGTGTATTGGGAGGAAAGGCAGAGCTTACTTGGTCCATGGTCAAGAGTGGCGTGGAAAAGATGGAGGAGGGGTCGCGGTGGCTTCAAAAGAAGCTACCTTCTCTGCCGAACGCGAAAGAGAGAGAAAGTGCAGGGCGAGAGAAATCGTGCTTGTTGGCACGGGAGACCGGAGCAACAGTTTCTGGAAGCGCACAATACAGCGTACAGGATGATTCTGGCTGGGCGTGAGAGGATGGATGTCAAGATTGAGGTACGTAGCGGCAGCTCGCTAAAGCGGCAGAGCGCACAGAGCAATGACGAATGGGAGCACTGCACCGGAGATATGCAACAGTGCTATGTATTAAGGTTAGATGTGAGGCAGCAGAGTATCGCGCTATATGGGGATACCGTCCTGGTGTCAATTGTTGGTTCATGAATGAGGACTACTATGTACAACCCCGCTGATTCAGACTTTATATCACAAACCGGACCTATATCTGAATAACTCTTCGGAGCCAGCAAGCTACTATGCAATCAATGCCAGCATGTACATTCGGTAATGTTTGGGATGTTAACAGGAGCGACTGTCACGCGTGAGAACTTTGCTATGAAATGCAAGGTTCTGTTCTCTTTGCCTAGGCAATTGACAGGACACGAACAACGCATTCAGTTTGTATGTCATAGCGATAGTCTCAACATCGAAAATGTTAAGACACAACCATCTGTACAAATCCTGAAGGGAGTTCGGCGCCGGCACTGTAGGTCGTCGTATGAACGACACAAGACGAGTTGTTGGGTGAAAAATGATGTCGAAGTCATGTCACCGACTGAACAGGGATCTAAGTTTTCCAGTAGCATGGAACACTTCAACAGGTAGAAAGTAAGCCTAGGGGGTGCGTGTGCTTGTGCGGGGGCACTGAGGGGAGCAGCCAGCAAAGGCAAAGTTTGGCGGGGCTCAAGCTGTCTGTATCCATCGATCTATCCCCTGTTCGGTAGCACAGGGCGAGGTCTTTTTAACGTCGTCTGCTAATTTAGAGCTTTGAGCTGTGCTGTGAGCCTAACTCACTCCTCATGTCGCCCTGCCTACGTCCTTTGCACACATATCTTTTCGATGTTTCTACCCAGGACATCTCCAAATTGCAGCAATGTTTCGAGAAAATCGATACTCTATCTGAGCTCGACAAGATATGCTTGTCGAGCACTGAGCCATGTCCATCGCAAGCATGCGGCATATCGGCCATCAACTGCTCTCGATGAGTACGCGACCTCCTCTGAGCCACATTTGATGTGGGTTCTTCGACATGTGCTGACATCCGGGCGTCAGTTGGGTGCAACGTGAAGCCAGACCTATCAGTCTGCGTCAATTGACATTCTTTGGGAGAACATTGACTCAGTCACGTTTGCTCGAATCTGCAAATTATGTGCGCACAGAACTGCCTACACGGTACCATGCCTTGAACCCGAATTCAACGTAGTAGAGGAGACTGATACTGTGCATATAGCATAGCACATCGCTTGCGCGATATGCAGACACTTCCGTACGTAGTCGTAACTAACCCTCATATCTCACACGTATACGATCTATATTTCAAAGCTTTTGAGAGATTTCGACGAATCCCTGAGATCAAATCGCTGGAAGAAAATGATAATTATGTTAAAATTGTGAATGAGACACTCCGTGAGCATGCCACGATCATACCGCGACTGGCCACAGGCGTTCTGGAAATCCAGGGTCTTATGGAACCAGAAGAGACGGACAAATTTATGACCACACTCTTGAGATCGGTAGGCAGTGACCAACTATATTTCGTTTCTATCTCACTAACCACACTCCATTGCACAGCGCATATCACGACGAGTGATAGCCGAACAACACCTTGCTCTGACCGATACATTTCATTCGCCATGGCATTGTCCAGAATCCAAGATCGAGGAGCCTAACAGTGATTTTGTTGGCGAGATCTTTCTGCGATGCAATGCCAAAGAAATCGTGGAAAGATGTGCGACTGCCACCCAGAAGCTCCTTAGACAGTCGTATGGAGCCTCTTGCCGTATTCCGGAGGTCAGAGTAGAGGGACATTTGGACGCCACATTCCCGTACATCGTGACTCACTTGGAATACATTGTTGGAGAGTTACTGCGTAACTCAATTCAAGCCGTCGTTGAACAGCGGAAATATCGTGATGTGGACCCACCGCCAATCGAGGTCCTGATATGCGAGACACGCCAACATGTAATTCTTAGGATTTCAGATCAAGGAGGTGGTGTGCCACGAGAGATCTTGCCATATCTATGGTCTTTCAGTAAAGGGCCAAGGCGAGAGAAACGTCTGCATAACCTCCACCAAGTTCCAAAAATGCTTGGAACGCTCCAAGAAGTCAAGGCATCCTCAGATCAAAGCTCGATCGTGAATGACACTGCGGGAGACTCAAAACATCGCTCTTCTCTATCTTCACTTGCCAGTCGCTCGCCCCAGCTACGCTTAGGTATCGGGCTGCCAATGAGCAGAATATACGCAGAGTACTGGGCCGGAAGCCTAGAGCTACATAGCCTCGAGGGATATGGCGTTGACTGCTTCCTCCAGGTATCTAAGCTGGGCAACAAGAACGAGAGGCTTACGACTAGAGCGAGCATGGACGCCGTTTAAGAAACCCCTACTTCTATGCAGCCACCATACGCAGTGCGTCTCGGTCCTGCATGTTGGAGCTTGCTCTCAACCGTTTATTGTGGATTCGCACCTGCTTCTTCCAGTCGGCGAGCGGGAAGTTGCAAGTCAGGCTGTCTTCTAGCCTACCTTCCTCGCGCTTCCAGTAACAACAGTATAAACAATCGTCCAGACACTCGGCATCAACACGACACAAATACTCAGCATCAACACAACACAACACAAATACTCAGCATCCACACCACACAAATACTCAGTATCAACACAGTATCTCCGCTATTAGCACATGTTATCTAGGCATGGAGAATCTTAAGAGCTTCGTTAAATCATTGTCCAACATGCTTTTTCAACCTATCGGAGTATGCCTGTTCCTGTCTACTTCGTCAGAGGATACTAACACATACAGATCAAGGGGCGATTACCTCTTCGTAACCATGGTTATTCTGATGACCTTGACGCCCTCTCCATACGGTTCATCCTCGATGGTCTCGCTCCAAATCCTGACAGTACTGAGGTTGAACTATATCTTCCTCAGACTCGCGAAGGCCCAGCTGGACCCCCTGTGCCTACTCTACTTCCAGGAGCCATCGAACAGCACAGTACAAGCTCGGTGTGGAAGGGTCCTATCACGCATATTCGCGAGATTTATCATTGGGAGAAGTGTTTGCGGGCTTGCCTCGAGAACCTGTTAGCGATGACATTGCTGAAGGAATTTCGACAGGCTGCAAAGCGTCAGATCGGTAAGTTGGGGAACATCGCTCGAACATTGAACCGAATGCTTACACGGTACAGTGAGATTGAAGCCACGTACCGCTGGCAGAATGCTCTGTCACTTCGCGAATAGTGCTGGTCGAAAGACGTTTCACATCGTACTGGAAGACCTCTTGACAGACATGATCGAGCTTTACAACAATGAATTTGCGGATGCGGACCAGTCAGTATTCGCACTTTATGGGGACCTTCGAGACGAATTGGTCGCATTTCTGCGAACTCACGACTGTTTCCAAGAAGTTCAGGGTGTATACATGCTGATTGACGTGGATCTTCATGCTGCGTGCGACGGCCCTCACAAAGTCAATTTGACTGGAACCACCACGTGGAAACATCCCTCAATCACGTTCATAAGCTTAAAGACTAGAGTCTTAGCTGGCGAACCCGTTGCTCTCTTCTTACACTACGATGCCCCGTTGATGTCTGACGCATATCCCTGCGGCGTTACTCCAGAATATTGCATCGACTCAAATGACATGCCATGGCAGTGGATTACTGGATCCCAAGGATTTGTTTGCGAGGCACCGATCAGTCTTGTTGACTCCGTCAAGTCTTCTCCTCTGAAACACAATACCTCAAAATCCAAATTTGTGACCGTGAGTGACATCAAGGCCATTCTTGACACGCATTTTCCCGGGCGTATGAAGCATGAACGAATTTCTCGCATCCGTGTCAGGCTTGAGATAGCAGCACACGATGACATGAATTCGCAGACTTGGCGTCGGGATAGACAATTCATGCACATCAACTATGATAATGGGTGCCTTGAGCCAAGATACGATTTTACTGGAGTAGATGTATCACAGGACCACTACTCTGCAACAACAAGGGAGCTAAACCCGTACGCGTACCCACCACCGGGCCCTTACTGGCTGAAACAGTACGAAATCGAGAATGGAGAGCCGTTCCAATTCGAAACTACTAAGGAGATTATGGACAGAGAGGACAAAGAACTTTTCGGACCCTTGGGCTACAGTACTGTTCATGGTTACCCATCCAAAACCAAGAACGTAAGTGTACAAAGATATCGGTTGCCTAAGAGGGCATCATGGCAAGCACTTGTGGTGCCTCAAATGGAATCTACAGAGCAGCAGTCGGAACGACTTGAGGACTTACAGGAGAGGGCTGACAGTTGTTTTGATGCGGATGCCCTCAATGCGGCTCTCTCGCACTCTCCGGCTGCATTGACGCCACCTGATTCAAGAAGCAGTCCTTCAAGTGAAAGTGAGGCTGGACCTGGGGCAGATGCGAGCGGACTTCGAGCAAAGACTCTCAACGTATTCAATTTCACCGTCGAAGATTTGCCGAGCTGTAATGAAGGGAAGCTTGAAGTTCTCAGCGTTCCTTCTCGTCAGGATAGCTTGATAGGTGGACCCTTCAGTGCGGATATCGATGGCAGCCCGGGAAAAGAGCAGACACCATCCAGTGTTCGGGTAAACGCTTTAGACGGTACACTAGATATGCATTCCCGAAACAAGATTGAAAACGAACTCGCGACAAACGAGGAGACAAAGCCTGATCAGAAGGACATCCGTACGTACTTTGAACAGTGTTTGGCCAAGACAGCCAGCGCGTCGAATATCGCTGTGCTCACCAAAGACAACAAGGATCTAGAAGAGGAAAAGGTCTACGAAAGCTTTTTCCTCGATATTCGCAGCTCAGGGGCTAACTCTTCAATTGCAGCCGTGGAACGTCTCGACGAGGATTCCAGGGCCGTTGATGACCAGGATTCTATGCTGGGATCCAACGAAGATCTCGACATGGATATGGTGGCCGACATGGAGTGATACAAGGGAGGAGAACGGCTGTGGACTGTCGGGAGTACCAGGAGGAGGACACTTTGGTACTACCTGGTGGTATATGATCATGAGGTGGTTTCAAACTGGTTTTCAGTTCCTTTGGCGCATGTTTGAGATTTCGCACGCGCGCATCGGGCCGCATTTCTATCGCTTAGCCTCCCTCAACGGGGAGTGATGCAGGTATGTAGCTGTTATTCGCAGATTATCCTCTCCCTTGTGTTCCTGTTTTGTGTCAGGTGTGTTGGCATGCACGGATCAGAGAGATAGGAAAAGGACAAACCTGAATCTTTCTTTACCTGATCGCCCATAGCTTGGTAACGGGACTCATTGATTAGCCTCTTGCACGCTAGCATGTCTACACTGTAGGGTAGCAATATATGAAGGTGTCAAGCAACTATCTTGTATAACATTGCTGTTGTTTCGACAGTGCTAATGCTCAGGCCGCTACTATATACCAGAAATGGATAGACGCATGTGCATGTGGGAGCGGCTTCTTGGCGCTGATCAAAAGCCACTTTCCTACCTGCTTAGGGGGTAAGGTTCGGCCGTGGAACCAGCCACTGAGCTTCAAGGTGACACTCGAAACTACTGCCGCGCATGTCGCTATTGCTGGCCGCCAAAATGACATTCTTCCTGCCCATCCGCCACTGAATACAATCCATTTCCTTTACTGCTTCGTCCGGCGTATTCACAATTGGCTTCTCTTACTCGTCTTCTTCATGTTGATCTTCAGATTGCCCTCCCAGCGCGTCGATAACGCGCGAGTTCCATTCCCTACCTACACGAATCCTGACTGTCGCAAACTCGATATAGTCTTGCGTACACCTTTTTATACCTATACGTGACGCCTTGGTATATATCCATTAAACATGACGTCCTGAAAGCCGCAGGCACTCGCAATTCGCGTGGCTCCATTCATATCACCCCTTACAACCCTCTGTCCTAAAACTTCTCGTCATCCAAAGACAGGGCTTGAAGCCGAGCATAATTTTGAGTTGTTTTTGCGGATCAATACGAGTTTTTCTGAGCACTGGCTCGCAGCTTTGCAGAAATGTTCGGACCTTGGATTGAAACATGGTCCTGGATTAAAAGTCTTGCGCCCAAGAAGTTCAAAGTCGAGAGGCCGCATCTCAACTTCATTACTATTCACTGTGAGTTACTTGGGCGATAGGAGGACGTGAAGAAGGAGGAAACATGCTAACTGGATTCGCTACTTTGCCTAGACCTGTATCTGGTTCTCATGACGATCGTGGGATCTATTATCTTGTTTCCGGGTGGAGGAATGTCTTATATCGACGCATTGTTCTTCGCCAGTGGCGCTGCCACTCAAAGTGGTCTCAACACGTAAGACGCTTGCAGGCCGTCGACCAAACCAATTGACTTACACCTCACAGAATTGATGTCAATCTACTGCACGTGTATCAACAGGTAAGAGAATCACTATGATCGAAGTTGCATTTCATTGATCCCGTCAAGGTCGCTATTATGTTGATAGCTTGTGTGTGCAACCCTATCTTCATACACACTTTTGTCGTCTTCGTACGCCTCTACTGGTTTGAGAAGCGTTTTCAGCACGTCGTTCGAGAGGCGAAGAAACTGCGGACCACGCGATCTCGCTCAAGGGCCCTAGGCGATGACGACGAGAATGCCATCGGACATATTGATCGCGGCGTCAATGGACGTGAGATCAGGGTGCTACGATCAGCAAATGGGAATGCGAGTAATGGAAGAGCAAAGGATGGGAGTGGCTCTGAAACTGGCGAATACTCCAATTCTGATGAAATGACACGGGAGCTCACACAATCGGAACGACCCATGAGTCCGAGCTCAGCAACGTTCAGACGAGACATTGTATTCGCGGATGAGCTACCTCGGGCTGAACGAGACTTGTCTAATCTGGACCGTATTCCTGAGAGACGTCCTGCCGAGCAACATATAGCCTTCGTTGAGAAACAGCGGAACCACAAAGACAAGGGCACCCTCTATATTCCAGGACCAACAGAGTTCGATCGCGGACATAAGCCTCAGGAGTTGAATGAGAATGAGGACGAAGGAGTGAGAAAGTTGCGAAATGACGAAGATGACTTGTCACGAGACATCCGCCCAGCTCATGCTAGGCGTATGAGCGAATTTCATGATGATGATGATCATCCGCTCAAGACCATGAAAAGACACGCTACGGCCGATGATGGGAACGACATGACATATCATTCACGTTTCAAGGACAAGATATCTGCGCCGTTCAAGCTGCCGAATTTAAAGGGAGACACTGGGATCCCCATACTACAAGGACTTCGACAGAGGGCAACGACACAGCGGACCAAAACCATGGCGAGTGTCCGTACAGAACGTAGCACAGATCGAGATCCTATGCCGTATCTGACTTGGCAGCCTACTATTGGGAGAAATTCAATGTTCATCGATTTGACTGAAGAGCAAAGAGAGGAACTAGGAGGCATCGAGTACCGAGCACTGAAAACCCTAAGTATCATTCTAGTTTGTCAGTTAATCCTCATGTTCTTTCGTACAATCAGGACTAACTAGGTTCAGTATACTATGTTGGGTTCCATCTAATTGGGATGATATGCCTGCTCCCATGGATCATAGAAACCCGCAGCTACCATACGGCACTCAATGAATCCAGCATCAACATTCCCTGGTGGGGCATATTCACACCAGCGTCGATGTTCAACGATCTCGGCTTCACATTAACACCTGACTCGATGATATCGTTCCAGTCCGCTGTCTTCCCTCTGCTGCTTGGAAGTTTTCTCATCATCATTGGAAACACAGGCTTCCCGTGTATGCTTCGATTCGTAATATGGTTTGCATCAAAGTGTGTGTCAGATAATACTCCTCTTTGGGACGAGCTCCATTTTCTTCTGAATCACCCTAGACGCTGTTTCACCTTACTGTTCCCAAGTAACGCCACCTGGTGGCTCTTCTGGGTGCTCGTTCTTTTGAACGGAATCGATCTGATATTTTTCATTATCCTTGATGTGAGGAGCTGTACTGCAGAATCGGAGTCACATCGCTGACCTGATACAGATCAATGACCCGACCGTCACAGACCTTCGCGTGGGAGTTCGAGTACTTGTCGGTCTATTCCAGGCCGCCTCAACTCGCACAGCAGGTTTCGCTGCTATCAACATCGCTGACCTTCACCCGGCTGTCCAAGTATCATATATGATCATGATGTACATTTCTGTATTCCCTATTGCCATATCCCTTCGTCGAACCAATGTCTACGAAGAAAAGTCGCTTGGAGTCTACCAAGATGCTGACGACGAATCTGATGGCAAGAATCACAGCTACATCGGCATGCATTTCCGGCGACAGTTATCGTTCGATCTATGGTATGTTTTCCTAGGCTTCTTCTTCATTGCCATCATCGAGGGCGGTCGATTGGAGAACACGAATGACTACGCTTTTACACTCTTCAGCGTATTGTTCGAGATCATAAGTGCATACGGCACAGTTGGTCTTTCCCTTGGCTATCCTGGTGTCAACACCTCCTTCTCCGGTCAATTTAGGACGTTGTCCAAGCTCATCATCATAGCTATGCAGATTCGCGGTCGGCATAGAGGTCTTCCATATGCACTTGACCGCGCAATTTTATTACCCTCTGAAGGGTTGAACAAGAAAGAAGCAACAGATCCGTCAAAGTTGCGTCGCCAAAGGAGCAATCTTAGCGAGATGGCTGCAGCTGGGGACGGTAATACAGATCTAGGGGCCGAGGGTAGAAACCCGACGATAGGCAGGAATCCTACCATTGGAAGAAACACAACCATCGAACGAGATCGTGGATATGGACTATCGAAACTCATTAGCGGGGCGTTGAGTGTGACCCCCACGACGCCGATCAAGGACAGGAACCGTGAGAAGGGGCTATAATCATTTCTCTCACGTACGGGTATATGCGCAACCATGGAAGCCGTTTTAGTAATCTTATAGAGTTGTTAACGGGCTAGAATTTTGATATTTGGCTGGATACTTTATTGTTGGATATAGAAGCCGACCATTTGAAGCAGTTGCTGATCTAGCGCTACATATTTATCATAGAATATGACGCCTATCTAATGATCTATGAGAGATGTATCAAATGGCATATGCGAAGCCTCTGCTGACTAAGTGTAACTTAATTGACTATTCTCATGCCTTAGGCATTCGAAATAGCATCCATACTAAACAAGTATCAAAGTAAAGCCGCAACGCGAAGCTTGCCATTGCGGACCCCTCCACCGTCCAGTGACGACGCAGAACGAAATGTCTACAATCACACAGAGTGCCCTGCAGAGCTCGTATCCGTAAGTAATCTTTGTTGTCTAATAATTTAATGCAGACTCATTGATATACTAACGGGCGAGTTTGCAACCAGGCCCCTCCTCCCGAAAGAGTTCAATGGGAACCAGCCAAAGACCATCCGACTCTTTCCCTTGAGCAACTATACCTTTGGTACAAAAGATGGACAGCCCGAAGAGGATCCGTCTGTGATGGCACGTCTCAAGCGTCTGGAAGAGCACTACAACGAGTATGGTATGAGAAGGACTTGCGAGGGTATCTTGGTCTGCCACGAGCACAACCATCCCCACGTACTAATGCTACAGATTGCAAACGCTTTCTTCAAGCTGTAGGTCATATCATCTCTAGCTTTTTATCGAATACTTACCTGGATTCCCGACAGACCTGGCGACTACCTCCAACCCGAAGACGAAGAGATTGATGGGTTCAAGAATAGACTGAATGAGCGCCTTGCACCGGTTGGATCACAATTCACGGGTGAGGGAGTTAACGACGAATGGCAGATTGCAGACTGTCTTGCGCAGTGGTGGAGGCCGAATTTCGAGACGTTTATGTATCCATTCATCCCGCCTCACGTCACGCGGCCAAAGGAGTGCAAGAAACTGTATTTCATTCAATTACCAAAGAGCAGTAAGTATCTGCAGCTCCGATCAACATATATGAAGCTAACCTCAGCGCAGAGGTCCTTAGTGTCCCAAAGAACATGAAGCTCCTCGCCGTGCCGCTATTTGAACTTTATGACAATACGCAGCGTTATGGTCCCCAACTATCGGCTATCCCACATCTGCTCTCGCGGTACAATTTCGAATATATAGATGAAAAGGGCGAGATCGTGGCTGTCACTCCAGGCGGTGGCCCGATGAGCGGTAATGTGCCTCAGACGAAAGTACTGGCAGGCGGGGACGAGGAGATGAACGGAGATGGCATCACCTCATGAAGAGGCTATATGATGGGATGCGTTCCACGACGTTTTGTGCATTTTAGCGGGCGTTGACAGGGTTCTGGAAGAATGGGATAGCAGTTCCAGCTTGAAGAGGTCGTTAAAGAGGAGATTTCATATTGGTCAAGCTTATAAATGAAATGGTGTAAGTAAGTTCGTAAGACATTTTACACAACGTTGTTGAACCAATGAAAATATGTATGGATCGTCGAAGCTTCAGCGTATTTCACCCACGAATATTTGCCTAAAGATTCCCGACACCACCGCCGAGGTTGACCGAGCTCAAGCTTCACTTCCACCCCGCGTCATGTACTGAACCGCATTACACTCACAGCTTCCGTCAACACGGATCACTCCCAAAAACCACAGCCTCTCACGCGCCTTTAATACACTCGCCGCGATGCTCCTCCTCGGCCTCACCGGCTCCATCGCAACTGGCAAATCCACCGTTTCCTCCCTTCTCTCCTCCGCACCCTACAACCTCCCCATCATCGACGCCGACCTCCTCGCCCGCAAAGTCGTCGAGCCCGGAACCCCAGGCTATGCCTCTATTCTCAAACACTTCGGCCCCAGTACGCCCGACCTTCTCGAAGCGCCCAATAATTCCAATGGTGGCGAGAACGGACCGAGCGGCAAAGGCCGTCCGCTGAATAGACCAGCGCTCGGAAAGAGGGTCTTTGGGACGAGTGAAGAGGCGCAGAGGCTGAGAAAGGTACTAGGCGGCATCGTGCATCCAGCGGTGCGTAGAGAGATGTATAAGGAGCTGCTAAGTGCGTATTTGCGCGGATGCTGGGCGGTGGTACTGGATGTGCCACTGCTGTTCGAAAGTGGGTGGGAGCGGTATTGCGGGTGTATACTTGTTGTCGCAGTGCGGGATCCGGCGATACAGATGAAGAGGCTACGCGATAGAGATCCGCATTTGAGTGCCGAAGATGCGGAGAATCGCGTTGTGAGCCAGGGGGATGTGAGGGAGAAGGCGGAGAGGGTGATGCGCAGGGGTAAGGGGTGGGGTGAGGTCGTGTGGAATGATGGTGACCGTGAGGAGCTGAAGAGGGAGGTTGAGAGGGTTATGAGAGATGTAAGAGTTAGGAGCCCGGCTTGGTGGGGATGGGTGTTGTTGCTTTGTCCGCCAGTGACGGTGGCGGTTGGGCTGTATAGCTTTCTGAGGAGTTGGAGAATACAGAAGCAATGGGAGGGGGAGAAGAGATCTGAGAAGGCGAAATTATGATACCAAAGACTGCATACTATGAACATTCGATCTGTCTGGCTTATTCTGTTCGCAGAGGTATCACAACCCCCATATCACTTCCTAGGCTGGACCTTGTGGTGGATCACTTTTGCACAATGTAGCTCTCCCGCCGTCAGTCATGCCCTCTTTACCCCAGACGCGGGTGCAACAACAACAACAATCTTAAATTCTGGCTTCTTTGACCGCTACTCCACACGCCCTACGTTTCGATCTCAGCCTACCTTTCACACTTCCAAATTTTCCCAAGCACACGGATCAACACTACTCTGTACCATCACGATGACCACCAAGTGGAACTTCAAGTCGAAGGACAATGTCATCGACAACAGCGACCTCACCCTCCTCTTTGCCGCCAAACCACCACCCTCCACCCATGCCAAATTCTTCGACCACGAACGCTACTGTAACCAGCCTCGCAACGCCATCGACATAGATGCCTTTCATCTCTTCGACCCTATCACCTACCCAAGCACAAAGAAGCATGTGAAGCAGAAACAGGACGGATCCACCCAGCAAACCCCGGGCCATTCCTTCCTTGCCGCTCTCTCCGCCCGCGACTTCAAGTCCCCAGATGAGGTGAAACGCGCCCTCACCAACACCACACAGAAGAACATGCTAAAAACCCAGGACACTACTCTCGAATACCTCGTCTTCAAGCGCTCAAACGGCGAGCGAGTACACTTCTCTCCCACTGCTGCTGCTGCTACCGCGACATCGTCCTGCGAGAACGAGAACCCGGTCGACGATGCCGCCGCGCCTAGAAATGCCCAGACCCATCCCTTACGCATCAGGGTCAGACAGGTCCCGTTGTATATCATCCGGCCGTTAGATGGCGAGCCGTACATTCCTAGTCTGCTGATCCGCCACCCAACGCGCGTAGCCGATGTTTTCATGGGCGATGCGCAGACGCATGGGAGGTTGGAGAGGGTGCAGAGTGTGCCCGTCTACATCCCACGCGAGATTGTGCTGCCGCCCGTTCAGCAGGGCAGTGAAGAGGCGTCTTCCGAGGAGGACGAGGCGGAGGAGGGGGCCAGCTGGCCCGATGCGGGATCGGAGGCGGTGGGAGAGCAGGAGGATCCGTTCCCGGCTGAGATGGGTGAGGTTGAGGCTGAGGAGGGGAGCGTTTGGGGTGATGGGGAGGTGGAGGAGGGGTGGATTCGGGATGTTTAGGTGGTGTGTTTGGGGTGTGGGAATCGGCCGTTGACTTGATTCTATGTACTAGATAGCTTGAGAAGTTGGCCCTGAGAAGCGTGTCATGTAGTTTCACATGAAAATAACAGCTGTGAAACTTGTGTCTTGCATATTATTGTGCCCCTCTGATTGACTGTTTCCACGATCTCAACAACCTACACCACTGAAACCTGGGTATCAATCATAGCCTCATCTGTTGATAGGCAAATGTAGATAGGACTCTTCGATGAGAGCTTCTGCGAAGCGACAATACCAGCTGATATAGTACATCAGGCTCAATCTGTCAGTCCGCACTTCCTGACTCTGAGTACAGATATAGGTTACCGGAAGCTCACGTTCTAACGCGCTGTCTGCGTTATATAGCTCATCCATACAGTCATTATTGGTGCTCCATGTTCTACTTCAAGCAGTTCTTCACGATGGAAGAGTGACATTTGCATGTAGAGAGGACAGAGTAAAGGCTCACGTTGGGACTGGTCCCGAGCTAGCCTATACAGAAAACATCACAAATATAGCTTTCGCTCTTGTCACTGTGCTAGAGAACTGCCTTCTCATAAGGCATTCTCGTGTTTCTGTCTACTTTATAGATGAACTAGCTATAGCCGAATGTCAAATAATGTAGTTTTTTTACCAATGAACACACGCACACACCCTGCTCCACACACCATCTCAGGCCTCCCAATCGACCACCTAGCTATTAGCAGCCCCTTCTATCCTCTCCTTCTCACTTCCTCCACCGCCAATCCAATCGAATCCAATCACCTACCCAAAAATCCCACCTCCCATCCTCCCCATTGGCACAAGTTCCCCAAACACACCCCTCTTCAAACTCCTCCCAAACCCACCCGGAATGGTACCAATATCCGGATTACCGCAAACACCACCAATACGCACACAAACAGGCCCACCACAGCAGCTATTGACCGCACATCTCTCACTAATACCGCAATCGGCACTGCTCACACACGGTGCCATAGTGCGGCATTGCTGTCTGCGGTCGACGCAAATGGCGTCTTTCTCGATGGCGCCGGCGCACACGCACGGGTTGCCGGGCCTATCGATGGGTCCGCAGGGCGAGAAGTGTTCGCAGACGCCGGTGGGGCCGCAGACTGGGGGTGCGGGGATGGCGGTGTGGGACGGGGTTATGGGGGTTGCAATGATGTGGGTGGATGTCGGGGAGGTTGACGAAGTTGACGAGGAGCTGTTGGCGTAGGGGGCTGTTGAGAGGGTTGTGTTTGGATATTGGGTTTGCGGGAGGGTGTTTGTGTATGTTGTTGTGGTTGCCGGGAAGGTTGGGTAGAGCGTGGAGGAGTTGGACCAGGATGGGGTCGTAGGAGAAGAAGAGCTTGCGTTTGTGTAGGTCGGGTGTGAGGAGCTGGAGTTTGTGTATGGGTATGTTGGGAGTGGGGTACTGGAATTTGTGTATGGGTATGTTGGGAGTGGCGTGCTGGCATTTGTGTAAAGAGCGCTCGACGTCGGGATGCTTGAGTTTGTATATGGAGGGTCTGACGGTACGGACGAGTATGATTCCGTGAATGAGGTCGGGTCAGGAGTGCTTGAGTTGGTCCATATCCCTGTCGGTGAGGCCGTGAAGCTCGGAATTCCGCCGGTTCCGGTGCCGTAAGATCCTGTTGGAATGTACACCACAGGCAGGGTCGTGAATTCTGTAACTGTTGTGGTCGTAGTCTCGACCTGTGGATCATTAGATACAGCTGCGAAGGTTTTCATCATTGACACTTACAGGGCCGTCAATAAGGGTGGTGCTTGGATACACGCCTATGCAGCCACATGCACTGGAGTAGCCCTCAACGCCGTCACAGAATATACCAGCCAGATACGGCAAGTCCTTTGTGGTCGATATCGTGGTCGATATCGTGGTCACATGTGGATGCCTCGACATAGGGGGTACATAGCCGTCACGGCGTTCCTTTCTTCTCGCAACCGGATAGATAGGCCGGGGCGTGATCGTTTCGGTCGCAGTCTCAATCTCCGTCACAGTCCTGTAAAGTACCTTAGAAAGGTCCTCTTATAGTAATTATGTAGTGTCTGACTCACGTAGGGGGATTGGTAATGGTCTCGTGCCAGAAGCTGGAGCAATCTGCTTCACCATTGGGAATGAATCCATAACCACCATGAACAGCTAGAAAGCATAGATCGTCAACACATTCCACGTCATCATTCGATGCCACGAGAGCAGGTATAGCGAGTGCTAGAAGAATAGAAAAGAACGTCTTCATGTTGCTGATGCTTGAAAGAGAGAGTGTTACTAGAATTGATCGTGGAAGACGTGATTGCAAAGACGTTCTCCTCCTCTTATAGCGTATCTACTCGAGTCCCCCTATCGCTACGATCTGAGATCACAGACTTGCCACAGTCGATTACCATGGTAATAGATTGTTCATGCATCTCCAGACCGGGTAGAACCGAAGCCACAATTTGACACAACAAGTGTAATTTCAGGACGCGTGATACCTGAGGCTTTTGTGGAGTGGTCCTAAGCAGCGCATTAGGAACAAGAGGCTGCCGTGAAGCTCCAAAGGCGTTGGACCGATACAACCGGTTACACTGCGCATACGGGTGATTGTTACAGTCATATGGGTACCTGCGTATAGCTTTGCACGGTGTAATAGCGGATATACCTGAAATCGGTCAATGATGAGATGTTTAGACAAGTATTTTTGAAAGGAGAGCACAAGGCTCAATCCGAATGTGATTGCTGGACGGTAGGAGCATTGTTATAAATTATTGAATCATCTGGGAAACAGAGTCTCCATGCATGTCCTGGCTATGGTGGCTTGGGGTTCGTATGTCTCTTTGCTGTTTCGAGGCGGCTGCTGAAAACCAAATGGTCTAGACGACGGATTGTGCAATTTTCCGCTCATGAAGCCGAGTGTAACATGTCAACGACTGCGCTCGGACAGCTTGTGTGGATGCAGTCCAATAGTCCTGTGATCCGCCGTACCACGCAGCTAACCGTTTCGGAACATGAATTGCCAGAATTGATCAGCTCAAGCATCAAAGACGGCAGGGTTTCCGCAGAAGCAGTAAGATCATTTGCGTATGCTGATCTTTACTGCTCGTATTACCTGCACGTCGTTACAGATACGTCTTTATAAAGCCAGGGAGCAATCGAAGGGCTGTTTCAGCTTCATCCTCATTATCGATAGTGGTGAATGTCTTCACAGGGGCATTATGATAACCGAAATTGATGGATAGTAGCACCATCAGCGGGTCGTTGGTATGGAAAGTTTCGGTTGGATCTACATGGTCAAGGAGACAGAGACTTGTTTACGACCAGTGACCTCAAGCTGGTGGGAGGAAGTTGGCAAAAAGGGCCCCTTGTACCATTGCATAGACCACCATGAATCGAACAACCAATGAAGCTGAAACCGATGGGCGTTTTTTTTCCACAACGTTCGGCGAGCTTATCAGCCACATTGCCACCGCCATATACCACAGGGGATAACCCGAGGCAAGACGTGTGATGATCTGTATGTGGAAATTGGTCAGTGCAAGCAGCGCGAGTGTTACTTGAGGAATCATCAAGCATATGAGGCATTTCTTCATCACGAGACTCTCTGCCCGCTGGGTTGTTGACATCCTCGTATTTGGAGATCTTCGATTCCTGAGATAAGGACGAAGATCCCATTGAAGCAGGAGATACATGACCGGCGCTGCAATGATAAATAGCGGAACATTAGACAGTTTCCAATAGCGCAAGAATCCGTTGTTCCTTGAGCCATTGTCAGTATAAAGCACGGGAAGTTTGAATTAGTAAAATACCAGTAGTACTGCTGCACCCAGCTGTAGATGCTCGGTAGCAGCTTCGTACACCAAGGTCTCAGCACTCCTTCATGTCGTGTTTGACAGTAGTGCCGATAAGCAATGAATTGCGGAATGACAGCTCCCATTCCCGTGAGGAACCCCGCAAGAATACCTGAGGTCATTCGCCGGACATGAGACGGCGTCAAGCCCTGGGTGACAGCATCCCTGAGGATCATGATGGTATGGTAAGCTAGTGTTAACCCACTTAATAGGCCGTTGCCCCGTACTGTGCATGCTGCACCAAAACACAACCCTGCCGCTAAGATCCATACATCGGTCTCGTGGGGAGAGAGGCCTTGACCAGGAGCAGATCTCATGCTTAAAACGTAGCATAGGTTACCAGTGATGTTCAAAAGCGCAAACACCGGCTCTGAATATGGCGATGAGAGGAATAAACCTGCTGGAGAGAATATATGCAGTGTGGCAGTGACAAATGCTAATCTGTCGCTCTCATGAGATCGTGTCACATGTCTGGTGAGATCGTAGAGTGCCAGGACGGCGAGAAAATGCGAGATATGTGCAACGCATATGCCCACCAACGCAACTGTCTGGATTGATGGAGGCTGATGACCGCCAAGAGCTAGCTTTCATCAATGATTTGGGCTTCACTAAAGGAGGCTTGGAGACTTACTTCTAGCAATTGCCCCGATCACCCTGGTCAGACCCCAGCTAAATGCCCATTCTTGTTCCCATAGATAGTCTCTTTCGGCAACCTTAACGTAATAGAAGGCGTCCCACCTGACCAAGTTTTGGACGAGTCTGTCCACCGGGCTTTGATGATGCTGAGAAGAAGACAACAGAATTGCGGTAGAGGTATCATAACCAGCACCGGGGGACACCAGGGCGATAAGTAACAGTAACGTTTTCCATATGATAAAGACCAAACCAAGACTACGAATGGGATTTCTGAGAGGACTTATGAATGGGCTCCATCTTAACATGTTATGAGTCGTCACGCGTTCGGTAAGTGTCAATCAAGAGGCACTGAGCCCTTCAAAGAACGAGTCTTGGGCTGATCCAGCACGCGAGTTCGTCTTGTCTTGAGGAGTGACCTGTCGGTTGGTGTTGTGACGTTGGACAGGAAAGGGACGGTCGGCTGCCAAGTCTTCTATCAGGATAAGATGTACGCGCAGAGGGCTTAGCTTGATGAGACCAATTTGCACCTCAGGCATCAAGGCGGCAGAGACATTGATCTACCATCAGTTATTACTGCCCATACCTGTAGATACACCACCAAGGGTGCAGCCAATCGAGCTTTGCATTCAAACAAGTTTCACCGCGTTATATCCTTCGCATATTTTAATGACAGTCAAGTAATACCACTCTGATGCGGCCTGCGATACACATTCCATCAATCGCAGGCGTCTGCCTAACGACCATAAACGATGCTCTCCCCGTCTCTTTCCCGTAGGAAATCTACCGATAGCTTCGACTCTCTCATCGCTTCGACTCCGCCTCCCCGATCATCTTCAGCATTTCCATTTCCCCAGCATGAGTGGCCGTCCATGGCAGGGCCCGCCAGCCGGCGGCCCTCTCGACGTGGTTCAATAGCGAGCTCAGTAACGTCTGTAGGAGGAGCTCTGGATACGGTGTCAGAGAATCGCATGGGATCAGTTGCGGAGAGCGGTCAGAATGGTGAGATCTGCTCGAATAACGTGGTGACAATCAAGCCTTTGGACACTAAGTGGTGACACTGTGCAGCCATTTCAACCCTTCTTCAACCACCTATCGTTCGAACCGGTATGCTGCCACATACATCAGCTCCTTCTTCCGCCACACACAAGCCTCCTACCACTCGAGACATACCTCCCGTCGCCCTCACGAATATCCCGCACGTAGATCCTGCATCATTCAAGCCATATTTGTCGCAAGTTGGATCATTATGGAATGCTTTTCAGAGGGCAAGAGCAGAGCCAGAAAAGGATATTAATCGGCTCCCCAGAAAAGACCTGGATCAAGCTAGGGCAGACGACTTCGCAGAGAAGCTAGAGCGCGGATTGCGGAGGGAGCAGATGAGTCGTAAGAGCTCGTCCGTCACTTTGACGCCTACTGAAAGTCCAGCACCCAAGCGACGCATGAGTGGAGGACTTTCGAGGCGAAAGATGGAGGTCACCCCACTTTCTACCATTCCTCCAGTATATTTTGACGAACACTTCCAATTGGAGAACCCGCGCACATTTGATATCGTGAGCGAGCGGTCCGAGGTTGTCCGACGACCGGAGACGCCGTCAGAGAAAGATGCAAATGGATTCATGAATGGCTCAGCTCAGGGCCCAAGAAAAGCTCTGGCTACCAATGCGATTCTACAAGAGAAGCTGTCTTGGTACATGGATACAGTGGAAGTGCATCTCATTTCTTCGATATCGTCGGCATCATCTTCATTTTTTGCAGCTTTGGGATCTCTACGCGAGCTACAGTCGGAGGCTGCAGAGTCTGTCAGGAGGATCAAGGTACTCCGAGAAGATCTTGGGAACTTAGACCGACAGATGGCTTTGGGCGGTCTCAAGGTCATCAACATGAAGAAGAGGCGAGAGAACCTGAGAAAACTTCGAGACGCTGTTGAACAACTCAACACCATCATCCTAGGTGTGACACACTGCGAGGAGCTTGTTGAATCGGGCGAGTTCGTGCTCGCTCTTGACAGATTGGATCTAGTGGAGAGGATAATTACAGGAACATTAGCGGTCGACGGACAAACAGACTTGACATGGATAGACTCGTACACTCCTTCGAAACTCATTGATCTTCGGGAACTAAGGGCTCTAGACGGCCTTGCAGATGGAATGCAACAATTGCGGTTTCGTATTGGCAAAGGTTTCGAGGCACGCTTTCTTGAAACTCTACTAGCAGATATCCGGCAGCATACCAAGACGGTTCCTCCAGGAGATACGCTACAGCGATGGGGCTCGGCTTTTCAACGTGGACGAGGGGACACTCCGAGGCCGCCCCCAGGAGTACCCGCGTACATGAACCAAAGTAATCAGGTTAGACAAAATTGCAAAGCGAGCTTGCTAGGGCTTCACAGGTCAAGATATACGCAACAGGCAACTGCCGCTTTCCGCGAAGCCGTGATGAAGGAAATGAAAGCGCTCATAAGACAGCACTTGCCCAGTTCGTCTGACGACGACACTGAGTCTACGGCATCTATATCAACACGCGGTGGAGGCAGGTTGCAATCTCAGCAAGAAAAGTCTTCCATACTAGCCCGAAACTTGCGAGCTTTGGAGCCCGACGCTGCGGAAGAACTCCTGACAAGTGTCTATACCAACGTCGGAGAGGCTTTGAGGAGGCTTAGCACGCAAGTCAAGCTTCTTCTAGATGTCACAAGCGGCGCTTCCAGTCCGCCTCTGTCAGGGACTCGATCTCCAATGCGCAGTCCGAACCTAGCAAGTTTAGCAAATATTGACGACTTCCTCTCCGCTGGCAAATCCCCTATACTCTCAGGACAGCTTCAGGAAGAGCTTACGCAGGCGCTCGACATGTCCAGTCTTTTGGGTCAAGCTGTCGATATTGCACAAACTCAGATCACCAAGGTGTTGAAAGTACGATCCGAACAAACCATAAGACTGCCGCTTGTCCGATTTTTGCGGTATTTTAACCTCAACCGCCTCTTTGCAGACGAGTGTGAGGCTGTATCCGGGCGCTCTGGTGCGGCACTGAAAGGTGTTGTGAATAGCCAAATCAGCGACTTTATTGTCCACTTTGGCGACGCTGCGAAGCAGCAGCTTGCATCTACAATGGATAATGACAAGTGGGAAGCCAAAGACTTCGGGTCGAATGAAGAGCAAACGCTTGCAAGGATACTACAGGGCATGACAGCAGACCACCAACACTGGATCAGGAGTTCCCTCGTTTGGGAAAGGTTTGAAGAAGAGCCAGAACAGAGTAACGGCGAGCATGCAGAGAACGACGGTACGACGAAGGACAAGGCTCGCAATGCCACCTTTGACGAACAGTCTTACGTGCTCGTAGAATCCGCCATATTCGCGCTCCGGGGAATTAATGATTTTTCGCAATTCATTGTGGCAATTCCCAGCATGACTTTGGAAGGCAGCAATAGCCTACTTGAGTATCTCAAGCTCTTCAACTCTCGCTCCTGCCAGCTGATCCTTGGCGCTGGAGCAACTAGAAGCGCAGGCCTCCGGAACATCAATACGAAGCATCTAGCCCTTGCATCGCAAGCCCTGAGCTTCGTCATCGCGCTCATGCCATACCTTCGAGAATTTATTCGCAGGCATGCTGCCAATTCACCATCCTTATCCGAATTTGACAAAGTGAAACGGTTGTACCAGGACCACCAGGTCAGCATCCACGAAAAGCTCATTGACATCATGAGTGGCCGCGCCACCGCCCATGTAAAGGCAATGAAAGAGATCCAATGGGACTCTGACGCGCGACTCACGAGCCCGTTCATGGAGACGCTCACTAAGGAGACGCTCACATTGCACCGTGTTCTGAGCAAGCATCTACCCGAGAGCACGGTCGGGTCTATAATCCAACCCGTCTTCGAGAGCTATCGTGAGCAGTGGGGTAAGGCATTTGAGGAAGCAGTTGTGACGAGGGCGCGCGGTAAAGCTCGGTGAGCATTTCTAACGTCATCTTGAGATCCGAGATGGGATTGCTAACCAGCTTGTAGAATGCTCCGCGATGCCCAATTATTTGAGACAAAACTAAGCAGGATTGACGGCGTAGGTGATCTGGGCTCTTATATCATTGATATAGTCAATAGCAAGGAGGTCGAGGATGCAGAACCAGCTACTGAAGAAGTTGCGGCTGCCGACGACGCTCCAGAGTCATGATAGTAGTCTCCCTTGTTGTATACACAGTTTTGCCAAGGTAATGTCAGGTTGGGAATATCAAGCCGGATTGCATATGTAGCGGTGCATGGAGCCCGGCGCAGTAATTCTCATTTAGTTCATACATTTGCCGAGCGCTTAAGCGAACCCGATCAAAATAGATATATGTACGGCTTTTGGGGGATATATGTATCAACAGTATACTACATTTCTGACTCCGCCATTCTATATCGCATCTTGTCACTCACTCGCCGCAATCTCCCCCTTCACCCACCCTTCCAGACCACCTCTCGCAACTATCGCCTGCACATTGGGCGGCATCGAGCCCACCTTCTTCGTCCACCTCTCGCCGCCCTCGCCCTTGACAACACTAACCTCACTTCGACCAACATCCCACTCCAAAACCCAGCCCGTCCGCACCGTCAACTCTTTCGACCCAGCAAATTTGTCCCTTAACATACGCACCAGTTCCGGCACCTCGAGGCCCAAGAGCGCGTTATTGATACTATTGCGCGAAAAGATATTGCCGAAACTGCCGGCAACAACGAGGGGGATACCGGCGGCGAGAAGGGCGGTAGCGGCCTGCTCGCGCGAGGAGCCACAGCCAAAGTTGAAGCCGCTGACGAGGATGTCGCCGGGCTTGCAGGTGGCAGCGAAGGCGGGGTCGTAGTTCTCCATGACGACGTCGGCCATCTGGGTGCGCGTGATGCCGTCTTGGTATGTGTATTTGCCCGGGTAGATGGCGTCGGTGTTGCAGTTGTCCAGGTTGGCGAAGATGATTTCGCCCGAGACTTTGGCCGGGAAGCCTTCCAGGACGGCGCCTGTAGCGGCGGGCGCAGGAGTGGGTGAGGTGCTGGATGAGGAGGCTGGGGAGAGAGTTTCCTCGCCTTGTGCAACGGCAGCTTCGGCCTCGCGCACGAGTTGGTCGAGGGCGTCTTCGATGCTGATCATGCGTTCTTCGGGGGCGATGCCGTCGCCTTCGCCCATTTGAACCCCCGTGTAGCCCTCGGGTTGAGTGTAGACGCCGGGGCCGGTGATGACGCCTTTGAGCGCAGAGGCGGCGACGACTTCGGGGCTTGCCAGGTAGGCTTTGGCGTCTGTGCTGCCCATGCGGCCCTTGAAGTTACGGTTGCTGGCGCTGACACCGACTTCGCCGGGCTGCAGGAGGCCTGTTCCGAGACCGATGCAAGGTCCGCAACCGGCCGGTAGAGGTTGAGCCCCGGCTTCGATGAGGACTTGCCAGTCGCCTTGCTCTTCAGCAGCTTTCTGCTCTGGAAGAGAGGCGGCGGCGATGTAGAAGTTGACATGTGAAGGAATCTTTGGGATTGTGCCGTCGGCGCGGGCTGCGGCGTCTTTGAAGACTTTTGCAGCGGCAGCGATATCAGTACGACGACTGTTTGTGCAGGAGACGAGATATGCGCGGTCGCATTTGATGTTCTGTTGTTCGAGCTCAGCAATAGGGGTTGCTACTTTGACGCTGTTTGGTCCGGATACGTAGGGTGAGAGGGTGGAAAGGTCGAGGAAAAGCTCCTTTGCATATGTCGCGCCAGGATCGGCTGTCACTGGATTCTCGAATAGCTCGTCGAGCCTCTGGTGATTGAATCGTTGTGCGGTGGGTTTCGAGGTCTCGTAGAGAGCGGCTTCAGTGGCCTTCGCGCGCAGCCATCCCTGGAGAATGCTATCGATGGGGAACAGTCCTGAAAGGGCACCCCATTCTGTGGTCATGTTCGCGATCGTGAGTCTATCGTCCACGGGGATACTTCTCAAAGTTTCTGTGGACCCAGTGAATTCAATCGCATGGTTGAGAACCTCGTCCTTGGAAAACAAGCCGCATAGAGCTACAATGACGTCCTTTCCTGTGACACCCGTAGGCAGTGTTCCTTTGAAGTTGATCTTGGCAATTGGTGGTATCTGCCACCACATTTTTCCCGTGGCCCAGATCGCGGCAGCATCTGTCCGTACGACTGGCGTTCCAAGACATCCTACGCCTCCGTACATGTTCGTGTGGCTGTCTGACGCTACAGCAAGTGTGCCTGGCCAGGCATACCCTTCCTCGACCATGATCTGATGGCCGATACCCCTTCCAGCGGGATAGAAGTCAACGCCTTGTGCCTTTGCGAACTCTTCGATCTGTCTGTACTTCTTGAGGTTCGCCTCGCTTTTGTTCTGCACATCATGGTCCAAGGTCATGACGATCTGCTTGTTGTCCTGAATCTTCGATGCACCAATCGACATGAACTTCAGCGCCACTGGCCATGAGTTGTCATGTGTCATGCATTTCGACGGCTGTAGAGTGACATAGTCCCCACTCTGCACGAATTTCCCATCGGGAAGGCCGACGGCGTAGGTCTGTACAATTTTCTCGGTAAGAGTCTGAGGAGGTTTCGAAGGAGTGGATTGCAAGGTGGAAAGGAACGATGCAGCGCGAGGATCCTCAAGTTGCGAACTGAATGCTGAGAGCTCTAAACGTCGTGAAGTCGAGGAATTGTAAGAGCGATAGATAGGCACACGGCTCGACAGCACGTATGCGTGTCGCGCAGTCTGGCGAGGCGCGACCGACTTGAAAGATGTTAGTGGTCGTCAAGGTAGAGACATCATGAGGACTTACCCGGCCTATCCGCAAACCCAATTGTGCCCTACTTATCCGGAGAGCTGCCATGGCCAATTGTGACAGTATCGCGGACGTCGTGTTGTCTTGATGTCGCAAAAAGTTGCGGAGCCGGAGGTGCTCGAGCACTTCCGGGCAGGCTACTCTGACCAATCACAGGCCGTCCATTACTTTTGTTCCGGCATCGGCATCTGCCTACATGTCGCATCCTACTGCCTGCATATATATAGGGGTACAAGCTGCCAGGCGGATATAACATATGGGCATTGGATGGTCAAGATGTTCTTGAAGAAGAAATCCCAGTACTACGATCACATTTGTGCACTCGTCGGACTGCGATAATATCACTGAAACAGACAATAGTCCTCGAGCCTTGCAGCATATTGATTCTGACATGTATTTACAGTTTTCTCTCCTCATCGGACTGCTTAGTACTCTATGCTGTGTAGGCATGTTGTTATCTATTGACCCCGGAAACTCGGGTCCATTATAGGTGGATCTAGGCGATGTGGGATGATGGCTCCATCCCTCGGCAACTTGCGGGGTGTTTGAGTCGTGTATACAGTCCCTTTGCCGAGCACCAACGGCCGGTATCTTTCCGGCCATCTCTTCTCTTGTTCGTAGACAGGGCGTGATATACCCACAGCATTTGCAGGATATAATAACTATCCAAATATGGCGGGCTCAGACATCCCAATTCCCCGCAAACTGTGGGAGCATCCGAATCCCAAGGGCACAAAGATGTATAAGTTCATGCAGAATGTGAATCAAAGACGAAATCTGACTCTCAACGTAAGCTCACGTGTTTTTGCTTAACCATCTAATATGTACTCACCCATATGAATCTTCCCGTTCTCCAGATGAGACGACGCCATCTCAACAATCGTTATAATCTCACATCCATCAAAGCTGATGTATGCAGAGTTTCAATGATTTGTACTCCTATTCTATCAAGAATCGTGCTTCATTTTGGCAGGATGTATGGGAGCTTCTTCCTCTGGTACATGAGGGCACGTATACAAAAGTAGTCGACGAGTCGGCTCCCATGGACACCATCCCATACTGGTTTGAAGGTACACGCCTCAACTTCGCCGAGAATATCCTATACAATGCCGGATCCGACCACTCGCAGCTCTCAACGAGAGGCAAGGAAGATTCAAAGATTGCATGTACCGAAGTCCGTGAAGGGGGAACTGAGCTTCGAGATGTTACCTGGGCAGATTTGCGGAAGAGGGTTGGACGCCTGAGCAATGCTCTAAGGGCAAAGGGAGTCAAAAAAGGAGACAGGATATGTGTCGTGGCGAGTAACTCGGTCGACACTCTGGTCGTATTCTTGGCTACCACAGCCCTGGGTGGTCTATTCAGCAGCTCGAGTACTGACATGGGAACTAATGGTATACTCGACCGCCTGTTACAAGTCACGCCAAAGTATGTCTTCATCGACGACTGGACAGTCTACAATGGGAAGACCATCGACCTGCGCCCCAAAATGAAGGAGATAGTCGAAGGTATGCAGGGTGTGGAGAACTTTGAGGGCATCATCAGCCAGCCTCGATTCCGGCAGCCAGCAGATATTGCCTCTGTACCTCAAACGACCACCCTGGAAACCTTCCTGGCTGCCGCTCAAGATAATACTGAACTCACCTTCGAGCGCGTGGCTTTTCGCGACCCCTTTATGATCGTCTATTCGTCAGGCACTACCGGCATGCCCAAATGCATCGTCCACTCCGTCGGAGGCGTCCTTCTCAGCTCCCTCAAAGAAGGCCAACTGCACTACTCTTATGGCCCGGATACTGTCAAACTCCAATTCACCACCACCGGCTGGATCATGTATCTCTCCGCCGTCGGCTCACTCCTGCACTCCGTCCGCCTCGTCCTGTATGACGGCTCCCCATTCCAGCCCGATCTCAAGACCTTCATCACCCTCGTCGGCTCCCAACGCGTCACCCACCTCGGCATCTCCCCTCGCTACATGGCCGAGCTACAAAAAGCCAGCATCGTCCCACGTACCACAACCGATCTCTCCAACCTCCGCCTCGTTACATCCACCGGCATGGTCCTCAGCGACGCTCTCTTTGAATGGTTCTACGACACCGCCTTCCCGCGCCACGTTCATCTCTGCAATATATCTGGTGGCACCGACCTCGCGGGCTGCTTCGGTATCGGTAACCCCCTGACTCCAGTCTACGTCGGGGGCACACAGGGCCCAACACTGGGTCTGCAGGTAGAGGTATACGACCAGACGATCCCGACCGGCAAACGCGGTACCGCGGTCGAGGATGGAGTGCCAGGTGAGCTCGTCGCGACGACTGCTTTTCCAAACCAGCCAACCACGTTCTGGGGCCAGGGTGGGCACGAGAAGTATCTGAGTAGCTACTTCCAGCGTTATCCGCAAGTGTGGGCGCATGGTGATTTCATCGTCAAGCATCCCCAGACGGGCAGTATTACCTTTCTAGGCAGGGCGGACGGAGTGTTGAATCCGAGTGGGGTGCGGTTTGGGAGTGCGGAGATATACAGCGTGATCGAAGAGCATTTTCCGCAGATTCAGGATAGTATCTGTGTTGGACAGCGGCGGCCGAGTGATAACGACGAGAGCGTAATGCTGTTTCTGTTGATGCAGCCCGGGCAGAGATTCAGCGAGGAGTTGGTCAGGGAGGTCAAGGTGAAGATTGGAAGCGAGCGGAGTAAGAGGCATGTGCCAAAGTGGGTGTTTGAGACGCCTGCGATTCCAGTGAGTGGTGTTCACTGAAGCTATAGGGACGTGCGCTGACACTGTGTGCAGACGACGGTCAATCTCAAGAAAGTCGAGTTGCCCGTCAAGCAGATTGTGTCAGGGCAAATAATCAAGCCTTCTGGGACACTATTAAACCCAGATAGTCTAAAGTACTATTACCAATTCGCGAAGGTCGAGCAGCTAGGTGCGCCCAAGAGCAAACTATAGCCCAAGCCAGCAGCTCGCGCAGGACAGTATAGCAATGAACTCTAATATCAGACACCAAAGACACTCCAATACCATCTAAAACATATCTCCTCTCTTCTCACCATCTCTCTACACACCAGCAAAAGATCTCTACCACTCAACAGCCCTCCAACGAGCTCAAAAACACCAAAATCCACCAAACCCCAAAAAATGACCAAAAATACAAAACTGTAACCCAATTAGCGAGTGTCGAACCCGGGGAATTAAAGACCCACACGAATTCACCCTGGGAATTGCACAGAAGCCGTCTAGAACCGCGCTTTTTGGGCAACAACGATAACCACTAGAGCATGGCCCCGATGTGCGAAATCTATACCATTCGGGGAGACTATATCCAGTGGAAAATACAAACATAAGATGATTGTGGTGTGGAGGGAGGGAGGGAGAGACACGTGGTTTGCGAGGGACCGTGCGGTGCTGGTGAATAGGGTGAACAGTGTTGTGATGCAAGTGCTGATTGACGTCACGCGTGTTTCTGGCCGCGGTGGTTTTGGCAGAGCGGTGACTGGCCACTTCTGAGAGATTCGATGGCTGGATAGCTATCTCGAGTCTACTCTGACCTCGCAGCAGAGTCGGTCTACAGCTATACAGCTCTGGCATGCATAGACACGATTTACACAACATACAATACAGTCCGATTGCACCCACCCTACTTGCTTAGAATGTCACTCAGACGCGTACCTTTCAAGTTATATGTCCATCAAGCACATATACACAGCATGTCGTCATCGTTCAGTGACGTACACTGCGCTGGCTCACGCCTTTTAAGTTCCACCCTTTACAACTAACTAACTCCTATTCAAGGTGGAAAATATTCACCAACGGTCTAATAGCGCAGCGTCAGTTCTTGTACGGTAACACATCAAATTTGCGGTGAGTGGTTCCCGCGTGTTTAACACCGCCTGGTTCAGGTAGCCGTATGATTTGCAGGTTCTGCGTTTGGTGCTTCGTATCCTAGGATTCTGCTCGTGTTGGCATTGTGTTTGTAATATCTAATGCTTCGTGCAAGTCAGTAAGGACATGAACACGACTTTGGAAGAGGTCTGCAATGTTTGAACATATCACCAAACAATTATGCATGACACTACTTCTGGAGTGGAGAGAGCCTTATCTAACGCAAATCTCAAACACAATGAACATTCCTATAGATCTACGTGTGATGTTGTGAGTGAGGACCTCATACTTCCCGAGCTAGCACAAGTTAAGAATACAAAAAGAAGAACACAGCACTTCCTTTCATCCATCGTACAGCCTTCAATCCCCCCCTCCAAAAAAACGCCAAGACATCCAAAAAAGTCAAGGAAAATCAAAAAAGATCGGGCAACGATGGAATCGAACCACCAGCTATCGGGCTTCGCTCACGGCAGACGCCAGGTGCTCTAAGAGTTGGCTTTTGGCTATTCTTAAAGGCTGACCCGCTAACCCCCTAGACCATTGCGCCGAGGATGAAATACATATAGTTTGGGAAGGATATATATGGTGGAAAATTGAATCTTTTTTCTGGGAATGGGAGAGAGGATAGTTAAGGAGGAGTGAGGGTTTGGGAATGACGTGGAGTTGGTCTGTGCCGCTGCTACTGCTGTTGTTATTGTTGTTGTTGTTGTTGTTCACTTCACGTGGAGAGTGTGGTTACGCCATAAGGGCTGCTATGTGCGTCTTTTGGGTGGTTAGGTGAGAGCTGGTCGGCGGTTACTTGTAAATGGAAGAGCGCTTTCAGTGATCTGGTGTATCTAGATCCACAAAACTCGCCCGCCGGCACTCAGGTCAGAGCACATCAGTCTATCGGTGTTTACCCACCCAGAGAAGAGAAGAGACAACGGGAGAATTTGTTGTATACAGAGATCATAAGCTCGAGGTTGCAAGACATCACTCAAGGTCTGTCATACTGACCAACAGTGATAGTAGGAACAGAAGAAAAGAGGGGCATTATCCCTCTGTACACAAAACTACATATAGCACTCTCCCCATCGTAACACCAGACACGACTCTCAGGTCACTCCCTCCCCTGGATGATATATCGCCAAGAATTCTGCACCCACATCTCAAACTCACGATCCAAGAACTCTGGCTGCGGCGCCATGCCCCTCCACACGTTCTCCTCTGGTGCAACAACAAAGCGTGCGCCCAGCAGGTGCAATAGCGCCTGCTCACTGCGCGCCTCACGGGCGTTATACGTCGTGAATAGCGCCGGACAGCCGCTCTCAATGATCATTTTTATGGTATCTCTCCACGCAGTGTCCGCGTCGTCGCCGTCGACATGACCGCTGTTGAACGCGACGACGAGATCCGGCAGGGAATAAGAGGTTGTGCTTGCAAAGTCGTGGTAGAGGCCCTTGTACGACGACAGCGAGCGCTGGCGGGACTGCGCGCGGCAGGTGTCGCAGCAAGGGAGGGCGCCCATTGGTTGGAAGCCAGATGTAGCGGCGTTGTTGAGCCATGCAGCGGGCCCGATGGCGGTGATTGATAGCGAGTTGAGTGCGGGGAGGAGATGTAGGATTTCTTCGTAGGTGTTGATGGCAAGGAATTCGCGGCCTGTGGCGCCGAGGAGATGGATGCTTAGGGAGGTCTTTGTGGTCAGGGAGAGGTCTTCGAGCGCAGCGACGATGGTAAGGGGCATGGTTAGGTTGTCAGATGCTTGGATAAGAAACATGCGTCTGCGCTCCTCGAATTCGTGCTGCTCTGGAGAGAGATTGCATGTAGCGGCTGTGAGTCTGCTGAAGTCAGGGGTGATGGAGTCCCTGATCTCGCCTTTGTCAGATATGTTTACGTAGTAGTCGTACCACCCGGAACATGTTTTCAATAATTTATGTGTGGTTCGAGGGGGTTCTGTACATGTTATCACAGAGGTATCTCCAACGTCTTCAAATAGGCTGATTCTGAACTGTTCTAGGTTGTAGAATGCTTTGTAGGCATCACACACAGATTGAGGGTGGGTAGCCTGGCACTTGTTGCACGATGAGACCAATCGGCAATCAGCACACGCATCCAAAGCGATATCAAGCTGAGCTAGTTGTATGCCGCTCCGATGACAATTGATACAGTAAGGCTGACCTCTAGCTGGAAGTTAGATGGCTTGCATTCCCTGGTATGTATGAAGCCTTCGAGACATGACTGACTGGACAATGTTGTATGCATCAGCGTGGCCGGCAGCAGCAGAGACCTGGCGTACGATCTTCATCTTCGCACCTAAGCGTCAGTTTCGGCGGTAGCATATGTTAATGAGGTCGTACCTGGTCGTTGCTGTATTGCTCCCAGCTTCTTTTGTCTTGATAAAAGTCCAGCTCGCACTGATTGGCTTCTCTCAAAGGCTTACAAAGCTTCTTATGTAGATATGCCCAGTCGAGCTTCTGACATTCCTTGGAGCAGTAGCCTGCTCGCTTGCACCCTAAACATCTGTAGAGCTTTCCTGGAGGTGGACTGAAGCATCGGAAGCAAGTGAACCCTCTAACAGCACTCACAGGCAGTGCTGGGACACCGACGTGACCCGAGGCGACTATCCGCTCGCGCTCTTTACATTTTATAGGCATCGATGTGAATTCTGACGAGTCTAAAGATGTTGCTGTCAAGGTTGTAGGAGTGAAGATGGATGTTCAACCCAATGCTCCGCCACGCTAAACAGTCACTACATAAGGACCCTTGGCTAGGCCCCTCGCGGTTTAGCTCTGTTGAGGCAAAGAAGCGATATCTCAACCCGATGCGTCAATACAAAGCAGCATTATGATAGGCATATGGTGCATTCTTGGATCTTGATTGGCATTAAAGTCTCGCTATATATGACCACATAATACTATGCATTTTGTACACTCTGGTGCGACACATAAAATCCACAGGTCTGATATCCAAGAAGCAATTCTATTGCATTCGAGGGGCACGACCATTGTAGTTGATCCCGGGCGACGCAGTGTAGTTTGCGAAGCAGTCATAGTTGAAGTCGATCTCAGCTGAACGCTTCTGTAGGACCGAAACCACGTTATCAAATGAGCACATCCCATGCGCATCTGCGGGGCAGCCAGGGTAGGAGGCATTTATTGGAATCACGGCATCATTGCTATTACAGTGATTAGTTTTGGAATAGCTAGAGCGGACACATTCGAAGATACGTACACAATAAACCTTATTTGCTTCGTCGGCTGGTATGCCGGGCACGAAAGGACCTGCGCCGTGAAGTGGGTAGCGAACGGCACCAGCTTACTTGCGCCAAAGGTGTTTTGCTGGCGATTACCTGCAGGGCTAAGAGGAGGACCATCGAACAACGCCGTCAGATTGAAAGCGGTTAGGGTGTCAAGAACGACGACTTCGTGGGTGGCGTCGGCATAGATGGATTGATTGAGAGGAAAGTACGTTGAAGAATTGTCAAAAGTCTCGTTGAGAGCGGACATTGGCCTGGGATATGTTTGCGTAAAGCGACCGATGTATTCATCGAGATAACCTTTGCCCTGAGCTGCAGAGACAGGAGAACCTGGTCCGTTGTTGTAGTAAAAGGACAAATCGTAGTAGTACTCGTAATTCAAGAAGTCCTGTTGGCTGAACAGCTTGCAAAAGGCCGAGTAGCCCAGCGCATGAGTTTCGTATGCACAAAGAGAAAGCATATTGATGATATCTGAAGACGTGAAGTTGATGCCGGAGACCTGTACACATGCGTGAGCAATGATAGACCCTGTAGGCTTTGATAACTATAGATACCTGAGATTGGAGGCGCGCGATGGTCGCGTTGAAGGCATTAGCAGCGAATTGGTTCGCCACAGTGTTGCCAATGCTTCCTCGACCAGCTACATTGGAATTGGTGCAGATCTCATACGGCGCTCCTGAATTGTTGAGGCCTGGGGTCTCGACCAGAATCTCAATGCTGACCTCGTCGAGGTACTCAGGGACGCCAAAGAAGCCAGCAGCGAAATTTTCTGCCGTCTTCACCATGCGATCCTGGCTCTGGGTGCGAAACACTGGGAGTGCACCCTGTGCAGTGAAGTTGTTCAGGAGATGACCATAGAGCTCCCTGCCATGATCAGCATTGATTTATCAGAAGCCTGGAGAATAATAAACCTGTATGTAACACCCAGCATAAAGTTCTGACTGCGACCGAACGGCGTCAGCAGCTCAGCTCCGAGTTTGTAGGTCCAATCGGCCAAGAAAGCCAACTCCCCAGAAGCCGTAAGACCTGTCTTGGTTGCATTCACGATTCTCTGTGAGAAAGTACTGGGACCGGCACCACTAGTTGGGTATCGTGCGCCGTGGCGATAGAGGAGATGCACCTGGGTGATATCACAACCCTCCGGAGCAAGCGGGCTCGCATCGGGCAGACCATAGTCGGCAGAGCGCAGGCTGTACCATGGCGAAAGGTTGCCCCAGTACTTTGTGATATCGAAGCTGTCCTGAGCAGCAGTCTTGCCGTGAGGCTGAGGAGCGATCAATGGGAATTGATGGGCATCGCCTTCGTTATATGGGTAAGAGGGAGCAGTCTGCGCCGCATTTGGCTCTGCACCTGTCGGAGTCGGGCCCGGGTAGCCAACAATGGACTCAGGCGGGAAGAGTTGAGAATCTACATGTGCTGCAAAAAGTCAGAAGCTGCAAAAGGCTAACGAGGACATCTCATAGCTACATACTTCCCGAAGCTGGATATTCGTCGGTGGAGGTGTGACCGGCATATGAGGCCGCAGAGATGGCTGCAGCTGCTTGTGCATGGCTTGCAAGCAGGACGAGCAGGGCCGGAGTCAATTGGGACTTCATCTTGACGTCGACGGCGTATTGTGGCCAGCCAGTCCGGATGCGACACCAAAGCTTGAAGCGACTTGGCAAATGCTTGAGCGAGAGCAGGTAGCTTCACCTCTATGGACGGCTGGGCATGAGTATATATTTATACACTGGGTATACAACAAACCTACGCAGAAATGGAAAAACAGTAGCCTATCACACACTTCTGTCGCTACATGTGCTAGGCACGCGGCTGATTCATAATGGGAGGATGGAAGGATGGAAGCTTTGGCTGTAGCGTTGTCTACTTAACTTACTGTGGTTTGGCGTCTACATGGATGGATCCATTTTATTCAGACCCGTCAAGAGCTTTGATCATCAGTGTCAAGTCGTCAACATCATCTGTTTGTGTGAAGCGCTCGCTGGATGAGGGGTATAGACTTCAAGCAATTCAGCAATCTTCTCACGAGTAATCTCGCAAGCCAACAGCTCGCAAACAGCAGCCTGGCGCGAGGGATATCGCAACCTCGTAAGCAACTGGACATCGCCGGACAGTCCATCAGCACCACAATCAATCTGGAGATTGGAAGCTTGCCTGGGCCGCAACGTTGTGACAAGAGTCGTGTTGATCCCACGTGTGCAAGGTCGCGTCGTATAGTGACACAGAACACAAGGGGAATATGCATCATGACATCGTTCATTCGAGTCAGCAATGTGTCGAGGAGGTCTGAATCTAGCATCATATCTTCGATGTCTTCTGCTTGTGGCTGTTCTGTGCTCGCTGCCTCTGCGCCATTTTCAAGAGCGCATACAAGCTCTGCATCCGTGCCATCTCCACATTATGCCTGCGCGCGACTTTCAAAGGATTGCCCAGAATCACTTCCAGCTCCATGGGCCTTCCAGCCTCCCAGTCGAGCAGCATACTGGGCTTGCCGCCTTTATTACGCTCGGTGCTCTTCAGTATGAGCTCTGGCTTGGCCAGAGACTCGGGAAACTCACGCCCAAGTATCGCAGGAGCTGCTCTGAAGATTTCATCCATGACGCCCTTCAAATGCTCCCGGAGCTCTGGGTCCATGACCATATCTGCGTTGCCAACTCCTCCCGACAACACAGCCGAAGGGTTCATGGCCGCGTTGATGCAGATTTTATGCCATCGGACCTGCTGTAGTTTGATCTCGTCATAGGCTTCTGCATCTCTCAGCTTTCCTATTCTTGTCAACAGCTCCACCAAGTGCTCTACGTTCTCCGTGCCTCTGCGCACAAGCTCCACGCTCTCGTGTGTCCTCCCACCCAGGCCGTCCGAGTATGGTCCCATGCTAATCCGAGTCCATTTGTTCTGTTTGATCAGGCCATGCTCAATCTGCTCTACACTCGCTATCGTGACAGCGCTGACAATTGGATTTGCGGGAAACCTGCTCCTGTGTGCCTCCTCGACCCCAACACCGTTTTGGATAAGCACTATACAAGTCTTGCCGTCTGCACTTTTTCGCACTAGGGGCTCTATATCCTTTGAATCATCTGTGACTTCTGGGAGAGCTTTCGTTGTCACGACGACATAGTCCCAGCCGTTCGCAGGGGCTTTGGGCGACTCGGCGGCAGCTAATATTGATGAGTAGACTTCGTGTGGACTGAAGTGGTAGTCGCCAAAGGAGCGAGTTCGCAGACTGACGCCAGATTTTGCGATAGTAGGGTAGTTCGAGCGACAGACCAACGATACGTAGACCTTGGAGGCAGGCTGTATGAAGTTGTTAGCAATGCGACCGGATGTTTATAGGGTGGAATACGAACGTCATGCAGTCTGCTGGCATAGAAGCAACCAATCGCGCCAGCGCCAACGAACAGGATATTGCAAGCGCCTCCGGACATAACACTTGCGACTTTTGAGCTTGGGGAGTGGTTTACGAAAGACTAAAGACTGCCAGTGAGGCATTCATGTTGACTATCGCGCCCACCACGTACCGAGGCTTACATGCTCGAGCTCGCCCCAAGATCCTCCAGCACCCGCCAAAACTAGTCTCGAAGTAGGCTGGTCTGGGGACAACAGCTCTTTCGAAGCTTTTTATATACCACAATTATTTCTACGTTCGCAAACAACCCTCACCAGCACGATACCATGGCTCTCCAGACAATCCTAACCAAGCCCACCGTCGAGACCTACCTGTCACTGGCCGAGCATCAAGGCCAAACCCCTGGCACATTTTATGGGGGGAAGCCCGTCCTCTACCACCACTGCGCTGGAGCCGATATCCTCATCGCACACGACGAGCTCGAGTCCCACCCTGCAATCGTGAGTCTTGCCAAAGCCATTTCAAATGGTGCAGCTGCACACGGTGAGGCCGGGTCGGCGAAAGCAATAATTAGCGGTGTGGACGTCTGGGTCAATTCAGAGTATGTTATGACATATCACAGAGACCCATCTCAAGCCCCAAAGACTAACAAGCACACATCAGGAATCTCGCGCTCTTCTCTAATTCTTCAAAAAGTGGCGTGTCTATCCCGTACCCGGCCGTCGCTCTCCACGCCTTGCAGATTATCTCCGACAGCGCCACCCCAGATTCCGCAAGAGAAGCTCTACTCATGCACATCAGCCTAAATGACACCAGCATGGCCAATGCCGACGAAGACTACCAAATGCTCGAAATCAGTATCGTCCCGGCAGCCCCCTCCGACGACGTGTCTGCCGCAGCACCCGAAGCCCCCGCTCTCGACGCGCCGAGTACATCTGCGCGAGGAGGCAGCAACTCGCGCACGCCCGCACGCATCCTCTTCAACGCAGTCTCAGCCTGTGCTGATCTGCACCCCGACCCACAATCAGATGATGACGAAGAGGGAGAAGAGGAAGACACAGCCCCTGGGGCAAGCGGATGGATCACAGCCGAAAATGCTGACCAGTACTTCGATGAAGACGGACAATTCGTGGGCCAACAGATTCTCGGTCCCGGTGCCGGAACAGTTCGAGCAAGAGACGAGGATGGTCGAGATGCAGACGAGGCGGAAGTGCAAGATGGCGGTGAGGCATTCGCGGACGTCGATGCGAAATGGAGGAGGACAGACTGAACAGTACGAGTGGATTCATCTGTCTCCGGTGCATCATATTCCCGTAACAGAGGCCGAGTACCTACCACGAGCGATGCCATGCAACAGCAGTCCGTTCCACCCTGCCGTTTTCCGTATTTTGTTCACGGAGCTCGGCGGGAGTAGTAGAGACCACATGCACGACCGGCAGTACATCTGCAACTACCACCAAACGCAACATCGATCAAACCGACTTTGCGCAACGCGATGCATGTACTGTAGATGACGTACACACGTGGATCTATTTACACTCTACCTAGGCACCACGAGGATAATTAGTTTCACTAACTACGAATAGCTAGTTGAGTATTACTGAATGAGGGGTCTACCCTAAACAACCCCGCGCGGCACAGTTCAAGGTTCAAGGGGTCTCCGCAATACACGTTCTTGTATACTGATATCTAATATGCACGTCAAGGAACATCTTAAATTCCAATCGAGATCCGTCTCCTCCACAACATTGCTTGAACTCTATAATCCGTGCCCCAACACGAAAGCGTAACATATCGTAACCGGAGGATTATACCCACACAATAAATTTAAATAACCCTCCCTCCCCAACATTCATTGCTCTTGTTTTGAATCTCACATTCCAACCTCGACAACTGGTGTATAATATTATCTCTCTATTGCCTCGTTTCTTATTTTATTTCCTCGCAATCGCTCGTCTCACGACCCTGTATATCTACTATGGGTCTGCGCGAGTACACATACACGGCATGGCCTGTCAAGATCATCAACAAGACAAGTGCCAGAATCACATTCGACCGCGCTGAGGGATCAGACTGGCAGGCGAATGGTCGAGACATAGACGCCAACTGCGACAGCGGCGATGCATTTGTCTTCAAAGCTCCGAACAAAATATTGCAGAGACGCTGGGGTACGACGGCATCCCTCATACAACACATCCTTCTCTGAGCTAACAAATATGCCCCCTCAACAGGTTGGCTCGCATTCACATATCGCCCCAACGACAGCCGCAACGTAGTCGAGTTCCGCACCTATTGCTACTTTAAAGCCGACGACACAGTCACAGAGAGCGGCGCCTGCATCGCGCCTCACAGTGCCTTCGCGGACGACAACCCACTGCCTGCCCGCTCTTGCGGCCGCACAAGCACCATCGACGGGCCCGCTTCGCACGAGCTGTGCTTCGAGTTTACTGACAGCGACTTCCAGGCGCATGTGTTTGCGGGGCCAAACTGGATGGGGTCGTTCTGCGACGCGCACCCGGACGCAGCCCGCTGGTCGGTAGCGAAATGGCATCTACCCGGCTCCCACGACACGGCGACATATGGAAAAGGCACGTTCCCGACGAATGCGTTCCGGTGGAACTGGAACTGTCAGGCGAAGAATGTGCATGAGCAGTTGCTTGCCGGGGCGCGCTTCTTGGACCTGCGGTTTGGCATTGAGAGTGATGGACATTGGTGGCCGTGCCATGGCATTGCGTACAAGACGGGCGATAGACTGGAGCTGAGCAATGGTGTCAACGAGCAGGCGCCGTCAATCTTAGGCCAGATTTTGCAATTTACAGCCACAAGCACGATGGAGATTGTGATTATAAATTTTGCGGTCAATTCCGATCGTCAGAACGATACGTTCTGGCAGCCTGTTCTGGAGGCGTTCAAGGATATCGCGTTTCCTGTGCCGGGCGATTGGCCGACGTGTGAAGCGGCACGAAATAGCGGGAAGAAGCTAATCATATTTGGCGGGCAAGATCCTGAAAAGGTTTTTGGTGAAGGAGACCCAATGCGAGATTTGTACTCGAGATTGGTATGGCGGACGCGTGCACCGCTTTGGCTTGGATCGCCGTATACTGATCCTGACTGGCAAACGACTGGTAAGCTTCAGAGGTCACACGAGAAGTCAAACTGACGATCATCTCGATCCCAACAAACCGATCACCTACACAGAAAACTGGATGAATGGGAACAATGCAACACTCGAGAGAGCTGGGGTGTGGAATGCGCAGTGCCAACTGACACCCCCTGGGCTACCACCACCACCTCCCGATCCGGCCGGCTCACCTTCTCGGCTTGCTGCTATTGTAGGAGTCCTTTGAGTCTCCAATGTGATATACGAGTACCGCTAACATGTTCTGCAGATGAATCCCTGGATCAAGAACAATCTTTTGACGAGACCAGCCTGGATAGATAGGGCGAACATCATGATGGTGGATTTCGTTGCTGAAGATATCATGCTCCCAATCGCGAGCATCAATTTCAAAAAGGTCTGAGAACTTGTTCCAGCAAGCCTTGTCGTGGCGAGGCCTCGACATTAAATAATAGGGACTTTGACCGCACCATGAAAGAACGAAGTGTGGATTTCGACAGGATGTTTTGAGAGCACCTAACTTTCGCTAACATAGAGAAGAATCGTTGGCTCATTCTCAGTCCTCCATGTTTTCCCTTGCAACTAGATCCTTGAGGTAGCCTCAAACGCTCTTTCGCTGCGCATTCTCCTTGCAATCTCCATGCCTGAAAACTACTAGGTATACGGTCAGCTAGACCGTACGCCACACAAGCATATATCCCCCTGCCCTAAGTACGCACAGACCGTGCCATGGTGACACTCTCGCTGTTATACACACCGAACTCGGCCGACATTTCCTAGAAGTCTTGCATGTCATTCTGCCATTGAGATTCATTACTGTTCGTGGTTCGACAGCATATATGCTCAATCGATGCCATTTAGCTCCCGAGACTTCCATCAGTCTGTACAGTCCTGATGCATAAATTACAGTTCAATCACGCGTGCTAGTTCTCGGTCCTGGTCAGAGTCCAGTATGGAGTAGAACAGTATTCCTTTGGGTTGGTGGCTTGTCGTACCTGCAGACTATACAAGGTGCACAGCCGTGAATTTGAGGTCTCAAAAGGAGGGAATATGACGCAATGGAAAGCTCCTGCTCGCCAAATGGGTTGGAAAACATCGAAGAGAACTTTCCCATCTCATGACTCTATCCCTTGTGTGCCAGGACCTTGGACAGGGTGCTGTGGAATTTCTGGAAAGACCTGGGTCCAAAATTGGGTCTTAACCGTCCATACTTACACTTCCGTGCGCTACACTCGTCGCCGCGAGGGTGACGGACAGGGGTTGGCTATTGCGGCTATGTGAGTAATTCTACTCGTCGTCGCTTGTCACCGATGCAGTAAGTGGTGTGTTTAATATTTTTGACAGGGCATATATATATCCCTGCTACGCTACCCCGCTAGTTCAGCTCAGAGCCTCGATGGGCGTGGTGTGCGGTAGCCCGTAATGTTGTTTTGGGAGTGACAAATTGTGTAAAATGATGGAGTATAGCACCAACGGATCCATGAAGAAGAGCCAGGACGTCGATGGCCTTAGCGCAGAAAGTGCGAAACTGGAGGGATGCAGATGCGACGCCATTACTACGTCGAGCCACAAACTTACCGTCTCCATGGTTGAAGGGAGGACAGAATCCTGGCTTGTGTTAGCCATGTACACTTGCTGTGCCCCATCAGATGCTAGGACAGATTCTCGAAAGGAGATACTCTTCCTTCCTCTAAACGCATCCATTGCAAGACGGTTGAACAAAGTAAGCCTTTTGTGACACACGAATGTTATCGAGCTGGTGTGACAAGCATTTGGCGAAGAAGGGATTCGAGGAAACAACGAGCGCGTCGTTTCCAAGGCGGCAAACCCGAGTCAAAGTGCATCTATGCGAGTCAGTGGCGTCGCGCTTGGGATGGGAAACGTGGGAAACGATGTCTAGATAGGAAAAGACAATCTGCATGTCATTGTTAGCGCTCATTGGACTTCGATGGGTGGAATAATAGTACTTGCTAACATAGCAATAACAGAGCGATCTTATTACATGGCCGTGGGTCTAGGTCCACAACGCCATGGCGAGTAGGTCTGCGGGAATTCATGTGTCAGACATCAGATGAATCCTAATCCGTGGCCTCTGGTGGTAGAGGCCGTTCTACACGGCTCAAGAACCGGGCCTGCCGATAGTAAGGTGTATACTTATGGTTAGCTCCGCTTATATGATAGTATATCTCGAATAGTAATAGCTCAAGTATAATAGTATTTATTCTTTATATAGTATATTTATATTTATTAAAAAAATCTTATATCTAATAGATTATCTATGTTTAGTAATTCTATTTATTACTATTTTTTATATATTACTACTATAAATAGAATAGAATATTAAAAAGTATAAAAGAAAGTATCTCTTAAATACTATTATTTATAATAATTAGTATTATAGTAAATATATATAAAATAGTTACTCTAGATATTATATAAATATAAACTCTATTATCTATAGATATTCTTAAATTATAAATAACTCTATTTTATAAGTATTATAAGTAGCTTATTTATATTCTAATTCTACTAGTATAGTTAACTAATATACTTTTATAACTAGAATTAATATAGATATCTCTAGAATTATAGAAAGATACTAAGCTAATTAATATCTAATACTTAGCTTATATAACTACTCTTTATTATGTAAAATTCCTATGATAAAAATAGCTTTGACTTCTCCTTGTTCTAACCAGAGCGAGCCTACTGTATTTAAGGGAACTGATCCGAGTGAATACGACAGGGTTCTGAATCCGGAAGAGGCTGGGGGCTCATGGAAAAACACTGTCAAAGCGTGGGTAAATATAACTAACGAACAAGCGCAGATGGAGTTGAAGTAGTATGTATGTACCTAGGAACAAGGGAGGGAGACGTCAATGGCGCGCGGGAGCATAAGTGGACTGGGACCTGCCTTCCCGGATCTGCCAAGCTATTTCCGGCTTGCGTTCCTTCCCTGACCATTGGCTTAGACAGACGCCCTCTGCTCCGGAGCACACTGCCATCTGCAGCCTGTCTTATCCTGTCTTGTCCGCCGACTCACCCCCGCTCCTTGTTTTATTTGCTCTTACGAACAGAGTACTTGCAACTCATGCAGTCAGTGTACAAGCTTTACTGGTCTCGTTCCTACAGGCTACCTGTCGTAGGGCTCTTCTGGGCACCGTGTCGTCGGGCCGAAGGAGGGGGGGGGAGGGGGGCTAATAAGCTTTCAGAATCCACTGGACCCGCAGAAATATGCATGTACAGGTGTGAGCGGAGATGTTGATGCTGATATGTATCAGCTTTGTATATGAGTACGAGTGTCGACACCTTCTTCCATGGCTGGTCATGTTTCAGCAGTCTGTGTGTTCTCAGGGCTATTAGTCTCTTGGAGACACCAGGGCGATCGTAGCGCTACTTGTTGATTTCGAGGCAGCGAGTCATCCTGGCTAGGCCCGAGCCGGCCGGTTTGCGTGCTCCAAACCGTACTAAAACGGCATCAGAATAGCGTCTTGGTGGTCCAACCATAGATCTGTACTGCCCGACGGGGAAGGTTGTCCACCCGCGTAGTCGGCCGTCCCCTGCTCAGCGCACTTGTGCGTGTCTCATGCGGCAGTTGAAGGATCCAAGTAGTTGAAGGAAAAGCTGGTGATACATTTACACCATCCCGACTGTCTGGTCAGCCCTGGGCTTTCTTTCGAGGTCCAGGGGAGGTGAGCAAGCCCAGGCTTCGTACATATTTGTGCGGACTTGCTGTCTCTCTTGTTTAAAATTATTGCTCTTCGACAGTCCATCTCCTACTCAATCTTTCTGTCATCACTCATTGTACAAAGCTGAACATACGAACTATCATCATCTAGTGATTACCCCATCATCATGTGTGATTATACACAAGTCCATTACAAGTGTCAACATCTGCGGTATATAGTTCGCGCCTGGTGTACACGATATCAAGAGACCCACGTAAGATGTCCGGTAAACGTGGTGGCTGTGTAAGTACAAGCACGCCATATATGACTTCATGACAGCTAATGACTTTCCAGAGAACATCGACTCACTGAAAATTGTGGTGAGTGGAGATCAATCCCCTGCTTTTGTCTTGGCGCGATCTGTCGACAACTAAAAAGACTAAATTTCGAACCACAGGCGACTGCCGAGGCACGACGACATCAACACATCTGCGTTCTGGACGACTCTCGATATGACTGACCCATAAGCATCGGAGCGGTGAAGTCACGGTTCAAAGGCGCCGGCGGAAAACTTCTTGTCAGCTCTATAGAAGGCGTTGTAAGCATGTGTATGTGGTTGATCTGGCTCTGTTTGTTGAGCGAACAAAGAGAATGGCGTTGGTCATGGCGTTCAAAAGCATCATTATTCACCAAACGTTAGATTTAGTATGAGGGCTGGGTTGAACATTGGCTTGGTAACATATCGAGACTCGACGAACTGGCGGCACTAGGACAAGTACAAACTAGTGCCAGTGGTACTACTAGGTCAAGTGTTGATAGAGTACATGCTGGCTGAAGCTCGGACAGCTAATCACATACAGTATCTGCATACTAGTGTACTGTATATTGGATTGAGTATGATGATGAGTGACAATATTGAGAATGAGCTGCAACTCGGCATGTCTAGCAACAAGATTAATCTCCCCGTCTTCCCATGCGGTTTTGGCCTCGGGACAGGTTCATGGATGTTCCCATGCGTACTGCAAGCTCAACGGCAAATCCCTACGACTATAGTCACTATCTGAACTACACAACGCTTGCCAACCCCCTAGGGTAAGAATTCGTTAGACTTGGATGTCCCTAGGGAAATGACGCAGTGCGCAGAGACAGCTGTTATTAGTTTACAAGCACGGCATTTAGCTATGCCAAAAGGCGCGTGTTTCAAAGAATGTCTTTCGATCTGGGTACTGTTACTGTTCCGTGGACCGAGCCGCATGGTTGGGATATCGGTGTCCCTTTGTTCCGCTTGTGTCGCGTGAGACGCTCCATAGAGAGCGGAACCGCTGTTACAGGCATACACCAGGTGAGGGACTAGGTTTGCTTGTGATACCTATCAGCCCCTTCCCCGAGGAATCGGAACCCAAAGACCTCGAAGAAATGTAGGAAGCTCATTTCGGCTCATCTCTGCCAAGGTCTCCAAGGTGAGGGAACAAGGCCAGGCCCATGAAAGTGGCTCATATGAAGACCCATCTCTAAAATCTCATCTACAGTGTATCGTAAACTAAAGAGAGGGGTTTGATTGTAGTCCTAAGCAGCATCGATACATATGCTCAGAATTCTCATGTACGTGCATGAGAGAAGAGGCTGTTCTTCAGGTATGTGATCATCCATTTGTCATGGACAGACAGGTCAAGAGAAGTTCACAACCAATCCTGGAAGCAACGATGTACAAGAAGCGCGTATATACAGACGTATGTTGGGGTGTCTTCTTGGCCCCTGAGAACGAACACTTCAGGCCGCTTTATGCCCTGTTTAAGTACTATTCTTGGTAAGACTTGGAGCGGGAACCATCCCTTGTCATGCAAAGTGCACATCCTGTTCCTGTCGTCTGATAGAGTACTGCATCAGATGGCGCAACCGCGGAAGGATTATATCCCCGCGATGGCGCGCAATGGAAAGGGACCGGGCAGGATTCTTGAGTGCATTCGGGGACATTTTGATTTGTTTCTTTCCTTTTGGAATCCCGAAAGTCACATGATACATGCCGTGGACTCCGATATCGTACTACATACTACACGCACGCAAATAATCACCATTGACCCTGGCCCAGACACCTTTCACGTCCGACCTGTACGCTGAAACATGAGTCGCGACACCAGCACAACAGCTCTCGATACATACGCCGTCCTTGTGACCGGAGCCAACAGGTAAGTTACGCCTTCAGTGCAGTCACCGCAAGAACCACAGTCGACGACTCGGACAAGCTGACGTCTACAGTGGAGTTGGCTTCGCCATCTGCTGCCGCCTCATTGATGAATACCTACAAAGAAACCTCCCCCATCTTGTAGCGACGAGATTCGTCCTCATAGTCACGACCCGCAACCAGCGCAAAGGCAGCGACACCTCCCAGAAGCTTCGTCAACACATTAACAATTTATGTGCGAAAGAAGAGAGACGATTCCCTGGCATCACGGAATTATGGCAACCAAGGGTCGAGGTTAGGGCAGAAATTCTGGACCTGACTTCAATTGTGTCCGTACAAGGCCTAGCTGAGAAAATGCTATCAGACAGAAGTACTACTGGCCTGCAAAAGTTAGATGCAATAATATGTAATGCTGGGATCGGTGGTTGGACTGGTGTCAATTACCCCAAGGCCATATGGAACATACTGACCAATTGGGTGGACTCTGTCTCTTACCCTTCTTTCAAGACTGCTGGAATTGGATGGGTTACCCGATCACAGGTTGTCTCGGAAGAGTCTCGGGGACAAAAGTCATCTCCATTGAAGGTTGATACTGAACCTCCCCTTGGCGAAGTCTTCTGTGCAAACGTGTTCGGTCATTACTTGCTTGGCTATTACCTCGGACCTCTTCTGTCGACGCCATCTAGACATCATCCGGCTCGAATCATCTGGATGTCAAGTCTGGAAGCATATGCTGATCAATTCCACCTTGAAGACTTCCAAGGTCTGAAAACGAAGTGGGCTTACGAATCATCTAAAAGATTGACAGATGTCTTGGCGCTCACGTCCGAAATGCCATCTGTTTCTCGCTGGATTGATAGCTACACAAGCTCGCCTAACGCTTCACAGACAATGTCTAAAGCTGATTCACGAACCACGCGGCCATGTCTTGTTCGTCCTAAGCAGTACCTCGCTCACCCAGGAATATGCGCGACTGGTATTCTGCCAGTGCCTTGGTGGCTCGAATGGGCCATGACACTGGCACTCCACGCCGCACGCTGGATGGGCTCTCCGTGGCATCCAGTCGTTGCCTATCTCGGAGCCGTTGCTCCTGTCTGGCTAGCTATGGCATCTGCCACCAGCCTTGAGGCTATGGAGGAGACAGAAGGGAAAGGCAAATGGGGCAGTGGAACAGACCCAAATGGTAGCGAATGTGTACGGCGCATGTGGGTTCATGGCTGGGGCTGGGGTGGCAAAGAACAGGAAAAGGTGCTGCCAGGGAGACGTAAGGGTACCGAATATGCCACGGCGCAAGACAGAGAGGCTTTTGAAGAACTAGGCATCGCATGCTGGAAAGAGATGGAGGCATTGCGACAAGAGTGGCACCGGCTTTTGTTCGAATGACTATTCCAAAGAACGCCGAGAATGTTGTACAGCACCTTTTTTTAATCTGCTTTGCTGTGATACCCAATCTATCGAGCCTACATCAATGTTCAGTGTTATATTCAAGGTAGAAATTAGAGACAATGGCAAGCGATTCTTCAAAGGGGAGAATAAATATCCACAGTCTAGAGGGTGACCTTGCATGTTGTGTGATCATACCAACATACTGACTGGGGCTTATATGCAGATGGAGGCGTTGATCAGGCTGATCATCCTTCTCACCCGCAGCCGTTGAAGCCCACGTGCTGACATTTTCTGAAAAAATGAGCCCCATGACTTTGTAGGTTCGTTGAGTATTCAGTCCGGCACATTATGAATGACAAAGACACCTGAGTCACTGTATCATGGCTCTTAACTTTATGGTCACCCTGCCAGGACTCTGAGTTTCAGACATCTGTCGATGTCGCGCTATTAAGTTTTTTTTTCAGCATACAGGGTAGAAGGACCGCAAAGCTCGAGGCCGGGTTGCTAACAATAATGACATTCAGGACCATATCGTCCATGCCCGAAACGGCATTCCGTTTCCGAAATGGGCCTGGAAAGGGCTGGAACCGACGGCGACAGGGCTATACTGACGTGCAGCTGCAGATCCATCCCGGCGGCCTTTTTACTACGATCCCTCTACTCCTGGAACCCAGGACACGTACGTATTTGCAGACATTTTGTCCTTTCGTAGTGGTCGTATCATCGTCTCCAACGCCATACTGCAATCCATGCGTCTCACACCACGTCAGTAGAGAAGCATCAACATCAACGTTCGAGGCAAAATATTACAGCCACGGCCCTGGTCGCCTATGCAGTATACTACTATGTATGTACTATGTAATGTACCATCACGCCATGCAGCATGCCGTCTGGCGCTCCACGGAGTCCACGCCCATCGTATGGGCGAAAGTGCCGTGACTGCAGGGGAACCCATGCCGGAAGAGTACGCCGGAGCTCCCAACGCTCCCGAGACCTTGGATTTTTTTGGACGACACTTGCATGACACCAAAGAAGTTCCGATTGTCGATCAGACCCAGAGGAGCCACCCCTCCTCTGTCGTCCTCTTCGCCCGCTCAAATGTCGGTGTAAACGTCAACCATACGGCGGGCTGGAATTCGCAAGCTTACTTTTGTTGTCTTAGTTGGAGCCATGCGATCGGACTGGACTGGCCTTGGTGGAGTTGTGCTAATGTAGCTTGCAGACTCAACAACTCGCGTGTCGAAGCTACCTTGATAACCCTATTAGCCATGGATGGATCCTAATTCGCGACTCGGAAAACACGCCGGACCATACAGAGCACAACTATACACACTTGCCCATACACTTCAAACACTTCAAACACGGTACCTCAGACACAGTACACCATATATATACTAACACACAAACGCCATACAAAATACGCCGTACACAGTTTGCAAGGAATTGATATCTCCGGTGTGAGCGACATACACGAACACAATCATCGAGTTAAGACAGCAACTTGATACATCACCAATCCCTGCAGTCTCCACACAAGCCAAGCAATGTAAAATTACTAAAAACATACCTTCCCTGGCTTCGCCCACCCCGTCGATCGAGAGCTCCTTGAGAGCATTAGGATGATACGTACGTACTATGTACGCGTCCACCATGATCACAGACAAAGAAGTCGCTAATTTTAAACGCCGACGTCGCACAAGCGGGCCCCCACGCCTCCACCACCCCCTCTCTTTCTTACGCACATAACATACAATCCATACATACATGATGATAGACTTGATAGTACGCATATCTTCTCCACACATACCGTACCCTTTTCGGAATACGGAACACCCATTTCTGTGGATCTTGATGCGCGCCCTTTCCCCCCTCCCCCCTCTCCACTAAAAAGAAAATCCTCCTCCCCCACTTGATATTCACTTTGCATTGCGCTATGCATCACATCAACATGTCCTCCCATCTGACTACCACCACTACTAGTAGTAGTTACAAGACTCCATTTCGTTAATCTCATTCCACTTCTACGGTATTGTCGTCCCTCCATCTACCCTTGTCTTCCCCTCCGGCTTACCTACCTAACCGGTCCAGGACCTTACTTACTCCTCGCCGGGCTCAGCAAAGGACAGACACTAAAGACAGCGCTCGTACTCGGGACTCACTGGTGGGAACATAGACTTGTTTATCTTCCTTGTCGTTTTTAAGTGGGCGAGTCCAGCGCGCCGCGCCGTTCGCGCCGTTCCCAGTGAGACCCGCTCGAAATAAACCTCAGCTACGCTCGCGTGGGAGACAGTCACTATCTTCATTCGAGCTAGTCGAAGTAGGGCCTAGTGATAGAGAGACGACCTTACCGGATTGGGACAGGAGAAGATCGGGAGTGAGCAACTTTACGGGGGCGTTGTGAATAGTGATACGTTGACATGTGAGGTGCGACGTGCGAGGTTCACTAGACTATGGCGATTGAAGTGTATACATTTTGTCAAAACAAGTATGAATATAATAAGAAGATGGTGGTAGCAAGATAGTCATGACTTGCGGATAATAAGATATGACTTCACTCATATTTTGACAGCTAATCATCGCCTGCATAATTTCATTGCCAATAACTCTCCGTCTTCATGATCCCCGATCATGCTTATGATTTTGCGCTCCACTTCTCGTTAAACGCATTTACTGCTACGGCAACCTGTCCGTAGAACCAATTTCTACTTCCTTCGTCCTGGACCGGTATGAATGGCCCGTTCGTTCCCCCTTTCAACGATATGCTGATCCCCGTTCTTTCTTTGCTGATAGTAGCGACATCTTTGAGCGGCACATCCCATTCGGTCGTCAGCTTCTTTGTGCGGACTAGTAGGATGGTATTATATGTCAGCATGACAAGCATATCTGCATTGCCTGAAGGTCCACGACGAGCTGGTGACTGTGGCAACTGCGCTGACTGGCTTGGAGATAACGACGATCCGAGCTCAAGATGAGCGACATAATCTTCATTGAACCACTTGCCGTTGTCCAAGGTCTTCAGCCAGAACTGTCCAAGAGCTTCACGCTGAGAGTATGGACGGACAACCCCATCGCGCCCGATAAAGCGTGTGAGACGCACACGATCAAGACCTTCTTGATCAAAGACCGTCGTTGTGTTCCGTACGCCTTCGGCCATGTTGCTAGCAAGGTCAAAAGCACCGATAGCAGGTTTCGTCGCTAGGCCGAGCACACCTTTCCCTACACCTTTCATGAAGCCGGCTACGCCCTCCTTCTCTGCTCCCTGAATAGGGTGTCGAGCTAAGCCACCAATACCAGATGCAAGCGATGACGCAAAGGCATTTCCTCCGGAGGTGATTCCGTAAAGGGCATGCTTTGGTCGGTTGCGTGAACGGCTCATGCGACGCTGGTCTTGGAATTCCTTGTCCATAGACGCGGCGCTGAGACCCTTGGAAATTGATCCTGTGAACTTGGCCATACTGTCCGAGAACCCAAATACACTCTTCTTCACGAAGCTACTTGCTCCCTTAGCAATACCAATACCAAGCTCTTGCGGCCTATCAGTCATAACTAGTCCCTGATATGGTTCGTAAAAGATGTCCGCCACACCCGATGAGATATTGTTGAACAAGCCGACAGGGTTACCGAGGAAGTCGGCGGATCCCAGGACAATATGAACTTGTCGCAGTGATTCTTGTACGTAATGCGACCGGACATTCGAGATCAGCGCCGTCATCGATACGCGAGCATTTTCGAGCATGAGTGCGTTGTAGCGTACCGGTGCATCGTTGACATTACCAATAGACATCGTCAATACATTGACTGCGAACATGAAAGGGTTGGACGATGTTGCAGTGTCCTCAGCATTGATGCGCTCCGTTCTTACAAACGACAAGTCGAATTGCATGGGTTGAAGGTGAAGTAGTTCGAAGTAGACATCCTGTCCCGACTGTTCTTGTTGGGGTTCAGGCAATTCTAGCCGCTCATCACAAAGCTTGCCTTGTTTCTCTTCTGACCACGAGGCTCCTGGGATCTTAGTGAAATCGAGGAGGGCAAAGATAAAGTCCTCGTCAATCTCCAAGGTCATTTGCTGAAGGAGGATGGTGAAGTACTTAATGTATATCACGCCATATGAATCATCCTTGACTCTGGAGAGCGTCGCGTGCAGAATTGGATGCGCCTCCATTTCTCGACCGGTCTTGGGTACAACACTAGGATAGAAGAGGATTGGAAAGATTCCACCATAGAGTTGATTGTCAATCTGCATCCACTTGATTGTGAGACCTAAAGTCTGAAAAAGTGCCGATTCCGAGTATTTGAGCTCGATGTCCCGAAGAGTAAGATAGACAAGCTCGCGCAGCTGAGCATTGACCAAAGACACGCCGATACCTGCGAGTCGCAAAGTGGCTTTGAAGGTCACATCTGTGTCCTGCTCCTTGACTTCGAAGCCTGAAGTTGTCGATTGAGAAGCAGATGCGCTCTTCTGTTTGTACAAACTCTTTGAAGGCTTATAAGTGGACAGGATGAGCGTCTGGGTTGGGCCGTCGGCAATTACGTTGAGATCAATGACTTTCTGTCTGTTGACCTCGGGTGTAGGAGGTAGCCTCATTGGTATCAGGTTACCAATCTCAGCGAGTCTGACGTGCCTTTCCCTTCCATTAGCAGTGAGGATTATCTCTTTGTTCTTCGCTGCAGGATGATCCCAAGCGTATGGCATGACACTTCTAGGAGGAAGTCTGTACCGGATTGGTCGCCACCCGGAACCACGATCCTCCTCATCTTCATCAACATTTGGATTTGCTTGGTAGAATAAGAACTCTGTGTCACTCTCGTTCCGCATTGAGAAAGGCCAGTGCTTCGTCTCAATGCTCAGCTGTAAAAATATGGTCGCTCCTTCCATCAGAATGTCCACACGGACAAGTTGTTGACGTTTACCGTTTTTGGCTAGTTTGACGTGAACATTGCCAACATTAGCAATATCGAATGCTGAAGACCACTGATTGCTCACTCCTGGGAAGCATAGTGAGAGTTGTTGGCCTACACTCTGTCGCAGATATCTAAGGGGCTGGAGCTGACCAGATCTGAGTGTCATGATGTTTGAGGACCCAGGTTCTCGTATGCTGATATCCTCTTTCATGCGATTCTTCACGATAAAGCGAGGAGCAATTGTAACAACCTTGCATAGGTTATACTTTCCTTCGCCTTCTGCAACATTAATGCCTATGTGCATCTCGGAACAGCCATTGCCAGAAGTCAGCGACACATCGTATGCACTTCCGATGGCATCAAAGCTCTGTGGTTTGCTCCATTGAGAATCGCCAACCTTGAGCAAAGCACGATTCTTCTTGTCGTCCGTTGGAAAAGAGAACATGAACGGATGTGCTTTCTGTGCGTCTTCATCCTCTTCTTGAACAAATACTGCTTGTCCTGCAGCAGCCTTAGCTTGGCCCATGAATTGTTTGCTGCGAACATCCAGTTCAAGCCCAGTGCGATTTAGTATGACGTAAGGGCTGTAAATTGTGACTTTGAAGGCACCGCCGCTATCAGGAATCTTGTAGTAGTGAAGGCTGAGTCTTAGACTGAGGTCTTTGTCGTCCTTAACCTCGATTGTCTTTTCCCGCCTGAAATCGTCCTTCCCAGATGAGTTTATGACTGCAAACTTGCTTTGTTTAAATGGTGTGTCTTGCATATAAACGTTGATTAGCAAGAGGTGCGAGAGCTCTACTACATGGACGGGGCTAACACCGCCATTTCGGAGGAAGTTGGCCCAGTCTTTCTTCGTATTGTCATCGTAGATGCGGTATTTGAAATCGTATGGAAGTAGGTTCTGGACTTCTACGGGAGCATGTAGGCGAATTCGCATGTACGGATAAATACTGTTTCATGTCAGCTTCATCTTTCGATGAAAGTAGTGAAGCATACCTTGTGAGGGGGTCTCTTTTGTCGAATTGCGCATATGACTGGAAAAAGAATGGAGGGCTACTTTGATCAGAATCTCCTTTGCAAGTGATTGTCCTGTTGGGCCGCTTCAACGAGTCTTGCCAGAACAGTCTTTCGTTACTCCAAGCATATCCGAAACCTTGGTCAGGTCTTATTATGATACTATGCATATAAGCAGCGCCAACAGGGGCTGGCCTTGCATCGCCTGGCGCAATTTTCTCAATTTTGAGAATATGTCCTTCTTCGGGGTTGTAGATGCCGATCTCGATAGGGATCTGAGTGTTGTTCTCCACAAGGAGTGGCGATCTGAATGTAATGTATTTGACGTTGTCCGTTCCGAGCTTGACCTCTACCAAGAGGCGATGTTGCACACGATCTTTACGAGGTTTCAAATTATAAAGATTTTCACCTTCACGGCTAACTTGAATGCGCGTGACGCTGTCGAATCCACTACCTTCAAGCTTGACACCAAGTATACCCAGAGCCCCTTCTGGCGACAGTGTTTCTCTCGTAGTCGTAGGATCTTCAAAGCGCCAGGGTCTTTCTTCGCCATCGTCAAGCTTGGCTGCCGGGCCCTCCTCGTTGTCTTTGCTATCTGCCCACACATTGATGTCAAAACCAGTATAGTTTCTGATTCGGTATGGTGCATCCATGCCTCGGGGTTTCGAAAGGACATCTTCTTCTGTCGAAAGGAAATCCGCGGATTTGCTCGCAAGAGCTATAGTAGCCGTTGTGATAGACAGCTCCAGGGCTTTACGGGAGAACAGCTCCACGCCAAGCTTGTCAGGGCTCTGTTCCTTAGACATGTGGAAACCCACAGACCATGGCTCTATCAACGGTTCCCAGGCTGATTTTGAGAAGTTGTAGATATTAAAAAGCGTGTCAATATTGGTGTCCGCAGTCATAGCTGCAGACCAGTCTCGGACATCTACATTGAACTTGTGGACCCGCCAATCCAGCATTGGCAACTCATGCGCGTCGCCAATGAGGACAACTCGCAAGCCCTCGAACGAAACTTTCATTTCCTCGCGCTTCATTACCGTAGAAGCCTTCTGCTGTTTAGTGGTAATTGCAGAAACTCGGTCTGTCTTCTTGCCGGTCTTGATGGAAGTCGCAGATTTCCCTCTAGCATGCGTAGATGTTGCCTTCTTATGACTTGACTTCGATCTACTAGTAGAGTCATTGGCTTTGACTTGTTTCAAATTTTTCGGTCCATCATCCACCGTTTGTTGGTCCGGGGTCTGCATAGCAGAAGCACGATTGAATATCTGCATAGCCAGTAAAATGTCTCGCAGTGATAGTCGCAAAATGAGAGGTTCGACATCGACGTGAATACTCGTGAGCGAAGAATCCTCCCCTTGCGAACGCATATCTAGGGAGGTCGTAACACTAAAATCATCGAGGATCCTAAGCCTTGTGGAGTCGAATTTGTCCATGCGACATAAGAACATACCAACCTTTTCAACCTGAAGAGTGGTAGAGTTCTGTTTCGAGACCAATACTTGCTTAGTGCCCAGTACGATAGCCTCGGAATTGTTGATCGCCGGATTAGCAAGGAGGATGATCTGCGCATCCACTAAGTTGACACGGAAAGAGATAGTCATTCCGTCTGGTTCTTTTTCGTCTCGGGTCTCCGCTTTGCCGTCTTTCTTGATGGAGGAGAGGGCGCCCGACTGTACGCTGACGGTACTCTCACTTTCTATATCCTCATCCTGGTCCTCAATGTGGAGGATATCGTCCGTCATCAAGCCTGCGCTCACAAAGCCCTGAAGAGCAAAGAGATAGTCAAGAGCGAGAATGACACGAGGACTATCGATCGTCAAAATTGCTATGAGATGTTTGTCCTCATTCCCTGAAATGGACAAGCTGGCCATGAACTGTTGCTTCACTTCTGTGTTGGTCAAAGACATAATCTTACGGAATTTATTCGTTGTCTGAGAGCGACTGTCGCGGATCGAGAAAGACTGGATCAGGAGTTCAGCCTCCAGGGAACCATCACTCATCATCCGCGTCTTGATGTTCGTGTCACTGAGCGAGAACTTAGAAAGACTGGCACTCTCGAGATCGCCCACAGGCTCTACCGTCCTGGCTTGTATAAGCTCTAAACCAACGGCACCAATCTTGAAAATAAGATCAAGCTTTGCCCATTTGTCTTCCTCGCTCTTGCCTAATTCAGATACCTGTTTCGTTGTAATGTTTTTAGACTTCGGTGTGGTCTCTTCATATTCTGCGATTCGACGCGAAGGGCGCAACGCGGATTCTTCCAGCTCGTCCATAGCCTGACCTTCCAGCTCTTCTGCTGGCTCTGTAGCGAAAGCTTCTGGGATAGACCTCGAGAGCTCGAGAGCAAGTTTCAATTGTTCTTGAGTGAGACGCAAATTAATATCAGACATATTTCCTTCAATCTCCACATCTGGGCGCTTGTATCCTTGTTTATGCTCAACCAATGTGATATTAAAGTCAAGATTCACTTTGTCAATGAGCTCAAGTTCTTCCACTTGATCATTGTCGTAGTGCAAATTCGACGTCAGCTTAATGTTGCGCACGCCAGCTGTCAACTTGTTCGCAAAGTCGGACATCTTTGAGTCGTCTAGAGGGACAAATTTATTGTTTGCATATATCTCACCAAGGTTCGCCGTCAATGTATCTCTTTCAGGTTTCTCAGTGATGACCATACGTGGAAAGACGACGATAGGCGTTCGGATTATAATATCGAAGTGCATCTTACCAGCACTTTCTTGAATCTGGTTTGCCTGATTTGCCGCAGCCTGGCGTGCTGCATTAAAGATGGCTTGCATCTTGCCGAATTTGACACCGAACTCCATAATTTTTCGGAAAGGCTCTGTCAAGAAGTTAACCTTTAATGAGCCGGACCTTAGATATATTGACGAGTCATAACCAGGGTAGTTGTCCGTGTTTGCATCGAACGTCTCGTATGAGAAGTCAGCGAGCTCTTTGCCCTGAATCGTAACCAGCTGGCGTAGTGACGACTGTTCAGAAACCCCCTGATTGACATCGTCAATCAGCGAAAGGTTGCCAAGCTTAGCATCGACGCGCATAGCTTTTCCTGCCAGGAAGACTCCAACATCCGCAGCATTGAGACTGAGTGTAGCTAGCCGAATGCCGTCATTATTCAGTATCAATGCTATTCTCTTGAGTCTAGCTTTGATGCGGATCTTGTCAGGTTCTTGTGATTCAGGTCCCTTCTTGTCTTCCTTCATTGGGCCGTCTGGCGAGTCCTCCACAGATTTGTCCTGAGCTACGAGACTGGAGTTCGTGAACGTGACAAGGACAAAGTCTAAGAGAGTCAAGAGCGTTTTTCGAGTTACAATTAGATTGATCGTCGATACCATGACGTCTAGATTCATTGCCACACCCTGGTATAACTCATTAAATTCTGGTGAGTCTTCGTTGACTCTAATGAACTTTAGCTGAAACAGATCCTTTTGGAGGGCCGTATCAGTATCCTCTGAGGAAATGAGATTTCTAAACTCAGGCAACGGGTTTTCTTCGACATGATCCTGTACCGCAAGAGTCTTAAGACTAACTTCTGCGACCATACTGAACTCTTCTTGGTAGAAGTCTAAGTTAAAGCCTTGCGCAACTAGTTCCACGAGAAGCTCGTCAGGCTTCTTACCGTCAGGGTCGGATCGATAGAGAGAACCTTGTAACTTGTCGACAGTGAATTTGAATTCAAAGTTACGTTGATGAATGTTTCTTTCCGGAGCAGCCTTCTTGTCTGAAGCATCTTGAAAATCATCCTGCTCAGATTCGCTTCCTTCTTCACCGACTAGAATCTCCTTTCTCTGCGAGGTCTTGGTGAAAGACTTTGCACGAGTCCTACCTACCGATGACCCGTTGCGTTCTCTAATTTCAATCAGAGGATCAAGGTTCGATGGTCCTGTGGTCTCGTTCTGCAACTGCTTAACATTTTCATTCTCGTCGAACCTAGGAATTGCAACATCAATGAGGCGCATCAAGCTTTTGTACTTTGAATCCGAGACTGAGGCATGGAGAACCGGTAGATTACCGGAGATGCGAAATTTAGTCAAGTCCGCTGCCCTTTGGATGATGCAGGTCTCGATTGTGAAATCCATATTAATACGGTCAACGAGGTGTAGACTCTTTGAAGTTGATTTTTCATCAAGTTGTGACTTTGTTTCCTCAATCGAGGTGCCGATCAGAACCTGAGTTGATTCAAGCTTCAGTATGAACTTGTCGTACATAAGACCTTCAAGTTGTTTGAAGTCTGCCTCCGTATACTGCTTGCTATGTTTGTTCTGAATATCTCGAATGGTCGATTTATCGACGAGGTCGCTACTGACGCTCACATGACCTGCATCTATGATTAGACAGATAGTACTGCTGTCCGTCACCGAGTCTGGTATGATAATAAGAGGAGCTTGTAGATCGAGCTGCGTGTTGATAGTCTTATGTTCTTCAAGAGCAAACTCTAATCCGGCACGAGTCTGCTGCCGAATGCCTTCCACGGTAGCACCCGCGGTCTCCATTAGAGCACCAATCGACTCCATGTGACGCTCAGGGGGTTTGAAGAATTTGGCGACTTCGGCGATGAATTTAGGATTGTAGACAATCTCCATGCCCTTTAATCTCACGTTTAGCGCAGTATCGGCGCTTCCGTCTAGCGGGTTCTTCTCGAATGCAACTTGGAAGAACGGATCGCCGTCCTCAGCTCTGTCGTCTTCATCATGATCTCCCTTCAATCGTGGTTCCGTCTCATCATCGTTCAATTCTCGAATCCGATCCTCATCAGCGACAGGAGCGACACCTTTGACGATGATTATCTGCTCAAACAGACTTCCATCAGTCGTACCGTCGTATAAGCGCATACCATCAAGGCTCAATTCTATCAACATAGAATCCGTGCGCTGTAATGCTTTTGTGCTGAAATTATCAAATAAGAGTCGTAGTATGTTGTTGGGCTTGCCACATCTACCATGTGGATCCCGTCTAAGAGTGAAACTTCCTGTCCGCAAACTCATCTCGACTTGCATTTTCACGTATTCTCTCGGCATATCAATAGCGTCCGACAGCTGCTGCTGTTCATCCCAATCAATCGCATCGTACAGCTTTTTGCGATCCTCTTCTGTGATATCTGTCTCTTCCTCTTGATTCTGTGGTTTACTACCCCATATCCACGCACCCCAGGACTGGGTTTCCTTATGTTTGGGCACACCGATATTCTCTTTGCGAAGCTGGTTCCGGGCTAGCGAGCGCCAGAACCGGAGGTCTTCATAAGATAACTTGCGTTCAAGTGCATCCATTTCCTTTGCTTCATCGGGTGTGAGCTTCTCCTCCTTCTTTTTCTTTTTGAAAAGGGCAATATAGCGGAGTCGGTCATCTCTCCTTTCCCGGAAATAATCCCAAGACCACTTCCGGTTGCGGTCATGGATTTTGTCCAAGACAGCTTTTCCAGCGAATTGTAGCCATGCGAGTGGATCTTCTGCCGGTCTTGATTTGGGTTCAAACTTCTTGTACTCTTGATGTCTGATGAAGTAGTGAAAGAGCTCAACTAACATCAGCGCATCGCGGTATTGATCCTCGTCGATAATGAAACCGAGTTCGTCAAACAACAATCGCGCCTTTACTTTCGGCTTACCAGGCTTCCCAGTCTTATCTATCTCAAGTCCAGCACGACCGCTGACAGGCTTGAGGATAAATTGATGTTCTGCGAGATCTGGGCTGTCGCCTCGTACAATCATCTGTTTCGCCTTCTTGATAAATTCTTCTCTATCTAGCCCTTGCTCTTCATCTCTGATCTGCTCTCCTTTTCCAGTACCCATAAGAGATGCATCAGTATCCCAATATACCGCGAGGGAGCCCAATGTTGCAAGTTTATGAGACGAAGCTGAACTACCTTGAATGAACGTAGGTTTCCAGTCCCCATCAGTGCTGACAGCGCTAAATTCTTCAAGAGTGATACCGAGAGCGAATGCGTGGCCAGGATGAGATATTGCGTCTTCGTATCTGATGTGGATGTTCTTAACGCTGACTTGTAAATTGTCAACGATTGTGGTGACCAAGCTTGCAGTGAAGCTCTGGTTCTTCTTTTGCTCCTCTGCGCTCATGCCTTCCGTATTTCTCTCTTTCAGGAGTTCAGCAGAATCAAGCTTCTCCATCTTGACAGCATGTGCTCTGGTCTCTTCCTCTTCTGCATCGTATTCTGCATCCTCTTTTGGTGCTGCCAGTAGGAAAACATCCTCTATACTGACATGCACTGGGCTTCCTCTGAGATTCGACCAGGGTATTCGGAGTGTGAGTTGGCCAAGATGGCCTTGGACTACGTTGAGGGGTAGATGAAGTTGGTCGAGAGCTTCTCGTCGCAGTTCCAGATTTCGAAGCTTCACATCTCCAGACCATATTCCGACATTGAGTTGTTTAGGATCAAAATTCTTGACATACATGCCAAGAAACCTGTTTAGCAGGTTCGCGACTAGGCCCTCGAGCATGATGCAATGTGATGGCCGTGACCCAGGCGGGGGACTAGAGTTGGGTTGGTTCTATGAGTGCGCGTGAGGGTTAAGCACGGTCAACGTGATATAGGTGTCATAGTCGAGCTTCGGCAAGAAAGCTGTTGAGGGATCGCGAAGTTTGACAGGATATGGTGAGATGCAACACAGTCTGTCAACGCAAGGACAAAGCGGATATCACATAAAGTCTGCACGGAATGAGTGAAGAGAACGGATGAGTGCTGTCTGGTATGCTACGCGTGAGACTGCGTATCAAGCAGGTAGTAGGATGTATGCACGGAAGCCTGGTCATGAGAAGGTGCGATGTCTTTACCCGCAAAGGGAAAAGCTAGAGCTAGAGTTGATCGAGATCCCGCTCGGGCAGGCTGGCACCGTGCAAGCACCATGATGACGTTGCGTGGCGTTGGCCCTCCGGAAAGCTGACCATTAAATTTTAGGCGAGTGTCACGTGCAGTCCTGTACGTACAGTGCCGTACTGTTGAAAACCACAAAGCTCAACATCGTCTTCATATCTTACTTTACGAACAATCAAAACTTCATACACCATCGAGCATCCCCCTCCTAGTAACGATAGCTCTCGATTACCGTCTCTCACGACGTCCCATCTCATACCGAGACCTCTCAACATGGGCTGGTGGTGGCGCTCCGACCCAGAAGCACCTATCAAGCCCTCAAATCACAGCGCACTCGCCGCAGCATGCGAAGTCGCCGACATGACCAGCCCCAACGTATCCACACTGCGACAACAGCCCGACCTCCTCCCTACCCAACCCGATGTACCAAACCGCAGTCCCCCTGACAGCTCGCTTTATCCATCCACGATGTCCTGTCGCGATGCATTCGACGCCGCGTACTACTGTGCGTCATTCGGAGGCAAGTTCAACGACATATACCGCTACGGCGAGCTGCGGTCGTGTAGCGAGCACTGGGGCCAATGGCGGTTTTGTATGCGACTGAAAGTGCTGCAGCCACAAGAGAGAGAGCAGCGGGTCAGGGAATTCTACAGAGAGAAAGAGGCGCATACGAGGGTTGGGAGAAATAGCGAAGAGGTGTGGAAGAGGAGGACGGATATACCCGAGAGGTACATGTGGAAGAATCCGGATACGATGGAGCCGATTGAGGGGTTGGAGGAGAAAGCTTGAGAAGAAAAATAGACAGGAATCAAATATATATATATACAACAATCGAGGAATACGTAGGTATCAGCTGTGTAATACATGTACTATACATATATGTATCCTCAATGGTGCATGTCCCGTTTTCAACCCGTTAGTCCGGAGGAGCGAGAGTCGGAACTGCTGTTGTGCTTCGTCGGTCTAACATGTCGTCCAAGTTCATGTATCTTCGAAAACGCTACTTCTGTAATGATTTTGAAATACATCTACTTGTTTTATTGCGATGCGAGAAGTTGACTTTATAGGAGCATGTAGCTCTAGGGCATATAGCATTCCAGCTGTGTAGAGGTCCAACGCCGTTGATTGATACTTCTTCAAGTGTCTAGTGGTCATCTGTTACGGAATTCGTGTTCTTGATCAGCTAGCTTGTATCAACGCTTGTCGGACCTAGCCGTTGGAAAGATTTTTCTTTAAGCTGGGTAAATATCGACGGAGCGCCATAGTAAGACATGTGGAGAACAATTTCTTAAGTATTGATTATGGAAGACATAAGCCTTGTCTTATTCTACGAACTTTTGCCGTCCGAATGATTATATCTCATTTCATAACAAAGGAGACCCACGCTACATGAACAGCCGTAAGAAGCTCATCTTCAGGCGTGAGCTCCAGCAAATAACTCCTGTCCACCCAAAGGATCTATGCAGGAAGAAGATGACGCCAAGGAAAGGATGAGACATTTAGTCGACCTCCTCGACGGTAGGACCATCATCGCCACCGCCAGGAGCGCCACCAGCACCGGCACCAGGGAATCCACCACCGGGCATACCACCACCAGGCATACCACCGGGCATACCACCCTCACCACCAGCGCCGTAGAACTTCATCATGATAGGGTTGGCAACACCTTCAAGCTCCTTCTGCTGGGACTCGTACTCGTCCTTGGTAGCTTGCTGATTGTCGTCAAGCCACTGGACAGTCTTGTCGATCTCAGCCTTAAGTTTCTCCTTATCACCAGCTTCAAGCTTCTCATCGACCTTGGAGTCAGAGAGGGTATTCCTCAAACTGTATGCGTAAGACTCGAGGGCGTTCTTCGCAGAAATGCGGGAAGCTTCAGCCTCATCTTCAGCTTTGTACTTCTCGGCCTCGGCCAACATCCTCTCGATGTCCTCCTTGGATAGACGACCCTTGTCATTGGTGATGACGATCTTATTAGTCTTGCCGGTACCCTTTTCGAGAGCAGAGACGTTCATGATACCGTTGGCATCAACGTCAAACGTAACCTCGATTTGGGGTACACCACGGGGGGCAGGCGGAATGCCAGAGAGTTCGAACTTTCCAAGGAGATTGTTATCCTTCGTGCGGGCACGCTCACCTTCATAGACTTGGATAAGCACGCCAGGCTGGTTATCGGAGAAGGTAGAGAACACTTCGGATTTCTTCGTTGGGATGGTCGTGTTGCGCTTGATCAGAGCAGTCATCACTCCTCCGGCGGTTTCGATACCAACGGAAAGAGGAGCAACGTCGAGCAACAAAATCTCATTAGTTGACTTGGAAGAGGTGTCACCGGAGAGGATAGCAGCTTGTACAGCGGCACCGTAGGCAACGGCTTCGTCGGGGTTGATGGACTTATTTGGCTCCTTGCCGTTGAAGAAATCGGACACCATCTTCTGAACCTTGGGGATACGAGTAGAGCCACCGACGAGAACAATTTCGTGGACGGAGGACTTGTCAATCTTCGCGTCGCGGAGGACACGCTCGACTGGCTCCATGGTGGACCGGAAAAGATCCTGGCACAGCTCTTCAAAGCGGGCACGAGTTATAGACGTGTAGAAGTCAATGCCCTCGAACAGCGAATCGATTTCAATTGAGGTCTGAGCTGATGAGGAGAGGGTACGCTTAGCACGCTCGCAGGCGGTGCGAAGTCGTCGAAGGGCGCGCGCATTGGAAGTTAGATCCTTCTTGTGCTTTCGCTGTATTGTGAATTAGCGACCTGACCTAAATCAATGGTTGCGGGGTTGCTTACCTTGAAATCGGCAACGAAGTGGTTTACAAGTCTGTTGTCAAAGTCCTCACCACCTAAGTGAGTATCGCCAGCGGTAGACTTGACCTCGAAAATTCCCTCCTCAATGCTAAGCAGTGACACATCGAAGGTGCCACCACCTAGGTCAAAAATGAGGACATTTCGTTCTCCGGTCTGTTTCTTATCAAGACCGTAGGCGATGGCGGCTGCGGTGGGCTCGTTGATGATACGGAGGACGTTCAGTCCTGAGATGAGTCCGGCATCCTTGGTAGCTTGACGTTGAGAATCGTTGAAGTAAGCTGGAACTGTAACAACAGCGTTGTTGACGGTACAACCCAGGTAAGATTCAGCGGTTTCGCGCATCTTGGTAAGAATCATCGACGAGATTTCCTCGGGGGTGAATGTCTTCTCCTCGCCCTTGAACTCGACACCGATGACTGGCTTGCCACCTTTATCGAGGACCTTGAAGGGAAAATGCTTCATGTCGGCCTGAACCTCAGGGTCGGCAAACTTGCGTCCGATAAGACGCTTGGCGTCAAAGACTGTGTTTGAAGGGTTCATAGCGACTTGATTCTTGGCAGAGTCACCAATCAGACGCTCGGTATCTGTGAAGGCGACGAAGGACGGGGTTGTTCTGTTTCCCTGATCGTTGGCGATGATCTCAATGCGGTCATCTCTGAAGATGCCTACGCAAGAGTAGGTTGTTCCCAAATCAATACCGATCGCGGGAGCCATGATGTGCAGATGTTATGAGATGTATGAAAAGGTCGGATGGGGTATCAAAGACGCAACGTGTATATTTGATATAGTCCCTCGTATGGCTGGCAAGAGGCAGAAATTTGGGGAGATTGGAAGTGTGGAAGCAAGTGTGGTGGTGGCAGGTGGGCGTCGTGGATTTTGTATGAATTTTTGAACGGACACAGAACATGCTGGAAGCTGATCGAAACCTCAACAACCCACCAGACTTGTCCAGAATGTACCCCCAGCAACGCTGCCATGCTACCTTGTTCGCCACGGACTAACATTCACATACTAGGTAGCTTCTACACACTTTCAGAACCCTCGGAGTCATACATACTTTTCAATCAGACGGCAACCAGCCCAGTCAAACCAGAAAATGCATTCTTTCAGGCGCTGTCGTGGATGCCATTCTGTCCCCGCGCTTAACCCTTTTCAGCGTTGTCGAAAAGAAAATTCCTAGTGGGGCTCTTGACATCATGCCCAGATAGATGTCAGCCTGACTGGAGCCTGACTGGCGCCTGAGCCCGTCTGAGCCTGACCCAGAGCCAGGCATCAATTAAATAAGCGACTGGAAGCTTCGCGTTGCAGCTGGGCGCGTGATTAACAGCGGAGATTGATGTCGCCAAACGTGCACTGGTCAAGAAATGAACACTTAGGAAATTTCTGCGACTGTCGCCGTCATTCTGACTAACGACGCAGATCAAAATCACCGCCTCTGAGAGCTGTGAATCATCGTCAAATCAACAAATCACTTCTAGGTCGAACGCTGTTCATGTAGACTGAGTCAGACTGCATGTGATAGTCTTACTTGCTGTCTCTTCTACGCAGTGCTAAGAACGTTGCTATGCTTCACAAGGTTGTGGCTTCTCGAGCGAAAATGTTTCCATATCTTCATTCTGAAGACTATAAGCAAACATGCCTAGATCAGTATTAATGGCACTGGAAGCCTCGATCTCTAGTGAACATCAATTTAGACATGAAACGACTGCCAAGCATATCGCAGACGACACACTCACAATCTTCACGGACACTCTATCAACGGGACAGGCACATCTATAGACAATAGGTGCAACCAGTCATGTACTTTGGAAAGAAAAGTAGAACGCCACGGTCCAATCATTTGCCCGTGGCGCCAAATGAAGTCCACTTGATGACACAGCTATCATCGCTTCGTCTCGTTGCGTGTGTCGCATTCCTCGCGTAGGCACGTAAATCGCCAAAGTGTCATACAAAGTACGAAGTGATTATCGCTGGAAACCAGTCAGGACTGCACACAAAGTAAGGCTGATGAATCGGATGAGTTTTCCGCCGTTGAACTTTAACCACTCTTCTATGGCGCGCCCTCTTGAACGCTCACTTCCAGTGCAGAGGTCATCTTTGCACTCTTTTGTAGGCCAGATTAAAATGATAGCCATAGTAATAAGATAGAGCTCTGCTTTGCAACGATTGGAAGTTCAAACTGATTGGTGTAGACCACATACTGATACACAATCTGAAGTATACCCTCTCATCTGATAGCATGACATGTACTGTCATGTGTAAAGTAATAGGCATGGTCAGGCATGTCTATTGCCTAGGATGAAATATAGATTTTGTCGAATATTGAGGAACAGGAACATCTCCTCGCGACGCGCTAGAGACTACTAGCTTTATCGTCGGGGTTTATAATACATAATGATTATCATGATGATCTCGTTTTTTGTAGAGCTGAGCTGGCCCGTTTGAATAGGAGAAGGAATCCGTTGAGGTAGAGATGTCAGGAGTCGGGCTAAGAGCTCACACTTTGGTGAAAGATGGAAGCGCGAGACTGAGGAATAGCACATACACCGACCGAACGGTCCCTGAGTGTGGTTCAGAAAGCGTTTTGGTGCTATGGATGATAAGTATCTCAAGGTCCAGCTCGGCACGTTGAGGAAGAGAGGCTATAACAACGGATTTGGATCATAATTTATAGCAACTTCTCACGGTGACGAGTGACGTGAGCGTAACGTGGGTAGCACTCACTTTCGGTAGACGCGCTTTACATCAGACCCATTGTACATGCTAGACTCTCGTCCGGCACAAGGTAAGGTGGTGATTCGTCGGGTTTGCTAGGCATGATAGGATCAGTCCATTCACGAAATGAGTCCAGACGTGTCATGCAGGTGGTCACGATACGTCAATTATGGCCGTGATCAGATACCCTTGATATCTTTGGGGGCGCGATCAGGAGGAGATGAGGTAATTCCAGACAAATGCGCATCTCAATGAGTTGAAATAAATACATGGCGGAGAACCAGTCGGGGGACTTGAAGGAAGTAATGCCAAATTGACGGTCATGCAGCGGCAGAAGCTGACATATGCACCTTACAATCGTCCGCGGGCTTCTTTGTGGTCTATCCCGCGCTAGACTTCGCGCTTCCGACTTGGCCAACCAATAAGACGTCCGCGTGCCTGGATTAGGCTAGGTAAGATCGCTCTTCTCTCGCGTTTTCCTGCGTCCTTCCTCCCTTTCAGAATTCACTCGTCAATCTGCCATTTCACGACCACGCACCCGCACAAAGATCATGTATTGCGCTCTCTTCCCACTCTGACGCCCTGCTTAATCCTTTCGCTCTCTCTTAGTCGGTGCTGTGTGGTCTTTTTGGTCTCCTCCAACGCTCTGCCTCTGTGCTACAGTGCCTCACACTCCTTTGGAACCCTGTAGCGACCCAACCTCGACTACTCCACACCCATCTCCACCTTCCACTTACGACCACAAGGCTATTCACACTCTTAGCATCTGCCTGCGATACATACAATGGACACCAGTGGTCTGCGTGACCCTTTCGCCATTCAAGGAGCCTCAAGTGAGCCTAAAGGCCTCGGCGTCTCCATGTCTCCCTCTTCCAACTACGGTCTTACTTCTCCCGAGATCGATGGCTCCGGATTCCAAGCTCTCGATCCTCGCTTGACATATTCGTCGTTCGCTCCCCCCACCAACGTCATGATCAACGACGTGAAGAATGGCCTCGGGGATGCCACGAGTGCAGCCCAAAGAGAGAGAGCACGCAGCTCTGCGCTGTTAAACGTCAATGATCCTGTTTCACTGCATCTACTGGTAGAGACAGCGATGGGCGACAGTCAAGATTACGAAATCTTATCCTATGAGGAAGTGGATACCATAAAGACAGAACTACGAGACCTCCAGCCGCGCATCGAGGCTACATCGAGGAAACTAGCCATGGAATCTAAAGTTCGCGATGCTGCACAGTCTCTCGGTCGCCTGCACAAAAAGCAAGATGCAATTCAGAGCTCTCCTAAGCGCAACAGAAGAAGTATGAGCAATCGGTCAAGCACCAGCGGTGTAAAGTCAAATAGCGAGTGGAAGGGCGATAGTGAATTGGCTACCAGTATCAAAAAGTGCGACAATCTTTCTCAGGAACTTTGGCATCTTGAGTCAAGATGCCGCCTACTACAGACCCAACTTCTGAAGCACACTGCCGGCATCCTGCAAATGACACACGCTGGGCCAACCAAGAAGGAGGCTATGCGATCTCCCGCGGTAGGGACGGCAAACAATGGCAGACCAGATAGCCCACAGAGCATCTATAACTATGACACGTCGCGGAAGAAGAACTCCAATCAGTTCGAGGACACATTCGACGAACGTAGCCTGTATCGATCACCCGAAAATCTGGATCACCTCATGCTTGCTTTGAAGAATGGAACTCATCACACCCACATTGACGAATTCAACGACGGATTGGCGAGTAATCAGGCGCTCGTATCTGTAGAACAGCGGCTGGAGGATCTAAACAACCGTATGCGAGACCTTATCGTGAAAGCAAATCCAGATCGGAACAAGGACTATGCGTCCGTCCCAACAAGATCTGTCGAGCTGCAACTAGACTACCTCGACAAGGCTCTGGGTCATATTGGCGCTGAGAACAATGAACTTCAGAAACGATCGAGGCACTCGCAAAGTGAAGTCGAAGGTAGACTTGAAGAAGCGAACAATCAACTGTGCAGTGTCATAAACAATCTACGTTCTACTGATCTCGACCCCTACCCACCTCCACCCAGAATATCAGGACGCAACATGCAAGAACAAATAACCTACTTACAAGAGGCTCTATTTGCTCTAGAACAGGCTACCATGAGCTCGCAATCTGGCCTCGGGCATGACGCTGCGCAGTACGAGGCAACACTGTCTGGTCTATGGTCAATAATCCTCGCTGGTGAAGAAGAGGCACGGCAAAGGAAGCGACAAAGACGACAGAACATTGCGGCAAACCCAGGCGGTTTTGAGCGGGAAGAAGATCTGTCTCCTGACGAGGACGGTAATACTGACGAAGCGTTCACGCTACAAGCCTTTTCGGCAAAGGTCCAGTGGCTTTATAGTCGAGCCTCGAATCTCAAGGAGCAGCAAAGTATACTCCGCCGACAGATTCGGCAGCAACGCGAACTCAATAACAAGACTGATGCGCAGACTGAGGAAAACACAGGCCAGCTCCACGCTCGTATCGAAGACCTCGAATCCGAACTTACTCACATGCGTGACGACTCGCGAATAGAAGCATCCGAAATGCAAGCCAGTCTTCATGAGGCTTCAGAACGTATCGAGCAGTTGTCTGCTGACCTTCGTCAAGCTACCGACGACCGAGAGGCGAAAGACATGGAACTTCGTGATCTCGAGGGTGAGGTAGTGCGATTACAGACTGAAGTCACCATCGCTAGGGCAGACCTCGACGGCGCTTACGGAACTCGTGCTCAACGCGCAGCCGAAGTTGCCTCAAATCCTGAAATCAAGCGCGAGCTTGAGGAACTCAAGCAGAACGAGCGTGTGCTAAAAGAGGAACTCAAGGGCATGGCGGCCGAATACGAGGCCTTAACTCGCGACAGCATTCAGAATGAAAAGGACCGCGATGGCCTCGAAGCTCTTATCGACTCGCTGAGAAACGAGAAAGAGAGGTTGGAGCTCGATCTGAGTGACGAAAGGGTGCGATGGCTAGGCGCGCGCAGCCCAGGTGCTGGACCGACAGGGATCGAAATGACTAGTGTGAGGATGATGAGAGAAGACTTCAAGAAGATGATGAGGGAGAAGACTACGGAGGCTTTGAAAGCCTTGCGTGTAAGTTCATCCCCCGAAGCCACGTTCACCGCTAATCATTTGTCAGGCCGAACAAGAAGAACGACGAAAACTAGAAGCGCTCGTGCGCCAACTACGAAAGGGCTCAGAACCTCCTAAATCAGGTCTCAGTCACAGCATGACCGCCTAATAACAATTTAACCTTACACAAGTACCCGGCCTTGAGACTTTCGCCACGATCTATACTGCAAAGTATAGCACAAAACTTTTATGCATGCATGCTGTTCAGCGATGGTGTTTTGGATAGCCGCGGTTGACTCAGCCACTTTCATTATTACCTTCCTGTACCTACTTTTTCAATTTAAGGGGGCATATATCAATAACACATACAAGGGTACATCATTGTCCACACCATAGTGGAATTAGCCTGCCATCTAATCAATCAATTCTTATGCTCTAGCGACCCGGCGTTCGCACCGGTAACTATTGAGGAACTGTTCCTTCCCGCCTGGCTACGTCCGCGATAGTAATTGATTTATCTACAAGTACGGTCACTAAGTGCCTCCTCCACTACGCAAACAAGAACGATCTAACGAAAGCCAAATCAAAAATGTTTATATCCATGGATTTCATAGCCTCAGCCTCGTCCACGCCGAGTGGCATCATGCATCATGCCCTCGGCTTTTCACATAGCAATATTTGATGGTTACTCGATGCACAGCTACGCACAGCAATACTAGATACCGGGAACTGAGTGGCAGGCATCTTGAAATTTTTTAGGCTTCTCGCAGTCTACGAGTCGTTCATCTGGGTGCTCTCTACCTAGTATAACAACCAGTAAGTGGTACTGCACATCTAGTGTTAGTGCCAAGTCTCGATAATCGCGATTTTAGAGTAAAATCGTGTCTCTCTCCGTACAACTATAAGTCTGCTGACTGCGCGCAGGTCACTTTATCACATATTCTCAACATTCAAATGACAATTGTGTTTGCTACATTGGCAATACTCCTGCGCGAGTGTACCCGAGGTATCTTACGGGCAGCTACACAGTGGTATTACAATCAAACTTCATTCGCGTGTGTTAGACTGCTAGCCTTGCTGAGTGATTTAATGGCCTCCACTGAAATTGCCGACCGACTTCCTAATATGGTATACTAGAACTACCCTCAGCAGTGCTCTTTTCCAATTGAACCGTCACGTACCCCGTTGAGGATGACCAGAAGACAATAATGCCTGTGTCCAGATGTGAAGCATTTAATTGGTCCGGGGTCGTAGGTATGGTTATCCTTGCAATTTTCACAATAGTGGTGGAGAAGTGGACGTGAAGGTCGGAGTTGAGGCAGGTAAGACAGTGATATGAGTACCAACAGCCCGATCTAGATCTTTGGCGACAGTCTAAGCAGGATACAGAGGATGACAGATTAGATAGTCAGGAATGGGTGAAGCGAGCGGAGGTGCCATGAGCTAGACTTGCTCTTACACACAAGTGAGAATGTTCAAATTATTTGGTGAGATGTATTATGCCTGAATTCTTTCCATCAGAGGCGCGCTCAACTTGTCCATAACACAACAAGATTCTGCATTCACTATTCTTAGGAACAGCACAAACTCTATGTGTTCCTAAGTGGATATGAGAACGTATCTCTAGCCATATATAGTTTCGGGAATTTCGAATTCTTTCAGTCACTGTCACTACTGCCCCCGTGGTATAGAGACATCAACGATGGATAAAAAAGCGCAGTTTGTTACGGCTTTCTCGATTCCCCGAAGGTCGCAAGTTCGACCCGCGCGATATATGAGTTTTGTTTTGCAAATTTTCTCGGCTGACCTCCATTTTTCAGATCAATTGGTTTTGACTGTGGCTGAACTAGCCCATTTGTGCTGTGTATTCATTCGTCTCCAGCTTGTTACGATCGGTTCCACATGAACAAGAAGATACGAATCTCTACACCTGTCTTTCTCTGATTCAGCTACGCAGCGACGCGTGAAACATACAGGCTAATCACTTGTTTTGGGTGTGGTAGGCTTTTAGCACTACGAGCACAAGGCGCTCAGGCTTGTGATATCTCAACCCCTGTCTGAATCCCTTGGTTCGTCAGAAACAGCCAGCCACATATATTGACGACTGTGAAGCTTTTGAACTATGTGTTGAGCTCTGGTATTGAAGGTGTTCATGGTCGTCAGGATGATTGGGCAGCTAATATGCCACAAGATCACGTTGATGACAGGGCCTATGACTTGTCCCCTCCATATCTATATTTTCCATCGTCATACTATTCAAGTCACATATATGTACGCCGTTGTTCTTTATAATCTACCATTATGGCCACCCCTCAACCTAATCTGCATAAGCGACAAAAAGTAGACGTTACCTCACTACAAGGAAACAAGATAGCTTCCGATATAGGAGAGAGTGATTCGAAGAAGCTACGTGCTAGAAGATTCGATACAATCTACAAGAACTGGAACCTCACAGAAGAGAAATTGCAGAGCCACTTCGCAGAAGATGACGCATGCCAATCTTCACATGGTACGCTCCTCAAACAAGTCAGAGACTGGCCGCAGAGATTTTTAGAGAAAATCGCCACGCTCTCTGGCAAGATCAGTGATATCTCCACGGCTAAGGCTTTACTATGTCAGGAGAGGGCGATGCGACGTGTCTACGAACAAGCGAATGGACTATCCCAGTATGGTCGCTACAATGAGATAGGCTTTAAAACCTTAGAAGTTGAGCAAGTTTTGCTCAAATTGAAAAGAGCAGAAGCAATCGTTGCCGGAAATGATGGCCGGATGTGTTCAAACGACCCATGTGAAAATAAAGCTGCCCAACGGCCTTCAATCGTCCAATCGCCCGCGTTGCACGTTCGCGATAGCCCGAGATCGAAAGATATTGTAAGGATCAATGAGATACCGAGTCTAGGTTCTCCGGGTCTACAAGAGACGCCAACGGCGCAAAACAACCCTACGAGCTTCTCGACTGCATATAACCCACAACAGTCCTTTGCTTTCAGCTCAGCATCAGCCTTGTTCCCTTCAGTACTACAATCATCAACGGATATTTCCAGCTTTCACAGTACTGGAGATAGCCGCTTCGAAGGGGAGGATGAGTTTTTGAGCATGGTCGACTTTGACGGCAATGCAAATCATCACATATATGACTCACAGGGTTGGCAGAGTGATACGCGTGGGTTCAAGCCGGTGCCGCAGTCTCAGAAAAACATGCTAGCCCTCCCTTCCCCCATTCGAACGACGACCCCAGGGCTTAACGCCAAGACCGGTCACCAACGAACGATGACCTACACGCCAACCTCGCAGCTACCAATTTAGAAGATTCTACTGATGACACAGCGATCAACAGGGTTTCGGCCGTAGAGCTCGCTCAGCATGCTATCGGGAATTCGTTCTTTCGGTCTACATCAATGGCGAAGCGCAAACTTGAATCGATGCGCGATATGTTTGAGGATGGCGACTGTGACTTAACTGCAGACATGGACGCGTCAGAAATGCGTTCCATGATCGAATATTGTGCGGCAATCGAGAGCTACGAACGTGGAAAGGAGGATAACAGGCCACGTTTGGTAAAACAGGCGAAGTCGCAAATGGCGAAACTTTGGCTTCGTGAGAGGTTGAGACTGGAACACGGGGTTGAGATGTGAGGTGTCGCGGGATAATAAACGGCCTGATTACTGGGCCAGCTCACATTACAGAAGGATTGATGATTGACGATATACACGAGGGTGTGCGGTCTCTGGGTTATATGCACGAAAGACTTCTTTATTGGCCACACGTTCTGCGGTTTACCCCTAGACTGTTGCTTGCACACGAACAATTTTCTTGAAAGAGTCCATGAAACGGTCTTTGAGCCCCATATAGAATTCTCCCAATACATCTATTTTATTGTTCAGTGCATTCTTGCCTGTGGTTATCAATATACTATGTTGGCATATCGATTTGCGTAAACTAAGAATTAAATCGCAGCACTGACTTGTACGTTGATGAGCTTTCTAGTTCATAGTGTACAATCTTGAGCCTAGGCTAGATTCATAATGTAAAGGCGAAGGAAATATTACGCTGTGACTTCGACGATCCAATATACTATTGCACTGACGAGAAAGCTCCAAGGTCGTTGAACGGCCTCGGTAGCGGAGAAACTTAACCCCGCAGCTATCTCTATGACCAAACCCTGGAAGCTCTAGGCAAGCTATGCAGAGCCATCAAGTCAGGAGCCTTATCAACGTTGTCATCATTTAGGAAGAGCTGTCGCCACTTTCAAGCTCTTCCACGACATTCGCCGCTATGGCACCGCATAAAGATACTCTGTTCCGCTCGGCGGACATGAGTCTGACCCAGCTGTACATTGCCAATGAGATCGGAAGGGAGGTTGTGAGTGCTTTGGGCGAGCTCGGGGTGATGGATTTTAGAGACGTGAGTTTGTCTAGCAAATTAACAGCAACATAGGCTCTATTTATACTATCGAGCACTCCAGAAAGACGGCTGACAATGATGCCTACAGCTCAACGCCGAGACTACTGCTTTCCAACGTACCTTTACCCAAGAGATTCGCCGCCTAGACAATGTCGAAAGACAACTACGTTATTTCCATAGCCAGATGGAGAAGTCAGACATAGCTATGCGTTCCATTTATGATTTTAATAATATACTGGCTGCGCCATCTGCGTCGGAGATTGATGAGCTGACTGATCGAAGTCAAGGACTGGAGGCAAGAATCACGGGACTGAATGACAGTTATGAGACACTCAAGAAAAGAGAAATGGAGCTCACAGAATGGAGATGGGTGCTGAGAGAGGCTGGAGGCTTCTTCGATCGTGCTCGTGGCCAGACCGAAGAGATTCAACAGCGAACTTCAGAGGATAACGATGACGCACCGCTCCTCCGTGACATGGAACAACACACCGAGCAAGCTGAGCAATCCTTTTCTGTGATGAATATAGGCTTTGTTGCTGGCGTAATTCCACGGGAGCGGATGGCGGCGTTTGAGCGAATTCTGTGGAGGACCCTGCGTGGTAACCTCTACATGAATCAGTCGGAGATCCCCGAGCAGATCATTAATCCAGAGACCAATGAAGGCGTGAATAAGAACGTCTTTATAATATTTGCGCACGGAAAGGAAATCATCGCCAAGATCCGCAAGATCTCAGAATCCCTCGGGGCGGACCTCTACAGCGTCGACGAGAACAGTGAGCTTCGGAGAGACCAACTTCACGAGGTAAACACACGCTTGAATGACCTCGCCAGCGTACTTCGCAACACCAAGCAGACTCTTGATGCTGAACTTACACAAATCGGTCGCAGTCTCGCTGCCTGGATGGTTGTTGTCAAGAAGGAGAAGGCTGTCTACGAGACCCTGAATAGATTTTCTTATGACCAACAGCGCAAAACACTCATTGCGGAGGCTTGGTGTCCTACTAGCTCTCTCGGTTTGATAAAGTCTACTCTCCAAGACGTCAATGACCGTGCCGGGCTGTCGGTGCCTACTATCGTCAATCAGATTCGAACTTCTAAGACGCCACCAACATACGTCAAAACTAACAAATTTACGCTCGCCTTTCAAACCATCATTGATGCTTACGGTACTGCGAAATACTCCGAAATCAATCCCGGGCTACCCACCATCGTTACCTTTCCTTTCTTGTTTGCCGTCATGTTCGGTGACTTCGGTCACGGAATGCTTATGACCTTTGCCGCACTTGCTATGATCTACTGGGAGAAGTCGCTCTCACGCGGCAAGCTTGATGAACTTTTCTCGATGGCATTTTACGGCCGCTATATCATGCTGATGATGGGTATATTCTCCATGTACACCGGTCTCATCTACTGCGACGCCTTCTCCAAGGAATTGCCTATTTTCCCGTCCATGTGGAAATGGCCCGAGGGTGCTGAAGAAGGACAATCCGTAACCGCAATCCGGGAGAACGGCTATACTTACCCCTTTGGACTGGATTGGATGTGGCACGGTACCGAAAACGACCTCCTCTTCTCAAACAGCTACAAGATGAAGCTCAGTATTCTCATGGGATGGGCACATATGACTTTTTCACTCTGCTTGTCGTATGTTAACGCTCGCCACTTCAAGTCGCCCATCGACATTTGGGGAAATTTCATTCCTGGCATGATATTCTTTCAGTCCATCTTTGGTTACCTGACTTGGGCAATAATATACAAGTGGTCTGTCGACTGGGTTTCCATCGATAAGAACCCGCCCAGTCTGCTCAACATGCTTATTTACATGTTCTTGCAGCCCGGAACACTCGAAGACCAGCTCTACTCAGGGCAAGCAACGTTGCAAATTATTCTCGTTCTTCTCGCGTTGGTATGTGTCCCAATAATGCTGTTCTTGAAGCCGTTTTACCTTCGTTGGGAGCACAACAAGGCCCGGGCCATGGGATACCGTGGCATCGGAGAAACTACTCGTGTCTCGGCTTTGGACGATGATGATGATGATGAAGAGAGCACAACGCTTAATGGTGGACGTGACAGTTACGCTGACGATGAGGACGGCGTCGCGCTGATCACCCAGGACATTGGCCATGGTGAGGAGCACGAAGAATTCGAATTCAGCGAGGTCATGATACACCAAGTCATTCACACTATCGGTAGGTCAGATTCCTTCCGCAATTGCTCATGATTAACAGAAATAGAATTCTGTTTGAATTGTGTCTCTCATACCGCCTCCTACCTTCGGTTATGGGCTTTGTCGCTAGCCCATCAACGTCTTTCTATTGTACTTTGGGACATGACCATGAAGATTGCTTTCGGCTACAGCGGTGCTGTTGGGATTGTCATGATTGTCGTCCTATTCTACCTCTGGTTCTTGCTAACCATCATGGTTTTGTGTGTCATGGAAGGTACTAGTGCCATGTTACACTCACTGCGACTGCACTGGGTGGAAGCCATGAGCAAGCATTTCATAGGAGACGGCGTAAGTGATTCCATCTAGTGACGTGGGCGTAGCATAATACTAACCTAATACAGGTTGCGTTCGAACCTTTCAGCTTCAAAGTTCTGTTGGAAGAGGATCCTGTCGAATAGTTAGTCGCAATACTGTGACTTGTCCTGTGTTTTATTATATAGTGTAAAGTGTATGATAGGAATCCAACGTAACACCCGTCGTTCTATTGAGCAAGTTTTCAACACAGCCTGGACATGTGCGATCATTCAAGAATTTTGAAGTCCGTCACACTGGTATTGACATAGCATGAGTGCGCCCAATGCATAGTGAGAATTATGACTGACATGATATGGCAGAGAAAATCTGGCCCTCTAACCATGTTCAGAGTCTGCTCTTCATAGATGGACTGATTCATCAGAGGTGGAGGTTCTTTTTCCAAGATTGCTCTGATATGAGTCCTTGTCAGACTGTAAGCCTTGTCGAGTGGCCTCCTTTTTCAGTTGTAAATTCTGCCTTCTTCATCTATACCTAATCGTACTGAGGGTAGCGGTGTTACCGATGGGTCATAACTCACAGCCCAGTATGTCCCCGTCACCTCAATTCCGATCCTGTCGCCAAACCTTATCGCAGTGCCATGGCCTCTTTATTCTCGTCCTCAGGGCCGTCCTCCGCAACTATATTTAGATTTTTCATCATTCAAATCAGTATCGACAAGCTCTAATCGCCGATATGCCCAAAAGTTGGATTTGCGTATAGCCCGATTCCAAGAGCAAGTATAACGAGCATCAATAGGATTCCGTGAGACAGGTATAGGTTACATAACGAAAGTCGGGCTGTCAACAAGGCCGGAGCAATGAGATTATAAACCAGGAGAAGCCTATGCATTGAACGAGTAGGTAATAAAACCTTCTGTGACATATTAGCCAACCTTACTGAACCAGTAGCGTTGGATGTGATGCAACTTTTATAAACGCTTCAATGTTCCAGAAACAGCATGCACACCCCTTGTACTGTCCAGTACTCTCACAATGCTCTTAAAGAATCGATGTTTGATGGAGGGACGAGTGAACCACTTGCAACTGTGCAGCACGATTGCGCCAGCAATGCCAATGTAATGCCAATCAGACGTGAGCATATACAATCGGATACAATCCAAGGTCCTAGATTAGGATTGTATGATTAGTCACTCTAAAAGTACGGATTAAGCTTGGAATCTATACTAAGGGATTAAGATTAATTGTGTTAGATTAAATAAAGTAGGGTATATACCTATATATAGCCCGGGGCCCTATCTTAGGCCATATTTAGGTATTAATTCTGCCTAAGGCCTATACTTTAGCCTTAGGCTCTAATATAGTAGCCTTAGGCAGAAATGATGCCTAAATATGGCCTAGGATAGGGCCCGCGGCTATATATAGGTATATATCCCACTTTATTTAATCTAACACAATCAATCTAACTAATCGGATTGAGATTATACCGTCTTAGCAATCATTTTGAGGCGTGGATTGAGCTTGTATTCTCTATTAAAATTTTGGCCCAGATTGAGATTGCACAGATTCGGATTGTATATGCCCATCTCTGATGCCAATTGTGATGGCCCACTTCTATGAGCCTCCTCGTTGATCACAGCCGGTTACAAAGCGTGGTAACATGCATACATGATGAAACGTCGCACAGAACGTGCATGCCAGAAAGATACCAACTATCTGGACCCAGGGTGACTGATCCATTGACAGCACTAGCTAGTGCAGTTCTTTGGCTACTCTCTTTTAGAGAGCTGACACTATTTCACAATGCCTATTGTGAAGAGCTCTGAGATTCGATGTGTCAGGAAAATATGACCGTAATGGCGCAGAACGCTATAGGCACGCCTGAGCTACAAAAAACGAAACACCAGAGACATACCTACAACTAGTCAAGCTGCATGCATCTGAGGTGAGAAAATTATTGAATGAAGTTGTTGTATTAGAGAAAGAGTTGAGTCTCTAGGAGACAGTTTAAGTACAAAGTGCTAAGTGCTAGCGTTCCATATGAGAGTAGTTCCTTCCACAAAAATAGCACGGTGCCTAGACAAAGGTGTGAAATATAATGTCTCACCTTAGTGGTTCCGACAAGCACTACGAAACTCTTTATTGCTGACTAAATTTTAACATCTTTGACATCTTTGACATAAACAAGTAATTTCTCATGTGATTTGCTACTTGGTTCTTGTAAACTTAACCTCTACTATATCTAATAAGTTTATATAAGGTA